GCTATGCAGTGTGTGATGCACATCATCCGTATCCAGCCAAAAGCTTTCCACTACGGAATCTGCGTCGCTTCTCTGTTCGGCAGCGGCATCTGCAAGTTTGACGAGGCAGCTTGGCTCCCAGATATTACAATAACAACCGCGGAGGTCGTAGAATCGAAGGCTGTCTGGGCTGAAACATATTCGGCTGATGGAATCCGTGGAGCTAAGTTTGTATATCAGCGTCATTGAAGAGACATCGTAGATCTTTATCGACCCTTCCACGTCGCTTGTGATGAAGACAAGTCCATTTGGGCTGCATTGCAGTCCATGCGGGACTACTCCAGTTTCCCCTTTAACCTCCTCGTAGGTACCATCGACCGGACTCCACTTAAAAATTTGGCCGTAGATACCGATGATCAAGTTATTCGAAGGATGCCAAACGACATGGTTGTCTCCAGTGTACGAATTAACCGGGCCTTCCCCTTGGTTCGCCGTCCTCTTAAGTCGGGCCACCATCTCTGGGGGGTCCACATTCCATATGGACAGCGGGAACGCACGGTACGCAACCGCCATCTGCGAACAGTCGCTGTTAAAGGCTACGCAGGATGGCGTACTAAGAAAAGTGCCTTCTGGGAGGCCGGGCTCTTCCAACAAGTCCGAGCTCTTCCGTGACCACGAGGCCTGCTCGCAGTGGCTCACTTCAGTGGGCAGTTGATAAACCCCTCGCAAGTCGGACACCATCGTTATAGTATCATTAGCGTCGAAATTGAATGCGATAGCACGCTCCTGGGAAGGATTCGTCACCGTCATTTGCAAAGATCCATCATCCACCTCCCAAACAAACGTCTGGGAAATGCCGTAACACGCCAGGACTGAGCCAGACTTGTTAAACGACAGGGCCCATACGTGCTCCCCGGCGCTAAAGCTCTTGGATTCTACGAAGAGGTTGGTGTCCCATAGAGTGATAGTCCCTTTGGGCCTGTCCGAGATCACGGCAAGATACTGTGAGGAAGCTGCAAGTCGTAAAGCTCGGCTTGGGTTGGCTGAAACCCTGGCGAGACAGTCGTCCCACCCCGAGTTGGACCTACCGCAGACCGACAGAGTAACAGCAGGGTTCGCTGAGAATTTCTGGTGAATAATTGAAGACTGGGGACTGAGTGGTGGGACGCATTTATAGATGAACAGAGGGTCATCGTGGAGGTGCCGGCCAAATTTTGCTGTGATCTTCACCAAATCCGCCGCCCAAGTTTCGATCAGGGTCAGGGAAGAATTCTCACGGTTGGCCTCCCTTCTTTCTCTCGTAAACTGCGTTAGTATCCCAGATGTCCGGATGGATTCTAAAAGCCGACCGCTCATCGCCAGATATTGGAGCCAGGACAGCGGGAATGGACTGTTGAAGAATTTGATAAGCATATTAAAGGTCCTATCCGAGTCTGCACGGCAGGATTGGAGGTGAAATGCCCAAGAGGTTGCGGCATATCGGAGAAATTTGGGAATTTCTCCCTTGGTCAATTCTCGTCTGAGCCGTCGATCGGAAAGGGCTTCAATACACCTGCAGAATAATATTTCGTTTGCGATCTTCGGTTCCAGGGAGAACAATTGGTATTTGGCTTTTCTCAAATATTCGCGAGCAGAATGATGGACCAGCACCACTTCATTGTTAGCATTGATAACAACGAACTGTCCGGATAGTTCGCAGATTGTATGATGGGGGTCCAAAATCGAGCTCATTTGCGTGGGATAGGCTTCGGAGAGTTCATCAAGAGAGAGTGGCGCTTCTGCGTACATCGCCCAGAGGAGAAGGATCTCGGCCAGGGATTGGTCTTCCGTTGCTTCGAGAGAGGAGAGGACATCGAACATACGGTCGTACAGCTTATCCATTCCATTCGGGGTGGAGTCAAGAACTTGCCTGACCTGCTCCTGGCGGTGGCATTGTGCGACGCGCTTCAGTACGAGACTAGCCCACAGGAAGTTGCTCTGCGCCCGGGATGTTATCTCCTCCACTATCTCGGCCTTGACTGCATCGCTGGCCAGCAAATAGTCTATGTCCCCAGCAACTGTCAGACGAATATCACGGGTATTGTCAGGGATTGGGACATCAACAACTGGAATTCGCTTTCTAGCAAGATGGAAGCTTTGGGTGATGGAAGCGAGATGTCGACTAAACATCAATATGCGAACTGGACTTCCGAAGCTAACGGCCCTAGAAGCGAAGTCTATAACTTGTTTGGAGGATTCGGACTCATCGAGAGCGTCGATGACCCAAAATACGGGCTGATCTTTCTCCGTCCGGGCAGTGGCTGCTGGCGAGAAGAGCGCCTCCCACACAGTCGTCGCATCCGCCCTGTCGATCTGCATCCCGGACTGGACAACGCGGGTCAAGGCGCGACGAAACTCAGGACTAATAAGCGCCATCTGATACGCCAAGGATCGAATCATGTGCGCCACGGACCGCGCCTGACGGCTGTCATGCTTGAAAAAGAAATAGGCGCAATGGCGACCTTGTTGAAGCAATGAATCAATAACGAAGGAGCAAAGAATCGATTTTCCGCTGCCGGGGGGTGCGTGGGCCCAAAGAATATGCGCTGATTCACCAGAGAGCCAGGTTTCCATTTCCGGACACGACAGGAAGCTGGTGCATGTTCCTGTTCTCCTTAATGCATGGGCTGCTAAATAGCTGTCATACGGCGGACCTGACACGCCGAGAAATGCCTGAATCTGGCGCAAATCCTCATCTTCTTCCACTCCCCGAGTCAAGCAACCGGTCGCAGACTGCGATAACGTGTTGGCAACGCTGCGGAGGGTCCCTACAACTGATGTGTAATTGGGGTCATCCGCACCCGTGAATTTGCAGACGTTATGGTGATTGGCAACGAGAGGTTGTGATATCTCGCTCGGGTAACCCATGACCGAAGATGCCTTGTCGACGATCATTGTTGACATTGGACCAATTGGAGTTGCTAATGTTTCGTAAAACGAGAACAGGTGCAGCTTAGACGCATGGTGCCTAAAAATGTCATTAAGCTCATCTATCCTGGGGCTTCTTCGGACAAGTTCGCGGACGTACTCCTTCGTCGAGTATCCGCTCGCTAGTACGGCGTGAAGTACTTCAGCTAAGTCCGTTCCCCTGTGTGGTGTCGCAAGAAAGAGAACTGCTTTGATGGAGGATACAATACTGCTATATGCAGGGTCTATGTGCCCATGTATGAAGGCCTTCTTAAACACTAAGCCGCCCATCGAGTGAGCAACCACGATGATAGGGACCTGGCCTAGTCGGACATCCCCCGCTTCTTCGTGCTTCATCCGGAAGAGTAGGTCGGTGGCGAAGTCACTGATAGTTAACGACGACTTCTCCTTTTTGGATCTGAAATTGGCGTTATATCCGAATGACAGGATCCTGGCCGTCGGAATTTCCGGCGGAAGCCACAGCCGGGGCCACAGGTAGTCCAGGTCCCTATCCCTGCACCATGTCCGCAGACTTGACCCTCCAAGGCCATGGATGAATAGAATATCGACGGCGCGGTCCGGGGGAGAATGTAGCACAACGAGACCTAACGGGTCGTCCCTTACATTTCGTGACCGTCCTCTTTTGCCTCTTCTGTGGGCGATCGAGGTGACTAGAGAAGAAAGGGTCCCTCGACGATTAGGCGCTTGATATGACTGTGTGATATGATTCAAAGGCGGATTAGGCAGAGTGTTCGCGGACAGGCTCGCGGCAGCCGAGGCGTCGTTACGGTCAGACAGCGAAATTATCGTGGGCGGCCGAGTGGTGGTGGGAGGGCTGGGTGCCTGGGGATCCAACTCTGGGTGTATCTCCGCTCTGTCCCCAGATCTCTTTGACGACCGTTCCTTTTTGGCCTCGATGCCACAGGGATAACCCAATTTCAACATGCGCACCATGGTCCACGAAAACGGGAAGGAAGGCCACTCTTGGCACAAGATACCAGACCCGGCTTCTGACCCGCGTCTGGCTCGATTAGAGAAGGGGTAAAAGACTCAATACTCCTAACCACGGTAATCTTCCATATGCAGAGCCATCCGATTTCGTGGGGCCATCTCGATATGGCTTTGTGGTATTCGGTTGCCGCGTCGTTTCGGGCGGAAGTTTCATATCATGGCAGGCAGGCAAGCCGTTGGTGGGGGAGCTCAAAAAAAGGCTGGGGATCGGAATCCCAGCAAATGATGGACGCTGATAATGGTCTGTGCACTGCGACTGCATAAACGAAGTATCTCGTAAGCGATGGACTGCAACTCTGGCGGGCGCTATAAGCCGAGCGCTCATTTATTGAAGAGGATAGGATAGTTAACAAACGGGTCCAGAGATCTCCCATTTCCCCTCCGGCTCTCGACTAATAAATACCAACTCGCGAAGCTTACCGGTCGATAAATCAGGAGCTTCTCTATACGGCTTGAGGGTTTTCTAAATTAGAATTCCTAACTGCTGGAACAAATCTTCAAGTACCTCAACTCGGCCGGAGCACCAAGCTAATCTTAAAACTCCAGGTTCGAGCTACCTCGCGTTTTGCACATACTCTCAATCTCGGAAATGGGCAGACATGGATCTTTGCTTTAAATTATCGAAGCAGACTCTATGAAGTTCGTAGTATTCCATGGATGGTACAGTGATCATATCTAACACGATCGGGAAGGAAATCCACAAAGGAAGATATCCCTTATGACTTGGTGACGGGATATTTGGTTCTTTCAACCTTAGTGGATACCTTGGGAAAGGGCCTCGTTGATTCCTCTGCAGACCTTCGAAATGCCGCCTATCTCTCTGGTGATATCCTGCTGGTCTTCTATCTACCTGAGATCGGGTCGAACTACGTAATTTTGATATGGAGGTAAAGGAGGCGATTAAATTCATAGCAAGCTGCATAGCTATAAAGGCAAACAGGAAAAGCTAAACAACCTATTATACATCTTTCCAAATGCCTGCGCCTTATTTTTCCATGTCCCAGCTCTCACCGCCACCATGTCCCGATGACTACTGATCTTGCCGGAGCCCTTGGCAGAAGCCATCAAGAATCTTCTGTCTTTCTCCACTTGTTTCGCATGGCAGCCTCGATCCTCGCGCTCTCCACCGAAGATTCTCTTTTCGCATTGGCGAACGACGGCGTCGCAAACCGCCTCCCTACCGTCGGGTGGCTCCTTTTACTCGCCGCCGGGTATACAACTCGGCTTTGGTACGTGGGAGTCCAGTATCCGCTCCCTCCGGCCCGAGAGATCTCTTCCCTGGCCCACCATGTGTCAGTAAATTCGTCGCTCGGCTCGTGTCTCTCGGGAGGTAGGCGCGGCGGGACGAACGGTTTGTCGAACAGTGCTATATCGTCGAGGCGCGCCTTGTCGCGGAACACGTAACCCCACTTCCGCAAAACCTCCCGACTGCGGTGGTAAATCTTCATGTTCCGTCGACTGCTGGCGTAGGCCCATTCCCAGGCGAGTCGAGGTCCGAGGTCCAGGTCGAGATACGGCGGCAAACTTGGGAAGCGAGTTGGGAAGCGGCGCGCAAGGCCTTCATAGAAGAAGTCGTCCTTCCGCGGCGGACCGCCCCATCTGTACAGGAGCTCATGACGGGCCTCGTACGTCTCTGCTGTGGCGAGACGGTAAACTGAGGATAGGCCAGTGGACAAGACGGCCTGAATCTCGGGCGACGCCAAGCTCATTGCTGGTTCGACCTCGATGGCGCCCCACGCGACGTCATGGTAGACCACGTCATCATAAGCTGGGATTAAATTAACAAACACTCACAGCAATATTTCTCGGGTGGAGTTGGGGGAATACACTTACCAGGCTGGACTTGGTGGAAGAGGAAATCGTGAATGCACCCGAGCTGCTCGAGCTCCCAAGGACAAAACGTGGAAAAGAAGTGGAACCTGCTGACCGGTTCAGCCGAGCGGCGGTGACGGTTGCGGAAGAGGTTGCAGAAGGTCTCAAAGAGGTAGAATGCACGTTCGACCCGGGCACTCTCGGTCACTGTCAATGTAGACATCCCTTCTGGTGAGGTGGCGGCTACCCACTGGGCGAACCGTGTAGTAAAGGCCTTAACGGTAGCGCTGAGTTTGGCAACAGCTATGGCTTTTCCAAGATCGTTAAATGGGGGCACAGGTCTTCCGATTCGGAAGTGTTCTACGTAGAAAGCTTGGATACTTTCAGACGTGAATGGGGAGGCTCGGGTGGTGGCGGTCGCCTCCGCCTCTATCGCGGCGAGAGCGTCAAAAATGACGTCGACCCCGACATGTTTGATCAATACATGCGACAGTATTGTGTGTTTTCCCTCCAGAAACGCGTTGTTGAAAGCGCGTGTGGTCAGGATGGCTGAAAGCAGCGAAGGCAGGTCGTCGAGCATGGAAAGGATGGCGGCAAACATCTCAACCGGGAGACGGAGAATGGGCGACACTGGCGGCGCATCTAGCTCCATCGTCTCGGCATTTCTCGTCATGGTCGCCAGTGATACTCGTCGAGTTTAACCTGGATATTTGGGTGTTGAGGGTTGGCCTGGGAGTGACTGGGTTGATGGATTGGTCGGTGGATGGGAGTGATAGTATGATGGAAGAATATGAAGAAGAGAAAAGGAGATTGTTGGGCAGCCCCGCTGGTATTAATTAAATATGAGAGGTGCCACAGCCTCAAAAATGAAGGATGCAATTGAAGGAAGGATATGGCGTAGAATAAACATAGGTTGTGAAAATCATTCATATACCCTAGTCCCACTAACTGGATTTAGAGCCCCAATATCATACCTTAGTGTTTATGTCTTTTCTTTCAACCTTTGAAGTGGAAGTCTCTAGGGGGATCAAACCAAGCTTATTTTCTAAGCGACTGGGGAAACATGCAAGGCCTGGCTGCATCTCCAAAATGCGGGGGTTTCTAGGCGGCACCTTGAGCTGGATGAGATACATCATTGGACGTCTTGGACCCGACCTCTTCCAGGTTGAGTGATGTGTGCATATCGGTGGACAAAAATTGCCCAGTCCTATAAAGTCTACGATGACTAAATCTCAGGGCCTTCAAGAGTCCGGCGCGGTTTGCTGAAGGACTGAAGGTGCTATATATCTTCTGGTTGAGAATCGGCGAAAAGCACCTCGGTGTGTTTCATGGCACCACTAAAGCTGGGCAACAAACCAAGCAAAGGAGTTGTAGACGAGATGATGCCGGGTCATATGGGTGGCTAGTATATCCCCTCTCTATCATACCTCATACCTTATATGTATAGAAGAAGAGTGTTCCGGCACCCAGGGAAGCTTGAGATTCTCATTTACCTCTGAGATGGCGCTGTCTTGCCATTCGAAAAGACCGAAAAAAAGAAAAAAAAAAAAAAAAAAAAAAAAAAAAAAAAAAAGAGAAACTTGAGGCGTTTTTTTTTTTTTTTTTTTTTTTTTTTTTTTTTTTCGCCTTTCTACTAATATTGACCTCTCCAGTGCTCCTCCGCCGTGATATGCATGTCGAGGGTATTTCTTCAAGTTCACACTCAGCCGAGGCTCAGACTCTCAGCACCAAGGTTGGCCCGTGGGAATAATAGGGACTTCGGACACGGAACCAACGTTCCCGAATGGTTCTTTTGATATGTCCAACCGGTTTTGATACCGAAGGATTTGTTTCCGTACCTTTATTAATTGACAAATTGGGAAAGTGGTTTAGTCGGCCCCATGCAATAGGTTGTCAGGGCAATGAGAATAGATTGTTTAACGCCCAATCCACTGAACCATTTCTCCAGGCAGCAAGATTCTCACCATCGCAAAAGGTCCACATAAGGACAAGAGCCCGCGTTGAACAAACGCTCAGACGAATAATTCCATTGATATCTTTCTTCTGTATCCTTTCGTATTCAACCGAACAAAATATCCCTTGAGAGGTATCCACAGCTATGGACCAATTCTTGCTCGACAACGCCCGCGCCTATGAGAAGCTGGTTGGGCAATTCAAACCCGCCGCTAAACCCCAAGACAAAAAAGATGGCGGCCGAAACACGGACATCATCATCGCCAGCCGTTTACGGCCCATGCTTGAAGATGAGATTGCTGCAGGCCTAGTTCCAGGAGTCCTTCCTCGAAAGGACGATGATCTCAATGTTGACCTGCACGAGTTGAGAAAGACTGTCCGAGGCACACCAGCATTAAACGTAAGCGTTGCAGGCCCAATGTTTCGGTACCGCAAATATTGATCTAGTTCGTCTGCACGTAGTCCTCTAGCTTCCGCCTTGACAAAGTATTCAACGCGGAAGACTCTACGGAAAGTATTTTCGAAGATCTTGTGCAGTCTCTCATTCCCTGGGCGTGGGGAGGCGGTGTGAGCACCATGTTCGCTTACGGTCAGACGGGCTCTGGAAAGACCTTTACCGTCAGCGGGCTGCAACGCCTTGCTGCATCGAGCCTAATGGACGGCTCTTTAGACGGCTCCAGAAACATTTCCATCTCCATCCTCGAACTTGCAGGAAACTCTGCCTTTGGTACACCCACTCCCCTCCTTGATTGTATAGCCTCTTTCTAATAACGATGCAGACCTCCTCAACTCCCGCAAACCAGTTTCCATCCTCGAAGATTCCTTCGGCTCAACACACTTCGCCGGAGCTACCGAACACTCCGTCAAAGACCTACCAGCTCTCCTCTCCTACATCGACCACGCGGCCTCCTTCCGCAGCACCGCCTCAACCCTCAAGAACGACGCCTCCTCGCGCTCGCACGCCATCTGTCGCATCCGCCTCGAAAATCCAGCAATCCCGCAATTCGAGGACGGCCTCCTCTACCTCATCGACCTGGCCGGTTCAGAGGCCGCCAGGGATGTAGTTGCGCACTCAGCTGAGAGGATGAAAGAAGCTCGAGAGATTAATGCGTCACTCTCCGTGTTGAAGGATTGTATCCGCGGACGAGCGATGCTGGACCTAGTGGAGACGGGAGGCAAAGTGTCGGTCAAAGCCAAGACGCACATCCCCTTCCGGCAGAGCACCTTGACCAAGGTGCTGAAGCATGTTTTTGACCCTGCGGGGATGAGAAGCTGTCGGACCGTGGTCGTGGCATGTGTGAACCCGAGCTTCACGGATGTAGCGGCCAGTAAAAATACGTTGAGATTCGCCGAGATGCTGCGCGTCCCCGTGCCGAAGAAAGATGCGGCTGCGTATAATCCTTCGAGGCCCGTCACATGGCCCAACGATAAACTCCAAGAATGGATTGAGAAGAACGTAAGTGTATCCGTTTCAACGAGCGTGGCAGGCTTCTTTGTCTGACATTTACCAGTCTGGCTCGCCCGCAATATCAGGTCCTCTCCTCGCTCCGTTCGAAACGGGCCACCAACTCCTACGAATCCCCGTCCCAGAATTCGTCTCCCGATGCCTCAAAACTCCCGGCGTAACCGTCGACCAGGCCCAAGCATTCCAAGCCAAATTCTGGCGCCTGCACGTCGACTCGCGCAGCCCCGCATCCAGCGAATCCAAAGACGACGCGACCGAGAAGGCCGAGAAGGATTACGTAGACAGCGCGGGAATATCGAGTCGGGATTCACGCCCGGAGATGGCTAACGTGGAGTTCAAGGAACGTATTCGGCCGGGTATGGTGGTGGAATGGAAGCCGCCGTATATTGTTACGGACAGCATCCGACCCTTGGCTCTGGTACTTTCATCGGTGGAGGGAAGCGGAGAAGGCGAGGAGAAAAAGTACACGTGTGCTCAGGTGGCGCCGGGACTTATGCATGGGTCACTGGAGGTTTATATTTGGAGACAAGTGGAGGTGCGTGTCGGGGCGATGCTGAAGGAGGTGTTGCTGGAGTATGATGTTGGGACGCGATATTATTATGAGACGCTGTAGATTGGACACGCCTCAGGGAGGACAACCGCTGACTCTCCTTGATGGCTCGGCCGCCCCCGACCAGTATATGTTGATAGATATGAAGCGAAAGGCAAACGTTAATTGACTAATCGAATCAAGGACAGTATTCCTCAAGGCTCCGAACCAAAGCTCAAGCTCTTACTACTGACCGAGAAGCCCTAGGCGACTTAACTAAACGCCTACTCTATATCTGAGCAGTCCGAAGTAATGCAAACGGATTCTTTGCAGGGCGCCTTGGCGTCGGTTATCGAGACCGAGCGCCAATGAACCCTAGGAGGGTTGCATTCAAAAACCCATTCATGGGTCCCCAGCATTCCTTCGTATGCAACTTCTCAATATAGCTGACAGGGAGGATGGCAATGAGAAAGCAATGACCTCGATATGCTGAAAGAGCCCATTCTTCAATGCCCCCTCACTACCCGTGCACATTTCTCTCTCGTATGGTAGCTCGGGCCTCGAGACCAACTTCCCTAAGGAACGCGACCATTTGAGTCCAATCCAGACCAGACAATGGAGGATAGCAGCACCTCGCCGCACTGGTCCAGGCAGCGACCCAGCCTCGGGAATACACGTCCCCTCCGCATTCGATCCTTTCCCTGTTGGAATTCTTCTTTGTCGCTAGCCCGCACCGTTTCCAGCAGCGGCCTGCTTGGTTTTCTTCTGGTCCGCGCCTTCGTTTGTTCTGACATCCGTCTCTGGGATGCTTCCGTTCCAGCTGTGGCCTACTGGAGCAGGCACCTTCCAGGTACCAGGCAGTCGCCTATGCATTCCGCATTTTCTGACATCCCGTTTCGTCCGTCATTCTTTGATAATAGGTAAAAGATGAGAGTACGTCCACTTGCAGCAGTTATATTTAAAACCTTGAGCTCTCCCTTCACCCTTGGCTATTATCACACGTCCAGGACACAACATAAGACCTTAAAGCCCTCAAGGCTTCCCGCCTTTACCCTTAGAACCTCGAATACTGGTCAAAAAATCCCATCTGCTCGTCCCCTTCCTAAGCAGTCACAATGGTTTCTATCAAGGCTACTCTTCTCCTAGCCGTAGCCACCGCCGTCTATGCCTCTCCACTCTCCTCTGATACCCCCGACGTTGGCTTCCACACCAGCTTCAATGCAACCCTCGCAGCGCGTTACTTAGATCGTGACACGGAGACGGCCGGGCCCTGTAAGCAGGGTAAATGCCCCGACTACAATCAGACCTTCGACCTGATGAACACCTACGAATCAGGACAACGCTACGAAATCCGCGTCAAAGACTGTGGAAAGTGTTATAAGAAAAGGGTCGGCCGGAATGGCAGCGGGTGCTACGACTATACTGCGTGCAAGATCAAAAAGACAATCTGCGTTGATCCTGTCAAGAACCGGGCCCATCGTGTCCAGAAGGACAACAACGAGAAGACCTGCTATCGCATGAAGCCCGTTGGCTTAGGTGGCTGCGATATGTATATCAAACAAGTCAACCTTTGGACGCCTGAGTCAGAAGTCCCCTGCGACTGGTGAGAAAAGACACCGGCGGTGGCTTCGTGAGGGATCTAGGGTGGAAGGCGATTCTCAAGAGGTGACTGGTCGGGTTGAAGGATATCTACCTAACGAAGGGAAGGCGACTCGATGATGCCATTCGTCTCCGGTGTTACTGAAACGGGGAGAACAGGGGCGTTAGCACCAGCAGCGAATTCTTGGTAAAGTAGCTCGCCGGAAGAACAAATTCGCTAGAGAATAGGATGAAATGGATGTAATTAGCGGTTCCCCCCCCAAACAAATGTTAGGGGTGCCTTTCTCTTCTTTCCTGCCTCACAAATGACAATGGCTCTTGTGTTTTCCTTCATCACGATTATTATTTTATAATCATTATGTCCGACTTTCATTGCTCCCTATCCTCAGTCCCTGGAAGTGATATTCGCCGTTTCGTTGCATTCGTTGCTTCCACCCTGTTGGAAAGATTGCCTCTCGTTACTTTGTTCATCAACTGAGGTACGCGACTCTGGGATGATCTCGACAAGACAAGTTCACTCCGGCCATGTTACCCCCACAGCGTGTAAACGGTTGTTGAAGCGGGAACCTTTGTATTTCCCATCGAATTGGCAGCATCTGGAAAGATACTGAAGCTAAATTAGCTGAAACTGATCCGAGGCATGATCTATCCTGAACAAGAAAACTGAATGGTCTCTCGGGATATCGACGCTGAGGTGATCATCAGATTGGGGTTCTGCCAGAGCGAAAATACTCCCCAATTCCCGTGATCCAGAACTGCGCCATTTCCTTCTTCGGACCTGGGCAGCTCTCGCTTTCGTCAGAGCAAGGGTGAGCAAGGGTACGCCAGGTCAGCGAGGCCGTCACTGTGTTAGGTCGCCTCAACTACAATTGCCATCTACAAAAGTGTATAAACGTCAACGCATTTGTATGTGCTCAAATCGGTTCTTCTCGAGTCTGCTGCGCCACCCGCCGCAGCTTGGTCCTGTAAATGTACAGCACAGTCGTGCGTAGAATTTTCTCAGCTCTCACAAGATGAATTAAGTTGATTCCTTGAAAGACCTGAAAGTGTCAACGAAAACGGATTCAGAAGTTCGCCATCGACTTGAGAAAACTCCAACATTTCAACGAGGCGACTCGCAGATCGGGAAGTCCTCGAGATCGAAATGCCTCCCATCAGATATCGGACGAAGCGCGCGCAAAAGAACAAGCAGAAGGGCCAACATAAGAAGTACTCTGCGACATCAACCCACCGCTGTCACAGCCCGCAAAAGGACACACGTCAGGAGTCGGTTCTCGAAAGCAACGATGCAATCAATGCTTCAGTGACAGGAAGAGGGCAACACGCTCTACGGGAAAATCCAAACGGCAGCACGTATTTACCCTTAGACAAGTTGACTCAACAATTCCGACTTCTTACTTTGTTTCCCAGTACTGGTACGGACCCGATTGACTGTCAACTTGATGTTCACCTCCTGAACAATTGCCCACGATTCGAGGCACTCTCCTATTGTTGGGGAGACCCAACGCCAATGGCGCCGATCACAATCAATGGCGTCGGCTCCAAAGTTAGCCGTAACTTGGGAGTTGCGTTGCAGTATCTACGACAACCTCAATCTCCTCGAGTACTTTGGGTTGACGCTGTCTGCATCAACCAACTTGATATACTAGAGCGGAATCACCAAGTGTGCCTCATGCATGAGGTGTATTCTACCGCCTACAGCGTCCTTGTCTGGCTTGGTGAAGCTTCGGATGGGAGTGACACTGCCATGGACTTGCTCAAAGAATGGTCTGCCTGGCCCACGAGAACCCAGCATGCGGAGACACCACCTATTCTGGATTCAGTGATTTGCCGTCCATGGTGGAGCCGAATTTGGATCGTCCAAGAACTTGCGCTAGCAAGGTCAGATCCTATCATTTATGTGGCCGGAAATGCCTCCCCTGGAGTGACTTCATGACGGGATGCGTGAACAGCGGACTTGATCTGTTGAACGACGACTCAACCGAACGCACCAAGGGTATTTTCTACCGATGGCTGCTGCACCACGTACGAGCAGAGGTGCAGTCTTCGTCCTCCAAACGAAGTAAAAGCTTGTGCGATATGCTAAGGGACACTAAGGACTTCGAGGCATCAGATCCTCGCGACAAGATATACGGCTGCCTCGGCTTGCTTGAGGATGAGATATGTAGCAGCCTGCAACCAGATTATGGCATCCCTACGGAAAGGGTGTACCTGGCGGCCACCAAGCATATACTGAAAAACGAGTCGTCACCTTTCTTCTCGACCTTTTCCTTTTACAGTCTTTCCCGAAGATCCCGGCCGAGCTGGGTGCCTAATTTTGCCGATCAACGGACCGCTAGTCCTAGGAACCCTGATTCTCGGACAAGTCCCGGCATAATGCCTGGACGTTCTAGGAGTGCTTCTTTCAAGGATAGGGGCCGTCTTTTATCCATCCAAGGATTGTTTTTTGACACTCTGAGCACATGCGTAGAGCTCAAAAGCCCGAACCAACTGCTATTACAAATCCAAGGCTTAGAAAAGATGGTGCGGCAAGCAACGAAAAGACCTCTGCCACCACTGCATCCATTTCATGCCTTAGAGAGGGATGTGGACATCGTTGAGATGCTCTCTGGAGGACAGCACGAGGATGACGGGAACCTGAGGTACCAATACGAGTACTTCGCCTGGGAGGCCGGACTACTTTCTAATCCCGATGGACTTCCTTCACCGGAGGAGATGGCCCAGCCGAAAGCAATTTTTGGGGGCATTCTTCACGCGTTTCTTCCCGGAAGGTATTTCTTCCTCACGAAGCAAGGATTTGCTGGCTTAAGCGTCTCTCCTGTGCTAAATGGCGATGTTGTCGTACTTCTTTGGGGGGGAAGACTTGCCTACCGTACTGCGACCTCGAGGCATGTCGTATACCATGCTCGGCGCAGCATCTATGGCAGGGATCATGAGAAATGAACTGTGGGACCTATATAATCAAGGCTTCATCAAGGAGACCACGTTTATGATCCGCTGAGTGGGATTTGAGAGTCACTCCGCCTTGTCTTGAAGAGAAAGAAACCGGAATATTTAACGAGATCTCGGTGCCGTTTGAGATAAAGCCGAGCCGGGTCTGACTAAGTGAGTCAAAGGGTGAGAAGGCGACCAAGCCGGGGTTCTGTGACAGAAAATACAGTTGTTCATACACTATCTACACAAAACTAGGAGGAAGAAGAAACAGCATCAATGTACAAACCGTATGGCTGCCAGCTGGGCCTGGGTCTGTGGTTTAGTTGCTCGTCCTAATATCCTAGCCACATTCCCGTCCCGCGCCGCCCAGATGTCTTCCAAGTCACTGCTGTATCGGGCAATCTGCACAAATTTCGTAAGATCCCATCTCCGGGAAAACTCTTCCCTTATTATATGGCGGTCTTCGGAAGAGTCCATGAACAGCCCCAAGGTGTAAACCAGCCAGTTGCACCCGTAGCATCGGGTCCATTCCTCGTCGCCCGCGTGTCGCTCGAGGATCTGGACGGACAGTCTTAGTTGCCAGCTGTCGTATGGCACCACTTGTGGTAGGAGGTCGGGGATTGAGTCGCTATTTCCCACCTGCTCCAGAAGCAGAGAAGTCACCATGGCGAAGAGATAGCTCGCATCCCGGAAGCAGTATTCTCGAGAGTCCAACTTATCCCACTCGCCTGAAGAAGGAGAACAGGATCGGAGTTCCCTGTCGCAGAGGACCCGTGCTTCCCAGTCCCCCACTTCACTCTGCAGTCGTTCGAGCTCGGCAATACCGGGTGAACGGCGGCTTCGGAAACAATGCCTGAGCGACAAGGCTGTCCGGAACAGCGAAACCGGAAAGCCCAGCACGGGGCTATTGAAGCTTTTGGGGGCATCGGGGAAGAATAGCGCTTCGTCGAGTAATTTACCGGCGCGGTCCCAAAACGACGAATCGAATTCGGGGTCAACGGCGGCTTTGATATCCGTCCACAGACCTGTTGTGTAGGTGAACATCTGGAACATGACGCTTTCGATAGCCAATCTGTCGAATAACTTGCCGATTGGGCTGGGATGGTTGAGGAGGCGGAGGGTCAGAATACGCGTTGCGGCGGTAACGTGTTGCGGGATGTCGAGGCCGGTGTCCCAGTTTATGAACTGTTGATGGCAAGTTAACGGAGTGATACGAACAGAGCCAATAGGAATGCAATATGCAGAAACCCACCCCATGCAAGTACAACATCATGACCGACATGAGCAATCCATTGTGGTTTTCGAGCTGCGGAACACGGTCAAGTAGTTTCGAAAGCTCGCTCACGGCATCGGCGTAATAGGTGAGAGCGAGATTCTGCAGGCGCCAGGCGCCATCAACCAGATACATATGGGACGCCGCATTGGCCAGCACAGAGTAGTAGAGACTCTTGTGAGTCGTCATCAGCTTCTGGATCTCGGCGAGCCATCCATCGTGGAACTCCGGATGGCAACTGGGTAGAATTAGGAGAGAGAAGTATTTGTTGGCGAAGTGATGAGATATGCGAAGTTCGAGGTTGGATGAAATGGCTTTGTGCGCGACGCTTGCTTCCCCAGATGTCAGACTTAGCGGGAAAATGAACTCCGTATTAGTGTTTTCTAACTGCCAGCAGGCATCAAGATATTCGACATCTATATCGACGACGGGATATGTGGTCCGTATGCAATCAAGGTCGGTATGTCGCTCGTCGGTTCGTTCCGGCTTCCGTCGAGGTTTAACTACCACCTCCCGATGTCGCGAATGAGAGTGAGAGGAGTAACGACGGTCAACGAGGTCGGCGCCCGATGGCCATTTGCAGTCGCGTCTCGAGAAGCTGCAGTTGCCGCAAATGGGGAACGTTTCGTCGCACTTCTTGCGGCGTTGCCGACCTAATCAGTGCCCCGAGGTTAGAAACGAGATAAGGTTGGAGAACTTGAATCGGCCAAACTTACAGGTCAGGCAACCAGTTTTCGTTCGCAGCTTTGCCCTAGAAGCACCGTTCATAATGGAGAGAATGCAACAGCACTGACAGAAGCTTTAATAGAAGTCCTCGCAACAAGCCTTGCAGATGGTGTGCGGGGAAAGTCAAAGTCAGGGGGGACGCCTCCATTTTCATACTTTGCTGGGACACGTCAGGCCTATCGAAGCCGAGCTTATCTACTACTTCGTCGTGCATTATCTTGATCCCAACTCGATTTTGCTAGGCGAGTCTAGTATGGCGAGAAGGGATTAGAGCGCGGGGTAAATCCAGCCCAGAGAGCCGGTTTGGCCGGACTAGCGTCTTGGAGGATGCTACGCGCCATCGTTATCAATCCGGGGTGAGGTCCATGCTCTAGAACTAGCTTCCAAAAGCAGGATAGCGCTGCGCAGGGGTCTGATAGGAAGTGTCTAGAAAGGCCTAGACTGGGGAATCATTGGTGACTACGGAAGCCTGTAGCAAATTTATAACTTTTAAAATTTTTCAACCTCAACCCCTCCAATTCTTACTAGAACTACCCCAACCCATATAGTTTCCTTAAATAATAAGAATATTAGAAGTACTTTAGTAAAATAATATTTTTATAACTAAACTTTACACCTTAAGCTTAGAAAATATAATTTCTTATCTAAAAAAATAAAACTTTTTAAAAAAGATATAAAGTTTATAATATTTTAAAAATAATAATAGGTAAGTATAACTAGTAAAATAATAAAAGAAAATAGTAATAGAAAAAGCTATTTACTAATAGGTATTTTTTTTTTATATTTTTAAAAATCTTTTTCTTTTTCTTTTTCTTTTTTTTTCCCTCCTTTATTATTCCTTATCTTACTTATAGATTACCTAATTACTTAATCTTAGCTAAGTTCTCCTAAACTCTAATAATAGTTTCTAATATTATTTAATAGTTTTAAATAATTTTACTTAGCTTTAAATATAATAATACCCTTTTACTCTAAAGCTTATAAACTAGCTAAAGACCTAGTTACTCCTTTTATTTTTAATAGAAAGCTACTCCCATTTATTTAAAAGAGCTCTAAAGAGCTTAATAATAGTACTCTAGAATATATAGCTTAAGCTTTAACTTAAATAAAATTAACTTAAAGTAGAAGTACTTTAACTTTTACTTTTTAAAAAAAGGTCTATATACTTTTATTTAACTTTAAACTAAATAAATTATTATTAATCTATTTAGTAGGAACTTAAGTAATTTCTAATTATTTAAGAGAAGCTTAATTATTTTAATAATAATATTTAAACTTATATAAAATTACTTATTAGCTATAGTAGTTATAGTTAACTATTATATATAGATATAGTAATTATCTATATATTTAGCTAAGTTATAGTAGAGCTATATAATAAATACTTAAAAGCTTAAAGAAAGTTCTTATATTATATAGTTTAAGCTAAATTTAGCTAAGCTTATATATACTATATCTACTAGATAACTAGCTACTTACTTAAACTTAAGTAAAGATATAAGTAAAGTAGTATATTTAATTTCTTCTATTATTATTTATATTAGACTTTAATAAATTAGGTATTATTAATTTAACTTCTAATAAATATTAAAAAAAGCTATTAAAGATATTTATTAAAGTTAGCTAAATAATCTTAACTTTAATTAAAAATATTTTTATAGATCTAAGTTTAATAATCTTAGCTATTTAGTTATAAACTCTAATAATTATATTTATATAAGTTATTAATAAAATTAACTCTTAGATAAAGATAGCTAAGTCTACTTTAATTACTTCTATTAAAACTTAAAGCTAAAATAAAAAAGATAATATTAATATTAATTTAATTAATATAAAATAAGTTTAATTAAACTTATTTTAATATAAGAAAATTTTTTTTTAAAATTAAAAAGTTTAATTAAAAAAAATATAAATAAAAATATACTAGTTTATATATAAGAAATTTATATTAAGGGAGTATAAATAGAAATATACTAGTTTATATAAAGTAAATTAAAATTTATTTTAATATTTTAAATATTAAAATTTAATAAAATCTATTTATTTTTATTTTTTTTTTCTTTTTTTCTACTTCTTAATTTTAAATAATTATAATTAATATAGTTTACTTAATAATTAATTTTAAATACTTATATTTAAATATTAAAAAATAGATCTTTAAAAGGAAACTTTAAAAAGAAATACTTTAATAACTTTTAATTAAATATAATATCTTTTATATAAAAATAACTTTATATTAGTAACTATAATTATAGAACTTTATATAAGAGTATAATTTTATAAAGATCTTAGACTTTTTCTATTTACTTATCTAAAAATTATTTTATTAAAGACTATAAGAACTAATACTATTCTAAATACTTTTATATAAAGGATATATAATCTTAAAATCCTAGCTTACTAATATTTATAAAGAGATAAGCCTTTACTACTAGCTTATACTAGAATAAGATAAGATTATTTAAAAATATATAAGATTAATATTTTCTAATTAAATAGAAAAAAGTAGTTTAATTAAAAGTTTTAAAAAAAACTATCTTTATATATAATTTTAGTAAAAATAATATATTATTAATTAAAACTTACTTTATTCTATCTATTATAATATCTATTTTAAAATAATTTAAATAAGATTAAATAAATTATACTATAAATAATTAAATTATACTTATACTAAATTAAACTTTATCTAATCTTTTAATATATATAATAAACTAATACTATATAAAATAAAAATCTATATTTATATTAATATTTATTTTTAATATATTATTTAGTTTTATATTAAGATCTTAGTTTATATATAATAAAGTATATTTAAATAATATATTAAAATAATTATATAATACTAAATTATTCCTATATTAATTTATTTATATTATAATATTAAACTAAATTTTATTACTATTATCTATTTCTTTTTATTTTAAGATTAAATAAAAGTAGATTTAAAAATAAATAATTTTATTTTAATTAAGTTTTAAGATTACTAGCTTTAAAATAAAAATATTTATAATATTAAAATTAAAAGCTAGTAAAACTAGCTTTCTTAAACTTAATCTTATTTTTAGTAAGTAAGTAAACTTCTTTATAAAATATTATTTTAGATATTTATAAAATAGAAATACTTTATATAGCTTATATTAGAAAACTTCTTTAACTTATTAAGTAAGATTAACTAAATTACTTTATATTACCTCTATATTTCTATTATTTAAGAAGAATTTATTAGATTTATTTAAATTTAAAACTATTACTATATCTAAATATAGAAAAACTAACTATATATTATTTTAAAATAATTATAGATACTTTATTACTTTTTTAACTAGTCTTATATATCTAATTATAATATTATATTAAATATTAATTAACTTTAAGCTTTATAAAAGATAGTAAAATTAGATTTATATAATCTTAATATATATTTACTTAGACTAATAATAGAAGTTTATAAATTAATATTAAAATATTTTAAAGATATAAAGCTTCTTATTTATAAAGAAGATTATCTTTTCTTTACTATATATTAATTTTTATAAAATAGACTATATTAATATAAAGTAAATCTAAATATATTAATCTTAGATAAGTTAGAAAACCTAGTTAATAAAATTACTTAAATTAAATAAGTATTTAAAAAAAAGGACTTAATATTAATTATTTAAATTAAGATATTTTAAATTTAAATAATTTAAAAAAGATATTTTAAAACTAGCTTAATCTTCTTTCTATATATACTTTTAAGTTACTATATTATTTAAACTATAACCTTAAGCTAGTTATATTTAAATAGATATATATAAATCTATTATAATTAATATAGTTTTATATTTAATTTAATTAATAATATTTAAATCTAAATCTTAATATTTAAATTTAGCTTTTTTCTTTTTAATTTAATTTAACTTTTTTTACTTTAATTTTATTTTAAATAAAATACTTTTAAAAAATAGATATTTTAAAAGCTTCTATAAGTTTAAAAAAAATAATAATAATTAATATAAAAATTTTTTTATAAAAAAAAAGAAAAAAAAATAATATATTTATTAAGATCTTAAATAGATTCTTCTAAATTACTTTCTTTTTTTATTAATATTTATTAGCTTTATATAACTTTACTAAAAGCTAGTCTATTCTATTTAATTTTTATAAAGAAAAGAAATAAGATATAATATATATCTAATTTAACTTTATCCTTAACTTAGGTTATTATAATAAGTTTATAAATAGTTTAAATTTAAATAACTATTAATATATATAATCTAATCTAAGAAGAAATACTATATTAAAAAATTAAGTAAGTTTTCTATAAAAGATCTTAAAAACTAATTTCTAAATTAAACTTATAAATAATTAATTTAAATATTTTAAAATAGCTTAGATATTATTAAAATTAATTAAAAGCTTTTAAGATTAGGAAGCTTTTATATAAAATTAATACCTTTAAATACTACTTTAAAATAAGTTATATAATTCCTTTAGAAATATATTTTAATATATAAAACTAAAAAAATAGGAAAATTTATAATAGCTTTCTCTTTAGTTCTTAGTTCTAAATAATATTAACTATTTAAGTTTATATAGTAATTTTTAAAGCTTAAGAAAAGTTAATAGTATCTAGCTATCTTTACTATAAGATATATAATATAGAGGAAGTTAATAATATTATTATTAAGTAAATTAGTAATATATTAAATAAGTAAATAAGATTAAAAATAAAATTACCTAACTCTATAAGACTTTCTTTAAAAATTAGTAGTTACTTTTTATAGAAGCTATAAAAATCTTATAATAGAGCCTTATAATAAATCTTAATATATATAAGACTAGTTTAATTAAACTAATAATACTTTAGTATTAATAGTATTATAGTTTATAAGTTTTTAATCTAGTAGAAGTAAAATTATATAAGTTTACTATTAAATTTTTTTTTATATTTAGAAAATTAAGGCTTGAATGATATAATAATATTGAATAATATTGAATTTTATTTAACTAGAAGTGTAAGTATTTGTACGGATAGTGTGTGTATATGGAGGGGTCGAGGTCGAAAAATTTCAAAAGTTACAAATTCACTACAGGCTTCCGTAGGTGACCCCAACGAAAGTCTAGGAGCGAGATGGACAGGGATCAATTTCTTAATTGGAGCGGGTGCAGGTGAATCACATTGTTCCTCGCTTTCTCGGGGATATCTCGTCTTCTCCAACTAAAAGTAGTAAAAAGTCGGACACGCCAACTTTAAATTCCGAAGTAAATATGGCATTTGGACCTCTACGGTCCTTCCCATTGTGCCCTGTCGCCTTTGACCAGCTCGTGATACGCTTGAGCGCTCCTGACTCTGAAACCCTTTCCGAATTTGATCATGAAGAAGCACACGGACGAAGCTGCCATTCCGATAAAGGCGGCGGAGATGAAACAGTTTTGATACCCAAGATTCATCAGCCAAGGTGTGATACTGACGAAGATTTGTTAGCTTCCTCATTGTATTATTAACAACTTGACAGCAAGACTTACCCATAACTAATGGCAAAAATCATGGTATTCCGAACCAAGATAATGGTGACGATGGCGTCTCCGCTGATATCGTGATAGCTGTCGATCAAGTAGTTGACACTGAGAGTGATGCCCACCGCAGTCGTGAAGGCGAGGCAGCCCATGGCGAACACAAGACCAAACCAGTGAACCTCATGTTGAGCACCCACACCCCATAGGATCAACGCACCGGGAACCATAACGACGCAAATGGAAAACGGCCACAGACGATGCTCCGCCTCCATAACGCCATTGTTGCGGCGGGCAAGTTTGATGGTCAACCAGTCGCTAAGTCTCCCCGAAACGAGGGACCCGGTGACGACGCCGATACAGCACGAAATGTAGCTCAGCCCCACCATGGAAGAGCCAAAGTTGTACGGATGGCCGGAAAGGATGATGGAAGCCGTGGCGTTGAGGACGGTGAACCAGATGACGTAGGATCCGTACGAGAAGCCGGCGTAGAAGATGACGGGCCAGCTGAGGAGCTTGAGAGCTCGGATGATGCGCTGGATCATGTTCTGGCCGGGTGACGGCTGCCAGATGGACATCTTCTGGAAGAAGGTCTTGGGTGGGGCATACACTTCACCGCTCTCAACCTGCGAAGAGTCCTTTGTACCATCGATGCTCTGTTGCTCGTCGGTGGGCTTTTCTGAGTTCTCAGCAGAGACAGGTGCCATAGCCCTGGGTTGTTGGTAGGAGCGATTGTAGTTGGTTTCTTCCATGAAGAAGAAGAGAAACACGAAAACAAATGCAAGGAATATGGCAGGCCAGTAGAAGACCCATTGCCAGCCCTGGTATTGCGCGATGAATCCACAGATGACGGGAGCGAAATAGTTGCTGCCGGCTAGGGTCAACGAATAAATGCCCATGTAGGTGCCCCGTTCGTGAGTGAAATACTAGAAATTATCAGTTCCAGAAAGATTCAAGGTTCATGTTCTAGTATTAGTTCGGCTTCTTACAATGTCCGTGACAGAGATTTCAGGCAGAGCCTCGATTGGGGCAATGAAGAAACCTTGTATGATGCGGTTGGCAATCCATTCTCCGTTACTGGTGACGTAGGCGCTATTTGTATCCACCACGTTAGCTCACTTCTAGACTAACCTCGGAGGACTCAGCTCTGTTTCATGAAATAAACTTACCTCCAAATGCTGATGCCCTATTGTTTACCGGTTAGCCAATGACTATCTAATTTCAAGAATTTCCTTTACTTACGATTCCTCCAAGAGTCGAAACAAGATATGTCAGGCGCTTCCCATATCGCAAGGAGAAAGGCTGCCAGAAGAGCAATCCCCAGCCGAGGAGAAGAAACATGTAGCCGGTTCCCTCATTCAGCGTGGCGACTGACACGCCGGAGGACTTGGAAAGAGGCACGAGAACGGAGTACACCGTTGATAGTGAGATTCCCGTAAACCAAGTGTACCTAACCTCGTCAGTCAGTCATGCAAGCCCTAATAATACCCCCACTGCTTTGCACCGGTTCAAGACCACTTACAGATTCTGGCAGATAAGTGACAGCAGCTTGCGGCGACGGCTCCAATTAAGGGGATCATTTGGATCATTGGAAGGTGTGGGATTGAGTATAATATCCCCAGTGCCAGCGTGACGGGCATGAAGGTTGTGGTCCAGATCAACTAGTTGGACCGTCCCGGGGATATGACCGTCGGAGTCCGACATATTGTTTGACATATTGCTTGATATAACGGACTTGAGGAAATGTGATTATCGGGAGCAGAATGAATGGGGAAATCTGAAGAATCTAAACAACTTCAATCCCAGGACGACGGGTTTTATTGACACTTTATATACATTTCTTGTCCGACTGATTCGAGAGCTGGCCTTTGCAGCTAGAGGGAGATACCCCAACCAAGACTGCACCACCATGATATGCCCATGCGGGGGGAGGCCAGGTTGCCCAGACCGAAAAAAGCCCCAAGTCTTGGAGATTTTGGAGATATCCATCGTGATAAACTCGGATGTGGAAGGGCACTGGCCTTAGCTTATTCGCGAGACCAATGCAATGTCGATGACGCTAGTTCCGAATGTGGCTGTGGAGCCAGTTCGCGCAATTGCAGCTCATTGGCCACCTAAATCCGGGGGCGCTATCACGACCATCATCCCGGGAGAGACTAGCAACAAGACCCCAGTGATCGCTTGCTATCAAAAACGGCTGGGTGCTGAAACGGTAGGACAAACCCGGGTGGGGGGAGATATCGGGCGGGGGGAGGAGAAAGGAACGGTTGGGGGCGACGCGTCTCGTGCCAATGAAATGTATTTGCGCCTTGCGCAGCTTGATCGGACGTTATCATTAGCTTTTAATTACGTCGGAATTATTCTTTAGAGGCTGCCCGTCCTCGACCTCACCTTCGTCTAGTTCAATGCCGACACGTTCTCCTAGTGACCTCGAACACATGACCAGGATGAGGGGGCAACCATGGGAGGGGAAACTAATCCAACTCCAAGATATAAAGGGGAGATATTCTCAGACTCGGACATCTTGGACACCTTCAACTACTCCAACCAAACATCTTCCTTCACCTTATCATTTTCTATCCCTCCTCCATCTTCTTATCACAATCACGCAATCACACAAATCATATCATATTATACCTTCATACATCATGAGTGTCGTCTCTTCTGTTGTGCCAGAACTTCAGCTGGAGTCTAGACCCAAGGATGTCTCGGTCGTTCAGGTCGTGGACGTCCAGCCGGAGACAGAAGCAGAGCCAATTCATCAAGGTCTCCCCATCGTTCAAGTCAAGGCAGTCCCACGAGGGTCCGCCGAGTTTGAAGCAAAGAGGGCTGCTCTCCTTCGAGCTTTCGAGGCCAAGGTTCCACTAGGATACTGCCTCCCGCAAGATCTCATCAAGAACCCTCCCACCAATGTGTCCAACATTCCATCTACCTGCGGGATCTTGTCGGCGGAAGAAATTGACATCACCGAGAAGTACGACGCGGTTAGCCTCCTCGAGGCCATTGCAAACCGCAAGTATACTGCCATTGCGGTTGCTACAGCCTTCTGCAAACGTTCCATAATCGCCCATCAACTCACTTGCTGCCTTACGCAATGGTTCATGGATGAAGCCATTGAGCAGGCTAAGAAACTAGACGATTACCTTGCCACGCATGGGAAGACTATTGGTCCTCTCCATGGTCTACCCATCAGCATCAAGGACCACATCCCTATTGCGGGTACTTTTTCCTCCCAGGGTTGCTTCGGCAGCATCGTCAAGAACGAGGAAGACTGTGACGTCATTGCCATTCTACGCAGTCAAGGCGCCGTCTTCTACTGCAAGACCAACCAGCCTCAGTCTCTAATGCATCTAGAGAGCGACTCCCATTGGGGCCGCGTCCTGAATCCCTTCAACATCAACCTCTCGGCTGGTGGATCCACGGGTGGCGAGGCGGCGCTGATCGCCATGAAGGGCTCAGTCCTTGGTGTCGGCACTGACATTGGAGGAAGTGTCCGTGGACCGTCCGCTTTCAGCGGTATCTATGGATTCAAGGCCACCTCGTACACTTTGCCACAGCGTGGATATCTCAATGCGCCGTTTGCTGCAGAGTTAAATGTTCTTTGCTCTGGGGGCCCTATGTGTCGCAGCTTGAGGGACATGGACCTCTTCATGCGTAGTGTCCTGTCTGCGAAGCCCTACCTCTTGGATCCCAGCCTAATTCCCATGCCATGGACGGGCCTTCAGACTCCTCTACAGGGGCGTTTGAAGATTGGTATCATTAGCCACGACGGCTTCATCGATCCCCAGCCACCCGTGAAGAGGGCTATCGCTTGGGCCAGAGACATCCTATCCCAGCCCAAGTACAACCATCTGGTGGAGGTGAAGGAATTCAAGGTCATCGGCGCAGAAAAAGCCTGGTCTACTATCAGGAAGACCTACTGGCCCGAGGGCGGCCAACTAACCAAGAATGCAATCCTCTCCACAGGAGAGCCGGTCCATCCCCTGACCGACTGGATTTACGAAGACGCGGAGCCACAGGGAATGCGGTCCGCCGAGGACGTCATGTGGATGCGCAGGGAACGCGATAACTTCCGGTTCGATTTCGCCAAGAGCTGGACCGACCAGGACGTGGACATCACCATCGGACCGGCGTTCGTCGGCCCCGCAAGCGCCCATGACACTGCGTTCTACTGGACATATACTTCCCTTTACAACTACGTCGACTACCCGGGAGCGGTAATTCCCACCCCGATCAAGGCTGAGGCTGGAGAGACGTACGATCCGTCTTATGTGCCGCTGAGCGATGCTTGTAAGCATGTTAAGGAGCTGTGGGAGAGCGGCAACTTTGAGGAGGCCCCGATTAATCTGCAGGTCGTGGCTCGGAAGTATCACGATAACCAACTCTTTGCGGCTCTTCGGGTGTTGAAGGTTATTTTGGACTTGGCTTAGATATTCTATTAGCAGTTTTGACGAGATGTAGGTGTATCCCTTGTTGGTAAATAAATTGAGTCTATTTGTACATGCAATCGAGCCTCTCAACTTTCCAGAACTGAGCCATTATAGTAATATCCTTCGCAGGAATTCAGAATATTCCGAGCTCTCTGATAAAGTTGCCATGATGGTTGAAAGGAAGGCGGTCAAGAAGGCAGACCTTCTGAACCGGTTGCATTGATCCGGGAGGTCGGAGGTACATGGCGTTTCGGCCAGGAAGCGTCGGCTTCCATCGGAGGGTTCTTCCTGTCGGAGCGGACCCGTCGGAGCGGACCTAATCTTCTCCGTTCTTGGATCAGTCAGCATATTTGTCCGACCATGTGTCAGACCACGTGCATCTCCAACCACGTGAAGGCCATAAGACCGTCACGCGAGTACAAATAACAGCCGACAAAACTGGCAACCACCAGAGCTGCCAACTGACATAACTGGTGACCAGAACTGAGCCCACCTGTCAATCCTGGAAGTCGGGAAATTGTGACACATTAAAGAGCCGACTGACTCCATCACGCCTTGAAAGGCAGCCCCGTTGAGCTTATCTCGATCTCATCGTAAACTATAAACTCTACTAGGCTAGCAATGCCCCGGACCCGCATTCCGAGTTCCCACCAATCATTCTTGTTGAATCTTCCGCCATCTGGTTACTAGCCAATTGCTCATCCCGAAGGTGGACGCTATGGAAGTCATTGCAAAGTTTGACGTAAATTTGGTGACGTCGTAGACTGTAGAAACAGTGTTCTGGAAAGGAGATTCGTCATAGGATATGGCAGGAAGAGAGGTGGCAAAATGGCAGTGCTGGAACTGTACATACCATTAAGTTCCCACTGGTCTGTCATGACCGATCTGCCATCTTCCATCTCTGTCTCTTCCGAGTTCCGATCCCTTGGATCAAGGTGGCTTATATAACATACTTCCATCGCCGTTGTCGCTTTTTTCGTCCATCTCCATCATTTCTGTCGACGCTGTCGACAGCGCCGACCCTCATGATCTCGTGACTCTCACGATGGCTCGAGCAGAGCTCTTGCCGCGAAGTCCAGATGGCGTCCCTCTTGCTGGCTCGGTGATGAGCATGGTCGTCTCGCTCGTGGCTACCACCGTCTTGGCAGCTTTGCTCTGTGAGTTGAATTTGAAAGATGTATTCCATTCGGTACTCTCAAGATGTCCTAACGAAGCTTCAGTTCGATCGTTGACCATTATCAAAGTATGGTCGAGGCTACCATTCATCATCTGGCGTGGGTTGAGCTACCAACACTCCTGACATATTAAGACAACATACTGATATAACCAGTTGTCCTCGCTATCTTCACCGATTCCTACTGCTTCGTATTTGCATCGGCCATACTACAACATTCTCTTGGTATCAATTCCGGTACTAGCATATGCTCTGCGGCACTTTATCTGTGCCTCATTTTTTATGTCACGACCAAGGTGAGTTCCCATTTGCGTACTCATCACCAGCTGTCTATCAACAATTGCTAACCTTACTCATAGCTTGTAAGGTACCATGGATGAATTTTGATACTTATTGAGTCCTCTGACGATGGCCTTTTTAGCTAATATACCTCTTCCTGGTCGAAAAAGCTGTAGGTGTCCTCTCAATGACCCCAGACTAACGCCCACTCTAATGACTACCGTCTCAATTTCAGCACATTATTAGGATCACGACGAAATCAAGACTCAAATCAAAGTTATACATCTTTAATTCATTTGGAATGCTCGGGTTTTTCACAGGCATCGTCGTTCTCAATTTCGTGTTGTTCGTCCACACCTGATATCGCCCACTTTCGGCAAACCGACTCACTGACAACTCCGTTAGTCACATCGCGAAATTTAACAACGGAATATGCATCATCGGCATGAAGCGACTTGCCATAATTCCTCTCGTAGCCTTCGACTTGGTCGTTAATATCTACCTCAACATCCTCTTCCTCATTCCACTAAAAAGCAGGTGTTCCAACCTAGCTTCTTATTATTCCAACTCGACATGCCCTAACCAGTGTATCTTCAGACCTTTACTCCTTCAAACACATGCCCAGGACGGCTGCGAATGTTCGCCTCCGCAATATCGCCTTCCGGACCTTTGTGGGTGGCTGCCTGATGCTTATAAGCAGTATTGCGTACGATTTTCCTTTCCCTGTCTTCCGACGTGGCACGTTGGACAACATCTAACGCTACAGATGCAGTAACCTGACCGTATTAATGAGTCTCAACGGGGAGCCTGGCTGGGTTTGTTTCATGTCTTGCAACTGCGACAGTATGTCCCCTCTGTTCGAACGCTACTGCTTCCATAACCATGTCTAACCGTCTAACAACTCCCTTCGCAGTTACCTTCTGCGCTCTTGTAATTAACTGGGTCACCTCAAAGGACCGCTCCGAACCGTCGAGTCAGATCAGTGCCACCACTGGCGGGAATAGCGGCGACGATTCGAATCTTCTCGGTGGACGCAGCTTATCTATGCCCCTTCCGGCCGCCACCGCCCCGAGCAGTAATGCAATAAGCTCTACACATGATACCGCCGGCGGTTTGCCCCTCGCAACAATCACTCGATCGCCGGTCGGCCCCAGAGACACAGCTGCCAAGATCCCCTCCCCCGTCCGGGGCTACCGGTGACGAACTCCGGGCGGGATAGTTTTAACCCCTACCTTAGCAGGCTTGCGTTTGGCCTGGGTACACAAACATTGACGACGACAGCTTCGCAAGACACGACTACATGCCACGACAGACATATTAGAGTGCCAATCAGGCAAACGCTTTAGTACACAGTCGCACAGAAATCAAGCGCAATAACTGTACCAAGCAACGAAGACTAACACACAAGAGCAGAAGGCCTTCCGATCTCTGACAGTGGTCATCGAGACTTGGGCCATTAGTGATAGTCCACCTCCTACGACGGTTCTGCGAAATATCACGCCTTACTCGTGAACCAGGCCGGCGGAAGCTCACGGTTAAATTCAGATGAAAGGCAGCGGGCGAGGTAATATTGAATGGAGTCGTTGGTCGCACAAAGTCGCAGGTATAATCGAGTATATATGTCGTCTACCCCAGTGACCCCGGTTTCCCAATAAAATTTGGCTCTTCCCAACGCACCGACTAGGATTTGCGTGCCCATTTGCCTTTCCCTCTGCTCAACTGTCAACTATGGCATCCTAATTACGTCTTCCAAAAGAAATCCGTCAGCAAATATTAGCTCTCGTGATTACAGCTCTATCAGCCCACCTTCCTGGCCCTGGGAATCTCAAGATCGTGTGCGACTACGAGGGCACTGGGGCATCTGGGTCCCGAGACAGTCCGCATCCGCCGACCTCGCGATCTCGCAGACGTGTCGAACTTTGGGAAACGGCATCGCTTATCCCTTGGCCACGAAATCGGGGATCTATAGCCTAGACGTCATGTTCGTTACCAATGTGGCCACACATCGCCCGCCACCGGGGCAGACTCATTTCGACACCATCCACGTTACCTTCCACATTTTCGACAACCAGGAGAGTGGACTAATCCCGAGATTCCGGGGTTACTGCTCTTTCGAGACCAAAAATGTCCACCCGAACCCTCCTGCTGGCGCGTGCAATTTGTATCTCCTGCCCGCTTCGTTCCTTTGCCTGGGGCCTCGGGGCGTATGAAGTCCTATTCTCCAGTCGCGTCATAACGGCTCTTTGTCAACATGTCGATATACAATCAGGACCCTCATAATTGACGTTATGCCCGAGAAAATAGACGAGGTCCAAGCATTCAGGGACGCCGCCTCAGGTATACTGGAACCTGCGAGCTGGGACAGGAGCAATTCCTCCTTTCCGTACCACTCTTTCGGGGAGGCCGTGATATTCCCAGGTCCGCATCGCGGCTCTCCATACACCTGGAGTGGCCCTACTCATGTGGGCAACGCAGTTACATCGAACCTCAAAGACTGACTGGGTTTGTACTTGGCGAACACTATCTGGGCTCTGCTAGACTTTAAATGGGCATCCCGAGGGTTCGGCCTCCTAGTCCACGAGGGCATCTTGGACACTATTGAGATACGGGTGGACGGAGTACGTCGTGTTCGCTATGAAATAGATGACCTGCTTTCACGGCTGGTGCCAGATGCCGATTGCAGCATGGCAGATAGGGAGAGTCTTGGTCGATGGAAGGAGTGGCTGATCAAGTGGAAAAGAGCATGCCAAGCTGGGGATTCATTTACCCAACCTCAGCCCACGATGTGGTTTACCAGATATAGAACGCCTGAGCCAGAGGTAGACCCGTTTCAAGTTTACTTGGGAGGGTTACTTTCGGAGGCTTCGGAGTGACAAAGGTGAACTCTGATTTTACTAGGTAAACGCCAACCGCCACCATTAGAGATTCCTTTTCAAGGTAATCGAAAATTGGCCTATTTTCCTAGTGCCTAATGTTTAATAAGTCAACTGTAGATTATAAGACAGCTAGATGATTATAGCAATAAACTACATACGAAGTACAAAGAGAAACCGTCACATCTCGTCTCGGCTGTTAGAACTCATCTCTCTAGAAGCTTCACACACACCACAGCTGCCCCAGCTGCCAATCCTCCAAGGCCAGCCATCTGTATCCCTTCCCACAAACAGCGGCCAATCCTGTCCCATCGCAACCCTGTTGACAGCAGCCTCTTCCCAAAACCGAACAGGAACAGGGCCATCACACATAGGACTGTGCTCCACAAGAGACCTTGTCCAACATGTGGAACGAAAAAATACGGGATAAGCGGGAGTAGCCCGCCTAGGATATACCCGAGTGCGATTGACAAGCCAGTCAAGACAGGTGACCAGGGATACTGATCGACCTCGTCTATCCCCGGCAAGGCCAGGGCTGAAAGTGTAAAGGGTTGACCCAGCACATGAGCCTCGACGGCGTCCTGTATAGGTCCAGGGAGTTTTAATGGAGCGAGATACTCCAGGAGTGCTCTCCGGGAGATTTCCAACGTGACATTGTCGTTGGCAGCCTTCTCTAAGCCTGAAATGTCAACATCCTCGTCGTCTGAGAGGAGGCCTTTCTCAAGATCCTCGATAGCACTGTCCGCATCTGTGCTCCGGCTCGACGCATCCTCTTGGGCAAGCTCGGCGTATTGGGCCAGTTTGTCCTTGACATCGAGGACCTCTCCTCTCGAGGCGAGGTACCCTCCGACGCCCATGCTGAGGCACCCTGCACAGACTTCCGCAAGTCCGGCATAGACCACTATCTCCGTCTTGCCGAGAGAAGATACTCCCGCTGTGAGGGCAAAGGGAACGGTGAGGCCATCCGCGAACCCCAGGGTGAGATCGGCGAGGAAACGACTTCGGGAGTATGCCATGACGAATGACTGTGGTAATTTGGTCTAAGTGTGTGAAGGAATAGGATAGTCAGAAACAGCCCAGAGAAGGTGTATTGAAGACAGGTTCTTACAGAAGAAAGTCGGAGATGGTTGCTTTGTTGCATATGAATTTCATGCGGTGATGATGTTGGCAATGGATATGGGGGAAGAGTGAATCTGAATTATTTGAAGACAGGGGAACCGAGATTGTCTGTGCAATTCATATGTGCTGCCATCCTTATCGAGAACACCGACAAGAGGCATTTCCGATTCACGGCCTCTACCGAATTTACATGAAGTAGCCATGATAATATTGATCCCTGAGGCCGAGGAACAAGGCCGTGTGATGACAATACAACGGCGCTTATTCGACAGGCATCATTTAAGACCCGGACATGCATCTGCAAGTGATCCAAGCCCGTCGAAACTATTAAACTGCGGTCTAGATTGGTCCACGGAGAGGACCTGGATCGGCAACAGTGTAACCCCACACCCTGGCCGACGCAGGTTAAGCTTTTTTTCCTCACCGACCCAAAGGTAGGATTGCAGCGGGTTGGGGGTTGCAGGCCTGCATGAAATGATATCGAAGCTGAATGATTGGACGAGGTGAGTCGATCTGTGGAAACAAGCTTGAAGGCTTGAGCGCCGGGCATAGACTAACTTGCTCTGCCGTGCCATCTCGGTGACCTGTTCGAGACCCCCCTCGCCTCCTTCTTTAATCTTCAACTCTTGTCGGCTAACCGGCGCCAACGTCGCATCGATATTTTTCTTCTTCAACCTGCTCGAGATGATTATCGCGAACCCCACTGAATAGTATAAAATGGCATGTCGTAGCGTTCCCGAAGAAGAATACGACGCTGCCTGCAAGTTGATGAGCGAAATACCTGTTATCAACATCGGTCTCCGAGCATCTCAGTTCAGCTCTCGATGCCCACGATGTCCAATATCTCACTCATACTGGCCACTCACGGGTTCTAGAATTCTCGAGACGGCCGGGAAAGGAGTTGGCTATGCACATGGCTTGCATGACGCGCTTTCACAAACGCCCGCTCTTTTTGCGAGCACGCCGATCAGAAAGTCCAATATTGAAAGTGTCATGGCTGCCTGCCGGCTACAAAGGAGACGTTTCGGACTCTTGAAAGATTCCGAAGAGCCATGTGATCGATCCCGAAAAGATGACCGAATGGAACTAGAAACGGCTGGCAATTGAGCCCAATCGAAAATGCCTCAGTGACACGAGCGAATTGGGCGTTACCATCAGGCACGAAGTATACCGGTAGAAGTTGAGGCTTGCCTGGTGATGCCTCATGGTCGTAATATATTTGCAATCTTTACAATGCTATATAGACTCACCCAAGTCTACGGTTGTTTGGGTCCTGCATCATATATCTCACCAAAGCCCTATTATCGTTGCCGTGACAGCGCTATTAACTACTTTTCATCACCAAAGAATCAACCATCAACATGCGCCCCTCTCTTATTGCCTTGATCGGTAGCCTTACCGCAGCGAGTGCCCTCGCTCTACTTGTCACTAACACTGAGGGTTTCACTACTCGAAGCTTCATTCCTGGGAACACTTTCGACAGAATTGTCCAGATCTGGCTTGAGAATCAAGATACTCCGATGCCATCCTCAACAGTACGTAATATATCGCGAAGGAAGTAGGCCTATGAGGCTAATTCAGGATGATGACTGACTCTGGAAACTATCAGCCAACCTGGCTTACCTCGCCACTCAAGGACGGCTCTTGACCAACTACTTTGCAATTACCCACCCATCTCAGGTGCGATGCATCTCGAAAGCTTCATAGTTAATTTCTCCACGCTAATGTTCCTGGGTATATCTAGCCCAACTACGTTGCGTCCGTGGGAGGAAGCACCAATGGAGTGACGGGTGACGGCGACTATAATCTCAGTCCCAGCATCAAGACTGTTGTCGATCTCCTCGAGGCAGGCGGCATTAGCTGGGCCACGTACCAGGAGGACCTGCCTTACTCGGGATACACTGGATCGAGCTACCAGCAGTACCGCCGCAAGCACAAGTAAGACTCCTCGTTATTCTTCCCTGGACTGTGTTCTAACCTGTTCCATAGCCCTGTCATGTCCTACCAGTCCGTCACGGGCAATCCTAGCCGCCTGGCCAAATCCAAGAACTTTACTCTGTTCTTCGACGAGCTCAATAACAACGTCCTCCCTCAGTGGATCTTCATCACCCCTGATATGAGTATGTACCACTCTCGCTTTTTCAGCGCTCTGTCAGTGTTTGAAACTTACGATTTTTCCTTCCATTGCAGACAACGACGGCCACGACACCGGTCTCGCCTACGGCGCTAACTGGGCCCGCAATTGGATCACACCTCTCCTCTCTAATCCCAACTTCAACAGCAACCGCACGCTCGTCGTCCTCACCTACGATGAGGGTGGCTACACTAAGAACAACAAGGTTTACACTGTGCTTCTCGGTAGCGTCTTGGCTCCGGGCCAGATCGGCTCGACTGACTCGACCCAATATAACCACTACAGTCTCCTGAAGACTGTAGAACAGAACTGGGGCCTTGGCAGCCTGGGAAAGAGTGACGTAGGTGCCGCCGCGTTCTTCTAAAGACCAAGGGAGGCGTTGTGGTGGGAGACTGTCTTTGAAGAACGCTGGACTTCGAGGTTTTGTCTCCGCCCATTCCGCGAAATTATTTGGGGTTAGGAGGATCGTGGCCGCTAAAGAGAGTAGAGGAGCTTGTATTGTCGTTGTTTCCCTCTTATTTCATTGCATCTTATAGAGTACTTGTTTAGTTCCTTGTAGAGCTCTCTACCATTTGGCCTCTGGAGCTTTACTGTTCTAGCTGTTTTCGGCTTGGATTCAAAATTCCTATATTCCTGCTTCACTTTCGTCTAGAACGAGAATGTCGTGTAAGAGTTTCTTAACTCATCACGCGCAACTATTTACTGCTGCACCTCCAAGAAAACGCCCCGGTCTCTGCTTGCATAGAAGATATATAGAGTCGGAGAACAACTCGTATCTTGTTGCAAGGAATATTCAAGACAGTCAGCCTGTGTCCTAGAACTTCCTACTAGTCTAAATTTGAGCTCTCTAACTCTTTGAATCTTAGAACAGAAACGGGTAGAAGGAGTCATGCAGCAGGTCAAGCAAAACGGTCGGTAATATATGACTTCAGCAACCGTTTCGCCAAGACTTTTCGGGTTTCGATGAAGGGAGCCAGTCAGAAAAAAATAACAGAAAGAAGATGGGCAAGGCGAAATCAGGAAAGACGAGCAGAAGAACAAAAAAACAACTTAGCATCTCCCATACCAGGAATCGAACCAGGGTCTATGCTGTGCTCATTAGATGAGAGAGCATTATGCTAACCACTACACCATATGGGACTGTGGTGTTGATTGGTGCCAATCTTGTTCGATACATTGATATTGCTAGGGTTGCTGGCAGCTGGCGGGCGGATGAGGGTTTGGCTTATGTAAGTCACCACCTCCAGCTTTTTTTTTTCCCTCCCAGATCTCGCATCTCGTCAACACAGAGTTTTGCTATCAAACACAATATTATCCGCTCGGCCCAAGAGGTTCCGACATAGGCACAGGCATTACGACAGTGTGCTGTCTTGGTCGTGACATTGGTCAACTGGAGCCCATACCCGGAGTAGTCTTTATCCCGTACAATGGATCGTACTACCCCACAAGACTCTGTCTCTGAAGAGTCGCCTCGACGGCGAGAGCCGCCGCGCAGTCTTCTCTCGAACAACTGGCGAGTGCGCGATACGGCGCCTCAGCCGAAGCAAGATGAGAGGAGCAACTATGCGTCCCGAGACAGCCCAAGAAGCGGGAATGATACGCGCAAAGCCCCATTCGGACAGAAAAATGACTGGCGCAACCGGCGGGAAGAGCCGACCGGAAACTCGACAACCGCTGCGACAGGGTCTCCACAGAGAGCGGCTTCCGGCCGCCCCATTGAGGACTCGAAAGCCCTCGCCGAGGGTCGCCGAATCTACATCGGCAATCTCTTCTACCACATCCGCCCGGAGCAAGTCACCGAGTCACTCCGGGCCGAGGGTTTCGGCGCCATTGAGAAAATCCACATCTCCATTGACCCCGTGACCGGCCGCAACCCGGGCTACTGCTTCGTCGAATTCGAATCACGTGATGTCGCCGAGGCGGCAATCCGGGGCATGGCGGGTGTGTTGATCGAGGACCGACCGCTCAAGACAGGCACGTGCCAGCCGAAGCAACAGCAGCAGAGGCCAAAGCAGTCCCCGTGGTCGCAGCAGGGGTCCTGGCGACCTCGGGAGTTTAAGCCGACTTTTGAGAGGTGGGGAAATTGGACTGATGAGGGCGGCGAGGCGTTAGAGAATGGACAGGGTCCGAACGGGGCGGAAGAGCATCTGAGGAGTGTGGTAGAAGATGAGCAGCGTTGCAGGGTGTATGTTGGTGGGTTGGGTGCTGCGGCGAGCCATGAAGAACACGACCAGGAGCTGCGGGCCATCTTCAAAGATTTCGATCAGGATGTGTGAGTGTCTTCGCTTCGCCCCATCCCCGCCATAGGAAGGCGGGGGGATAGAGCACTGCTAATTGTTCCTCTGTTCAGAGTCGCCATTGGCAAAAGAGTCACCCCCCATCAATCGACATGGACCAAACCTGGGAAGCACCATTTCGCTTTTGTAGATCTGGCATCCGAAGAGGCGGTACAAGCCGCAATCAAGGCGCTCAATGGAATGACATGGCAGGGGTCCCGGCTTAGGGTTAACGTTTCAAAATCTATCCCGCGGAAGATTCAGGAGAGGGGGGTTCCGTATAGTGATGTACGCGAACCCGTTGGAGAACCAACAGACTAGCCTTAGCACAATGCTTCGGGCTTCAAGCCTCCGGGGACAAAAAGGAGGCAAAAAAATTAATGATCCTTCCAAATGAATAGATGGGTGGAAGTGCTCAACTAGTTTGTAGCGTTGGTCTCGCGAGGCCTGGCACGACACTGGTGGCATTATAAGTACTGGGAAAATTCCGAAGACGCCTCTTGCTTTGTGAAAAAGAGCACTGCTCTTTTCACAAGAAAATCCTTAGGATCCCATTCCGCATAGACGGGGAACATTGCCCTCGAGTCTATAGCATAATGATCCTGAATGTGCTGCCACCATTGGGATTTCCGAGTCACAGATGGTTATTCGACATCTAGAGAAGGACGGTACTCAAGGCAGTGCGCTGACACTCGCTGTACTTCGTATGCCATATTGCCGTTACGCAAGTATAGGCGAAGCGTCCTTAGATGCCGGTAATCGCCCATTCCAAGCTGCCCAGGCTCTCCCAATGCTCGGTAACAGTTGAAGGCCGCACACCCGCCACCTCAGTAAGTAGCACATCGTAGCCTGCGGACATAGTGGACCATGGTGTGTGTACAAGGTGATTGTATTGAGCCTAAATACTGCATATTACCGGATTACTGGGCATATCTAGATCTCTGTATCAGCAATGAGAGGACATGGGCTATTTGCACTTTGATCAGGACATGTTTGCGCAAGGATTGGAGTTTGGGTTCTATTCTAAAGCACTGATGGCGATAAAGAAAGGGCCGGAGATGAGTCTGGGCGGCAGGGGGGTTTTGCAGGCCTCCTATGTTGTGGTTTTCACGGTGGCTCGCTTCGGTGCCTGGTGGCCCCTTTTCTCCAGGATCAACGTTGGTTCCACAACATGAACTCGTCTGGCTCGCCTCGCTTTTGGAGGGTGCTAGGTTATTGATATCTTCGTAACCTTATCTGTTGCCTGGAGGCGGTGATGCTCTCGCGAACATCGAAGACGGAAAAAGGGGGGAAGGGGGAGGGGGGGGGTATAAAGATGGGGGCTCTCAACCAGCTGGTCATAGCAGAAATATACCTCTCGTCCAGACAAGTTTCCCGACTGCAGTTTCGATTAACCCGTACCTCTTGCCTTCAATTTCGAATCATTGTCTACAATGCCAGTCACCATCGTTACCCTTAACCTCTAGCGGAGACCATGGCTAGCAAAGAAATTAGTTACCGACCCAACAAAGCTCCTAAAAGTCGCCTCCCGAGACGATGCGGACAAATGCACGAACACAATCGCCAGCTCAATTTCATCCACCTCCACTCCCCCTGAAGGAATCATCCCATCCAAGAGCGGTCTCGTCGAAGCTGGCCTCCACGCCTGGAACCATCACAACAACCTGGTTCTTCGCTCCGACGATTTCTGGATCGCCATCCTCTCCCAGCTCAACTTCTACATCAACAGGCACGCCGAACGTCTGAGGGGTTTTTTTGTCAGTCACCAGGGGAAGAAGGCCCTTTAATTTCGCCAGGTTGCTACCATCAAGTCTACCGATTACGCCCTATTTGCCGACCTGACGGCCGATGCCATTGGGGATAATGTGAAGGATCCCGAGTTGAAGGAGTGGATTCTGCCAAACTTCTCGACGACGACGGGCGAGGTTAGAACAACCACTGCGGTGCTTTTCATGGGTGCTATGCAGGCCTATTTCCCATATTCATTCTCTTCTATCAGATGCGGTATTCCAAGAGTCACCCTCCTTGGTGAAAAGGAGGACTGGATCAACCTCCAGCGACCCATCGATAAAATTCTCCTGTGGGGACCCGAAGCGGAGAGATACCATCGAGATCTAGCCCCGATCTTGAAATACATCCTCGCTTCCTTCGACAACCCGACCTCGGACGAAGTTTCCGGATTCTGGGCTAAGATGGTATCGAAATATGGCCCTGCCCATGCCAGCGGGAACGCTGGACCATACATCACAGGGTGGCTTACGGGGCTCTTCCTTTGGAATGACAAGGGGAATGTTCGGTCCGAAGTCGGCCGCATGAACCGCCCCTCCTCTGACCGTAAGTTATGTGTCATCGACGATGCGAAATATGCCTATCTCGAGTTGGGCAAACGGCTTAACCCTGCTGTTGCGTCGGTGCCTGTTACGGTTTCCCAAATCGATGAGGACGGAAGGGTTGCAAGGAAGCTGAGCACGATGATGGTAGCCGGATGTTGGGGCTACAGGCCTTGCTCGGTCGAAGAGGGACCCGGCTCGGAGACGATATTTCAGAACCAGCCCCAATCGACCAATGGCAGTTCCGAAGCTCCGATCATTTCCTCTGAGACCCAGGTTAGAGGATCGACGTACATTCAACCAGTGCACTTTTGGTGGATCTACGAGGTGCACGGTTAGCTGTGGTAAATGGTCTCGGTCTGCTCACGGCTGAGGTTAGCTGCCATCGTAATTAACTCGTTGCGCAAGAAGCTACGCTTTCTTTCTTCTTTTATAGGCGGACCCAGATTGCCGTTGATGAGGGCCAACAATGAGTTTTTTGCTCATGCCGACTTCCGGTGAAGCGGGGTGACGAGTAGAGAGACAGTAATTCATGTATTGTTTTAGGGTTGATACTCAAGAACGAGAGCGTTAAAACCACAGTAATGCCTCCCGATAGACCCAGGACCGAGAAGTGCCTAATGGAGAGAAAACATCGCAAAGTCGGAAAGGGACGGGACCCCGCGAGCCCAAGGAGGGATCCCGCCGTTTCCCGTGCTGTCAGCTCCTCCAACCAGCAAGTAGTGTCCAATCGGGTAGACCCTCGATCCCGTCTCCCATACAAGCAGCCAAGGATTATCATCGTAATCCTCGGGGATGCGCTCGCGGAACCCCACGTGTGGGAGTCCCAGAGGGTTCGCAGCCCCGAAGACTTCTCTAATTCTTTCGTCGAGGTGCGAAAAGTCCTCAACAGTAGGCCGTACTATAACATTATGGTAACAATCGGCGATTTGAACAAAAATGTCACCAATTTGAGCCTCGGCAGGCACAATGGCCAATTCGTTATCGGCGGTCGTTGCAAATCTCTTCCCGGCGAATGGCCCAGCACCGATCTCGATATAAGTACGCAAGGCCCTTGAGACGGCCCCGAGATCTCCGAGGCGAAATCCGGCGCTATATCTTGGTACCCCGTGTAGGTCCGCGAGTCTCTTCGTAAAAATATTTTGGACATCCTTCTCGGCCTCTGTGGTTCCAAACAATGTGTCAAGAAGCTGGCCGATTTCATGGAAGGTTAGGTCCCTATTAAGTTTGGGAAAGGTATTAGCATTTTGACACCGGAATGGTATCTGCTAGTTAACAAGACTTACTGGGAGCCTACAGTCTCAAGTGTCTTTCTTGCGCCTTCGATATCTAGTCCTGCAATATGCTCGGGAAATACTGGGCTGATGCCATCGATTCGGGTGTTATAAAATCCGGAAACGCAAAGAACCGGATGGCCGGGAAGCAATATGCCGTGGCGGCCCTCGAATTCTACGTAGGGTGCGTCGTTTCCTGGTCTTTTTCTGAATAACAACTCTTGGGTAGGTTGGATGGCAGCCCATCGCGGAATAAAGGAGGGGATTGTTGGTGTTGTGGAGAGCGGAGGCGGGGTGATGGCGTGGTCAAGTAACTTCCCTAGATTCGTCACGGAGAGAAAGTACCTCGCCGCGTCAACCATCACCTCCGTTACAGTTTTGTTGTAGTCGATCTTGATGTGCTGGGACCATATATTTGAGTCGGAAGCAACACCAAGATGACCGTAGATCGTATCTCGTGGATCAGTCGCCCCAACCCCTCTTCGTAGACTCAATAATGAGGACAATGGAACGTCAAATGTTCCGTGCCGCTTGCCCACAGCGACCGTTGACGGTCTTGATGGTAGCTCAGACGGTTTTTTATCGTAAACCGCTGGGGCGGCGTAGAGAAGCATTGCTTTGTCGATGGAATCAGCTCCTATGATCTCGGAAAATTGATGCCATCTGGACCTCTGTCGACCGCACTGAACCCAAGGATCGGCCGAAAGCACCAGCTCCTGAAACACCCAGACTCGGCGAAACCATGGCCTTCCCAGGAGATCCCTCCTTAGGGCCTCAATTTCATTTGCAGCTAGGGAGGCTTTGGCTTCATCAACAAGATGAGATCGCGACAACGCTGGGTCGTATAAAGACGGGCTCAGGACACAACATAGTTTCTCGAACTCGGGGGTCGATGTCCCAAGGTATATTACGGTGTGATGCGCGGTGGAATATATATTGCCCATCAGGGCTACTTGGTTATTTCTCTCGGGGATGTCGAGCTGGTTAATGCAAAGAGCATCAGCCCATACTCTCAGGAGTTGTGTTTCGTCTCTGAGATCACGGAGGGCTCTGTCAAGACTTTCAGTAATTCCCATTAAACATCCATCTAAGTCAATAGAACCACGAGGTTTCGGGTCGCCCCAGACGTAGGATAACGCAGTAAATGGATTTTTGATGCCGTTATAGCAGTCACTAAGCGTCACCTGGAGGAGGGAGCCCTTCAACGGTGCAGAGAGGTCCTGGCTTGGAGCAAGACGAAGGAGGCGGATTGAATCCGGATAGCTGAGGCTGTCATACTTAAACCTTTGAGCAGTCATTATAATCCTCACTGACCACGACGACTTCCGAGGAGTTATTCAGAGATTATGTGGCGTACGCCGAATGTTAAGCTCCTCGAAGACTAGTTGGGTATAAACGCGGCAATTTCTGGACGAAGCGGGCCAGTCATGGGGAGCTGCCTTCGCCTGTCTCGTCAAAGTGCCTCAATTTCGCTACCCTATTAGGCCCCACTTTTCCGTGGTTCCCGGCTCCGGGACTCGACCCTATTCCCCAGCATTCCGCAGAGGAGGAACCAACCGTTCCCTACTCCCTCTTTATGGCTCCGTTTCGAACGAACGAAAACTGAGCCCCCTCGTCCTCCCCGCCCCATCTTGATTCGTTCACCGTTCAAAGACCGGGGGCTCTTGTTCATCTCGTCGGCCATTGTCATCGTACTCGTCATGATTGTAGTACCGAGAAAGACGAGAGGACGATGGCGAAAAAGACGAAAAGCAGCAAAGGAAACCAAAAGAAGCAAAAGGGTGTTAATTCGTAGGAGGATTCCGCAACGGGTCCAAAAGGCTCAATCTGCTCTGATGGGGCTGCAAACTGAAAGTCCAAGTCCGGTGATGTTATTTTCCCAAACGATGTTAAGTAGAGCTGCTGACACTGGCGGAGTAAATAATCTTCTTACTTTACACTATCCTGAACCCCAATAGTCCCCCATTACATGTGGTATTATGCACTCCTCGGCGTGAGACCAGATCTCATCGATACGCTCCTCTGACATCTCGTGACCGTCGTGTTCCCCGAATCTTCGTTCGCGTTCTCTGATGGACATGTATACTACGTCAACTGCATCACCCATGATGCTGACAGTTGCTTCCAGCGTATGGTTTATCCAACAGCTCGCTCGTATCAGTAAACCGTAGTTCCTGCGGTAGTGTCTCCATCTAGGGCCTTTCTCAACGGCGTACATCTCCCTAGCCCTTAACTCGAATAGGATTTGCGCTCGATCTCTCGGCTCCGTAATGCCTTCAACAGCCATCACTTTAGTTACCATAGACTGAGGAATCCCCCAGATATCGCAGAATATCATTCCGCCCGAGTAATCGAGACCACACGTGATCAGGAGCCAGGGGAGATTCCTAGACTGATCCAAGAGTGATGCATAGACTCCATGAGGCATATCTCTAACATCCCCAAACTCTGACAATGAAATACGGTCCCACCGGACGAAATAAAAAGCGTGCTCTTCTCCGTATCCGAATCTCGGTGTCTTCCAGTGAAGGTATGCAGGGTGGAAATCATCGATCTTAGGATTCCGAATATAACAGGTTGAGAACTCCCACGTTTCCGTTTCATCTTTGGGTATTAGCGCGTGCCGGTACCCGACTCGTGTAAATACTGAGCCTTTCTCTCCGGCAGCAGAAACAGGTTTCAGAAAAATAGCGACGAGAGACTCGTCCGCCAGATCCCTGCTCTCATTACCGCGCACGTTTACCGTACAGTTGAGCGCCGCCAGATATATAGGGTCTCCGCTGAAGCATTGAATAATATCGATGTAGGGCCGGAGTCGATCATAGTTTCTTAATTCCGTCAGTCGGACGTCGAGTCGAATGCCGCGTTCTCGGCTGCTGACTCCCGCGTTGGGATCCAAAGTGGAAAGTACGGGCCGAAACATTGAACAGCTCTCAAAGTCTTGCGGTGACTTGGCAAGGAATCCACGCTCGGAGAAAACTGGGATGCCTCCTTCACATGAGTCGAAAGCCTCACCCGAATGCCACAGGAATATGGTCTGATCCTCGGTTGTTCTGAGGATTTCTTCCTGCAGTCGTTGGAAGGCCCTTTCCCCCTCCCCATATAGAAGCGGCATATGGACATCGAAGATACCAAGAAGGCAATATGCCTCATCTTCTTTCCTTGTAGTTGCCCTCTTGAAAGCCCACGACAACCGTGTCGCCACGGGGATTTCGTCCAAGAGGGTGGTCCCATTCAAGATCCCTGGGCGAATCCCGGTGACACGGGAGATAATGTCCTGGTATTCGTCACGCGAGCCCAATAGATGCCAATCCGCCGAATAGAAAACCAGAGTTGAAGGAGCAATGAGCTCTTGGAGGGTCCAACCACGGGTAAACCAGCGTGGTGGTTTCCATTCTCGCTGGTGTGGCTCCGTTGCCATCTTTTCTTGGAGGTCCTCCGGGGCCATCACATCGGCCAGGTAGGTGTAACATATTTCGGAAACCGAGTACCACAGGTACATGGAGTTGATCGCCTCGGAGAGCTCGGCGCTTGATGTTTTGTCAATGCAGCAAGTATCAACCCAGGCCCACGACAAGCCGTCGAGCTTGGCTTGGCGACAGCAGTACTCGATCTTCTTGAAACCTCTCTTTGATTGCGCTCGATCGAGCTGCTGAATGTCTTGGAAAGATACCTCTTCATCTTCCCAAGTATGAGATAAAATGGCGTAGAGAGGAATGGACTGCGGAAGAAATTCCTCGACTTTGTACGTGTCCACGTTAATTAGCCGCATTTTTATAGCAGATGGATTCAACAAGTGGAAAAGTTGTGAGTTTTTCAGCCAAAGAACGAGTTATGTGCTTTCCTTTAAACGTGGAAAGCCTGAAAAGCCTCCTAGGATACCCGAAGCAACGTAATATGTCCACGGTGATATTGGCCCAAATGGAAAAAGGGGACGAAGTGGGTGCAATGCGCAGTTGTTCCTCTACTGTGCGTTAAACTGTACGTATCCCTATCTAATGGCCCGAATTTTCAGGCTTTGTCCTGTGAAAATGACCCCTCTTGGTGGGCTGTTGGTCGCACATCCTCGAGCAGAGTTGGTAAAGTTCCCTGGTAAGATCGGACCTTTTGTAACGATCATGACACAGGGTCCGTGGTCTATCGAGTGGGCGCAGGGGGTGGCGGGGTCGTGGGTGCCTGTTATGAAGTAAACAAGGCAGTCAAGCAGTATTCACAGGGTATAGTTGAGAAGTGCGCGGGATCCTAACCTTTGATCAGCTGTAGTATGGAAAAGAAGCGTTTCGAAAAAGAGGGGAAAAAAAGATATTTGTTAGTTGCAACATACCCTGTCCTGCGTATTCAATTCGACCACCCACCCGGACCGCCTGGCTGTAATGGAAGTTGGCCTTTTTTCTCTGACCAACACTATCATAGGCGTGGTATCTGAGCCGCCTGAGGTGCGACATGATTGTTTGACACTCCAATGTGGTGGATGTGGTGGATGTGGCCTAAGGAATGAGTGGTAGGGACGATTTACCAGCTTTTGCGAGGATTTACAAATCTCGATCAGTGAAGTATTGAAACAAAACCCGGCAAGGAGGCGCCCGTGCATTAGTTTCCACATGTCGGGCGTCAGCCGAGGCCGGGCGAAATGCTACGGCCGCTACGAGAGATGCCCCCGCTGGCGATAACGACATCGACCGACCTAATTCCGTTGACATCAAGACATGCTAGCGCTACAGCTCAGGGTGGATATTATTTCAACTCTTGCCGATTCCTCATTACAAACCCATCCAAACTCGGCACGACGGACTCTCCGCGCAGAGGCTCCTTCGACGGGCTTACATTGCACATGGGGCAATCAATCAGCCACGTAGGTTGGAGCGGTTGCGAAGGGCCTTCAGCCTAACGTATCCCACTACACGCGGTGAGAAGCGGCAAACTTATACCTCCTCCCTGGAGGACTCTCTGTAGGGCCCAATAATAGCACCGATGGTCAGATCTGGTACACTAAACAATTGGCCAATGTACTTATTACCAGACACAGCTACGATTAGCGAGTCACCCGGCGGAGAATCTCCATTACTCCATAGTCAAGTTCGGAGAAGCCCGATCAACTTAGGTGCGGCATCAACAAAGAGCCTAGGTGAAATCTTTCCAGCGTGTAGGCGACGACCTACGAAGTTGTGTGAATTACCGGCTGTGGCGCCGGAATGACGGCGGCTGGGTGCCTTAGCAAGCTACTTTCAAGCTGCCTCTCGTCGAAAGCCCATTTGAGTCCCCCGGTTGCCAAGCAGGTCTCGCGGCTCTCGCCCAGTACCTCATACGGCTCTGATGCCTGGAACTTCAGGCCTACTTCATCCTGACAAATCCACTGACGGCGGCGGAGGACTCGTGGAGTCTTCGAACGGCGACCAATGGTGATCAGTAATCTTTGATTATATCGGGGGTTTTACATAAAATACTCCGTTTCTTTCGGCTCTGGCACTAGTGAACTCAGTGAAGTATTACCGAGGCCTCCGACCACCATCCATCATCACTGCACTGGACAGTCTTAGGATGCTGCCGTTCCGTCTTGAGGAATGTCTCCAGGCTCGTTCAATTTTACTAATATTTCCGAGTCATGGGCAGCTTAGAAGCGATGAAAGACACCAAGGAAAGGCAAGTCGGGCAACCAATTTCCGAGGAACTTCTCGAGGTATGTCGTGCCGCTCCTTGATCCTGGAGTATTATCACGTCACGTTACTGAGCGCTCACACTCGGCAGATTCGGCGACAGAGGAATCGCGAAGCCCAACACGTCTTCCGCCAGCGACGCCAGGCTGCGGCATTGGCACAGACCCACCGCATCTAACACCTGGAGCAGACGATCGAGGAGATGAGCCGCGCCTTCACGGAATTTGTAGATGAGGTGCTAGAAACCCAGACGATTGGCCCTGGTAACCCCGCTCTTCTGAACAACTTACACCATGTCTCCGCTCGAATTCTTTCCCTGGCCAAGGGAGCAGTTGATGTTGAAGGAATGGGGACCCCATCGCCAACACTCACCCACCCTAACAATCAGCTTGGCATCGGCCAGGGAGCCGAAGCCAAGCTGGTGGTCTCTGGTGGCCCAGGGTCGCTCGGACCTATCTCGGATTATAACGGCATGGACCCGACCGTGGGCAGCTCCTTGAGGACGCCTGGCCAGGCGTTGCCTAGCAACATTCGTGTGAGCATCCCCACGGAGCAAGGAACCATAGAATCAACCTTTCAATCCATGTCTCGAACCACATCAATGCCAATAATTCCGTCGCGTCAAGTCTTTGGTAATGGTTGGACCACATCTACCATGCCTGAACTCTCCGGCATAGAGCCAATTCAGCGCTTGTCCCCCGATATAACAACAGCTCTTTCAGCTCTAGGATCCTTCTCCCTTCGCCTGCTCGAAGCAACCCTAATCTATGGATATCGTTTGCTCTTGGAACATGTCCAAGAGAAGACCGATGAGGCTGGGTTAGCGCTCTGTTCTCGGCCGCCGCAGCAGCTCGCTGCGGTCTTTCGCTGGCTACTAGGTCCTGGAAAGGAATACATGTATCGAATGTCGGGGGTTGCATGGGAAGCCAGCCACGGCGCGGCTTTACAACCACCGGATTCATCGCCCCCTTTCTCTATGCCACCTTGCTCCGACGCCACGCTTGAAGTTAATCACTCCAGGGAGAAAACAGAGTATCTCACAGCTATTGGTGTCCAGAGACGGTTGCAAAGCCTCGGTGCCAAAATGCTAGATGCAGATACGATGGAGCTCCAGGTGGATGGATCGCGATTCGGCACTGAAGATGATCTCAGATTCTTCTCGTCGGGGCCGATGCCACCAGCTTCGTGGAGCTACATCGATTTCTTCTCCGTATATCACGCTCAGCCGAGCTCTGTTACGATGATACTCAGGGTGCCAGAATTCATACAGAATATGACGCAAATATCTACTTGCTTGGGCAATGGTCCGGGGTATTCAAAGAAGGAGCTGGCTAGAGTAATGAAGGCATCTGCATCCATTGTTAAGTAGAGTTTGCATATGCTCCGTTCAATACGATGGGCACAGCTCCTCTCGAGTGTTGTCACCATCTCCGTGCTCATCTCAATAGAACTAATACCGAACCGTATAGATATCTCTGCATATTAATCTCGCCTTGGGTGCGTGCTAATGTTTGAGAGGCCCCTATTTTAGCAAATTATTGTTTCTAACCCTCCATTGCCGTTGGATAGCGTCTTTACTCTTCTTCAAGACCCACTCCGCCCTATGATGTAAATGCCTCAACTGCCCTGTCTTGTTCTTCGGGGTTGTAACGTGTTCCGGTGCGACAGCCCCCGTTTTTCGGGGAAATTGTGTAACCTTTCCGATGCTGTCCACCACGCTACATTCTCAACCAGCCTTCATATGCCGTTTGAGGCAAAAGGGCCTCTTCGCCGCGGCCGGTTGTAACCTAAGCAATCTTTAGCGGGTCTCATATTCTCGGACTATGGGAAGGCCGAGTGGCTGACATATTTTGTCCTAGGTAAACCCGAACGTTAGGCTGGGGTCATTATGGAACGCTGCCTCGGTTTCGGGGATATTTGTAATCTTGTTCTTTCCGATGCGCCGGTGGGACCGGAAGGAAACCTACTGCCGGGGCACGTCACAATTTCACTCTTCGTCTTTCCGCCCTAATATGTAGGACGGCCGTGTAGCTACCGCTTGTGCCCTAGGCAACCTCAGGTAATAGATGGGTCATTATGGAATGCAGCAATAGTCGGGAAGTAGTTGCTCCTGTTGACAACAGCTCCGGAGATTTTTGTAATTGTTCCGAGTGAGTGGCGGAGGTCGTACCATACTTCGTCTTATTAATTCGTATTATTAGTCAATCTGATTTCGAAGTGGACAGGATGACCAACAAGACATTGCTATACATACAGAAAGGCGTAAATATACTCTAGTTTCTTAGTGTTACATATCTGTAAATATTTGTATGTATTATACATCTCATAGTAATGATTAAGAGTATGTCGTAATTGCCATCTCGGCCCTGGGAGGAGGTATATAAAGAAAGGATCCGCGCTACCAAATTCATTCTCTCCCGCATCAAGAAGCCAACTCTAGTTTTCATCCGCTTAATCTTATATACCGCTTGAATTGTCACACCGCTTCATCGCCATGGCTAGCGCCCCGAGAACTTACCTTATTACAGGTGCCAATCGAGGAATCGGCAAGGGTCTCGCTGAACAGCTCCTCCAACGGCCTGGATTGAACATCATAGCAGCCGCCAGAGACCCGGCTAAGGCAGTCGCCTCGCTTGCCAAACTGCCCAAGGGCGAGGGCACTACTCTCATCACCCTCAAGATCGACTCCAATATCGATACGGACGCCGGAGACGCTATATCTCGGCTTCAAGAAGAATACCGCATCACGTCGATCGACGTCGTTATCGCAAACGCGGGCATTTCTCACTCGAACGGCCGAGTACTCGACAACACACCCGAAGCTCTTCGCGACCATTTCAACGTCAACACCATTGCGCCTGTGGTACTCTTCCAAGCAGTTTACCCCCTACTAAAGGCGAGCAAGACAGGCAATCCGATCTTCCTGCCAATCTCGACTGCGCTTGGCAGTATTGGCCTCCAACCAAGCCTAAGCGCATTTCCATCAGCTTTCAGCCCTTACGGCGCCAGCAAAACGGCTTTGAATTGGCTTGCGGTCCGGATCCACCTGGAAGAGCCGTGGTTGACAACCTGGGTGGTACACCCGGGTCTGGTTCTGACGGATATGGTCGGCCAATTCGCCTCTCGTGGCATTGACCCCGCCACGCTTGGCGCTATCACAGTTAAAACAAGTGTTGCCGGGTTGCTGCGAGAGATAGATGCAGCGAGCCGCGAGAAATACGGAGGCACCTTCAGGAGTTACGACGGCGATGTGCTACCGTGGTAATTAGAACGTGCAGCAGTGAACCCTTTGCCGCTTCAGTGGTCCTGCCCTACGTACTGGAGCAGATCACAAACTAGGCGGAATTTATTACACTACCTCGACGATTATACTAGCTAAAAGAGAGATTCTGTCTGACTGTGTCCTGTGACCCCTGTCTCAAGCATTGTGATCCTAGTCCTTTCCTAATAAATAGTTCCTATTGAAAGCTCTAGTTGTTGCCTTTGTTTGGTCTGTGACCTTAACTAAACATATAACTACACCACTTTTCTGGTAGGAGCTAAGTGCTCTAAGCATATTCTAGGCACTTATGTTCTTAAAAGTGGACCTGTTTTGCAATACTCACCCTCCCTATCGCCCGATCTCAGCTTCTGCTAGCCTGAGCTCAGCCCTGACGATACTAGAACTCAGTTTCAAATCCGGAGGTAGGTTGTGGTCGCTTTTCGTCTGCATTTCTTCTAGCATTAAATGCACCTTGTTAGAAACCACTTCACCTTGCGGAGATGGGAGCTGCACTTCGTACGAGGTGTGTTCTGTAGAGTTGTAATAAAGCCTAGGGTTTACAGATAGCTGCAGTATTTTGAGTCGCTTGCTCATCTACCGATGTTGAGATATAAAATACAACTCGGTAACCGGGCATCATGCGCGTTGGTCTCGAGACTGGAAAAATCTCAACGCTGAGGCGTAAGACAGGAGTCCTCACATCTCTTCACTAATGCGCGCTCTGTTCCCTCAACTCACCCCAGCCGCCTTTTTCATATCCTGCTTCCATTCATACTCTACCACCTCAGCAAACACATCATCCGTCAAAACCTTCCACCCAACAGCCGCCATACCCTTGGCAGCTTCCATCGCCCGGCGATACGAATCCCGCGTCCCAGCAGCAGCAGAAAACCCTTTCGTATGATTCCCTTGTCCCGGATTCGTATCGATGCCAAAAGCGCCGTGGAAGCCGGGGCATTCGTATGTTACGTTGCCCATATCCGTGCTCCCCGCGAGGAAATCCGGCGGGTCGTTGTAGGACACAGTTCCCTTTGGCATCGCCTCCATATACTCCTGACACAGCGAAACGCTGGGTCGCAGATCGGCGTAGCTGTTGATCGGCTCGACTCGCATGCCACATCCCGTCGCCAGGGCTGCTCCTTCGAAGCACTTCAACACTCGTTGCCATAGAGCCTCGGCATTTGCCTTCGTATCGCTGCGTACATAGTATTCGACGCAGCAATCGGCGGGTACAACGTTCGGCCTATCCCCAGCCCGAGGAAACACGCAGTGGATGCGCTCGTGAGGCCGAATCTGCTGCCTCAACATCGAAACCGCATTGTAAGACAGACAAACCGCGTCCAGAGCGTTCACTCCATTCCAAGGGTCAATGGCAGCGTGCGCCTCTCTCCCCGTAAAGTAAACCCTCATCTTGATATTCGCCAACATCCTGTAATACGCAACGCCTCGAATCGGTGGTTTCAAAAGATAGCCGGCTCCCGGATGGAGCATCAAACTCGCGGCCGCCCCGCGATAAGCACCCGCCTCGATCAGCTTCAACTTCCCACCACCGCCCTCCTCAGCTGGTGTCCCGAGAAGTCGGACACGGCCCGGAAGTTTCGATTCTTTGAGAGCGGCAGCCACGGCAAGGAAGGCGGCGAAGCTGGAGCTCGCGATGAGGTTGTGTCCGCAGGCATGGCCGATACCGGGGAGGGCGTCGTACTCGGCATTGAAAATGATCAGGCGGCCGCCTCTGCCGACCTCGGATGAAAAGGATGTTTCGACACCATAGGCGTGGGGTATTACGGGGAAGCCTAGTTTCTGGAGGGCGGATACAAGGGTTTTGTGGGCCTCGCGCTCTTCGAAGGCGAGCTCAGGGTTAGAGTGAATCTAATGAGGTGTTAGAAAGGATTCGAATGGAGCAGATTCAATTGGCCTTACTGCGGAGTTGACGGAGGCGATATGAGCGTCACTGGTATCGATGATTTCGGAGAGATATCGTGTCCAATGCTCGTCGTCTGGACTCAGCGTCGATTGTGGGTTGGTCGAAGTCATGGCCGTAGCACAGAGAACGATAGCTATTAAAAGCGTATTCTACCAGGTATCAGAGTTCGGTGGATGAGAGTTCTGACTCGTAAGTTTGATTTGACGTGAGCTTGTCGACAGCATTGACGAGTGACGATGGATTCATCGAGTTGAACTTTCTATTCTTGGTTTCCCCGCAGCTTCGGGGAAGCGACGAACTTTACCTGCAAGAAGGGGCGATCTCGATTGGTTAAATACAGAAACCTTCACTTTCTAATGATTTCGATTGGTCGCTAGATCCAGGGCCTGATAATTGGGCAGTGAGACAAGCTCGCGAGGAGAGAGTCGGAGAGAATGGAAAGAGGGAGGTTTAGATCTGCGCGTTTAGACAATAGTGCGAAGCTTTAGCCATTCTGCGAGTGTTTTTGATGAAATCTGCCCGTCATTCTTGAGCCTGTGATACACGTTTCGATGCTGCCTCGCTCTTCCAGGACTCATATTAATACGCCGTCTAATTTCAAGCATCGAACTAAGTGCCCAAGCATGGAGCCCGCGATCACGTTTGTCAAAGTCGTTCATCCTATTCTCATCTTCCACCTGGACATATTTTTCAGCCAGACTGCAGGACAAGATGAATACCCAGCCCAATCAAAACACGGACAAGGGAGCGCCTCTTTTATCATTGGGCACCGCCATTTATGCCATGGCGCCACGATGCCACGCCCCTTGAACCCCTCATCTTCCTGGAGCCTGGTCAGAATACTGGATTCTTTCCTGCCCCCTTCAAATCCTCAAGTCTCGATTCACCATGGATCCAGCATCGGCCATAGGCCTCGCGAGCAGCATCATCACGTTTATAGAGTTCTCGTGCAAAGTTGTCACCATCGCGAATGAGCTCTACGAGTCAAACAATGGCATGACGAAAGAGAACGCCCGGATCCTTAAGGTCATCGGCGATTTGAAGGAGAGCTCTCTTGGACTGAAGGTTGACACAGGGTCCTCATCTAAGCATGATGTGGCACTCCAAGATCTGGCAAAGGAGTGCGAGTCAACATCGGGAGAGCTCATCGCCATCCTGGAAAAGCTTAAGCTTGCGAGCCAGTCAAAACGAGAGCGACTCAAGAAGGCATTTGATAGCCAACGGAAGCGGAAAGCGATTGCATCTCTCGAATCTCGCCTTGGCGAGTACCGCAATCAGATGGGTTTCCGTTTACTGTGTCTGTTGAAGTATGTATACGTCTCATTCAAGACTGCCAATTGGTCCTGACAACGAGGCCATGCAGCGAAGAAACATCCACAACTAAAAAGCAGCTGGACGTTGTTCAGGCCGCGTCGAAAAAGCTGGATTGCGCCTCTTCGGCCAAACTTGAGGATATCCGCCGAGAGCTCATTTCTCTTCTATCACCTTTACAGGACGCAAATCTCCTATCCAAGATAAACGAGAAATTGCAGTCACTTCAGGCAGTTGTCAAGTCTACCGATCGCGAGACAAGGATCCTAGAGCATCTCCATTTTGAAACTATACATACACGCGAGGACTCGATCGAAGACGCGCCTTACGAAACTTTCCGCTGGATCCTAGACTCAGAAGACAATAACCACCGCGAGAGTAATCCCAAAACCAGCCGTCATGCCCTCAGTTCAAGTCCTAAAAGGACTGGTGACGAAGATGTCTCACTGCCGACAACAATGAAATCAGCCAGAGAGCTTTTACAGAACTGGCTCTCTTCAGGAACCGGAGTATTTCACATCTCCGGGAAGGCTGGGTCCGGCAAGTCGACTTTGATGAAGCTGCTCTGCACGCACCGAAGAACACACGAGCTTCTTCGGTCTTGGGTGGGTGACAGGAAATTGATATTTGCACGTTTTTACTTTTGGAATCCGGGTAGTGACCTTCAAAAATCACTCGACGGGCTCTATCGCTCTATTCTTTTCCACGTCCTAAGGCAATGCCCGCAACTTATCCCCAGCGTGTTCCCCGACCAGTGGGAACAATTGTCCGCAGACGATTCATCCAGTCGCAGGTTGGAAGTTGACCTATTCCGACCACCTCAAATTAAAAAGGCCTTTGATGGTCTGATCCAGACCTCTCTAGACTCGGAAAATATCGCGATCTGTCTCTTTATAGACGGGCTAGACGAGTACAACGCCAAGGCCTACGATCACCGGCTCCTCGCAGAAAGGATCTGCAGATGGGCTGTGTCCAAAAACGTCAAGATATGCGTTAGCTCTAGACCGCACGTGGAATTCGTGGATACTTTTGATAAGAGACTGAGAATAAACCTCCACGACCTGACGGCGCAAGACATCACTCGGCTGGGCTGTCGAATGTTTGAGAATAGCTCTAATTTCTCTAGGATCAAAGAGACATATTACGCCCTTGTCGAGGAGATTGTTAGTCTCGCAGAGGGGGTCTTCTTGTGGGCACATCTTGTTTTGAAATCGATAATCAGCGAAGTTGCTCTTTATAGCAGTTACAAGAGGTTGCGACAGAAGATCCGGAGCATGCCCAGAGAGTTGGATGAGCTCTATGATAAGATATTGGGAGGAATGGAGCCGGACGACAGGACCCGGGCCAATCTCCTGCTCCTATTGATGCTCTCGAAGCCCTTTTCAACATTGAGCCCAATTTACTTCGCCGGACTAGAAATCACCGGCATCACCACCGACCCTGACTTTCCTTCTGATGGGCAGGTGATTCCCTTTATGTTGGAAGAAGATTATCACGTCCAGTGTGATATCATTACGAGACAAATATCTAGCCTCACCCGAGGTTTACTTGTGGTCACAACTGACCCGTCGTTGCTGCTGCTTGACACCCACCCCTCTGTGCGGATTGATTTCTTCCACAGGACTGTTCAAGATTATTTGGAGACACCGAGGCGGCTCACAGAGTTGCTGGAAGAGTTCGCGAATATCGACCTCCTCCAACTGCATGGCCGATTGAAGCTTGTTCCGATCGTGAGAACATCGGCCCTACAGCCCATACACCCCCACCCCCATCACAGCAGCATAATACAAGATGAAATGGGTGGCGTGCCTTTTGCAAAGCTGCCCCATGACCGGCTTTTAAAATACTTCCTCGGAGCCGTCTCTCACACGAGAGCCTGATTCAATACTCCCATGCGGAAATGACACTCCTACGAGGATATTGCGGCACCAGGATCCGCGCTAGGTATTTGAGTGTATTTAGGAGCCGACCAATTTTTAAGCAGGAAAACAACATCGGCTCGTTTTTACACTACGCGATCACCTATGGTCAGATCCGCTACATCCATGAGGAGCTGAGGAATGGGTTCGAGCAGCGGAATGTCTCTTCTGCAGTGTTCCCGGCGACAACAGATGCTCGTGGTCTGAACGCTCTTCTGAGTGCCGCTCTTGGTGCAGCTAACCCTAGTCTGTGTGAGTTGCTGCTTCAGAATGGATTCTCTGCCCGACATAGTGTTGACTGCTTTCGATCGCCTCATAAACCCGCGTTTTATCGGGCTGGCCGTTTCTCTTTCGCAAAACTGGGCACCGCGAGCATCTGGCTGGTCGCGGTGCTCAACTCACTAAGTCGTATGAACGATGACGTTAGCTTCAGGTCCTGGTTTAGCATCTTAGAGACATTATTACGTGGCGACCCTGGAGTTCCCGGGATATTGGTTTTCTTCGTTGTCGGAGACGGTGTTTTCCGTGCCGGCAGTACTCCAGATCTCTTCAGCCTGACGGTCCGAGACATAGTTACACTTTTGTTACCCCCTAATCATCTTTCGTTATTGGAATTACTTCCTCCGACAAACCGCGCATCGATAATCTCGGACAGAGTAATTGAGGCCATGAGGACTGGGTTGGCTAGGCGTCGGGTGGGCAACATTGGGTCGATTAGGAATTTGAAGCCCGGAACACCAGCTGATCTAGTACTTATACCGCCCAGTGACGACAAAGTTCGGCAACTGATTTCTCGCCCTCTGCCCCTAGCAGATCCCTCTAAACGGGAAGACTTTACGAGGTTGCTAAGGGACCCAGACGATCGCAGCTACGCAATGCTTGGTGGGGCGTCAGAGTCTGATGTGCTCTTTGATAATTTTGCCAAGGATTGGCTTGTCCGGCCTTGGTGAGGTCCTGGGGAGTGAGGTGAACTCTTAGGTCCTATTGGTACTACTACATACATGAAATACACGGAGTGTTCCCGAGTGGAAAATGGGGAAGAAAGACAGTTTAAGAGTTTAAGTCCCTTTTTTTTTTTTTTTTTTTTTTTTTTTTTTTTTTATTGTGATCCGTTTTCTCTGCCCTGTTCTGTTTTATCTGTTAAAATTCGAGTTTCAATGTAGAGAAAGTCAGGTTGACCTCTCCCCAACCTTTATCATTGATAGCTCACGTCCTCTAAAGTCCGCTGGGGTTGATTCTTCTATTTGGTTGAACCTGAGAACGTTCAACACCTCCAGGACTAGCCGCAGACCCCCACTTCATCTAAACATGATAAGCAGCGAATGTTTCTACCTCGTGGTGTAGATTGTACTTAGATCTTACCTCGCCGCCGCTATCGCCATCAACAAGCAAGATGTCTAAAGGTGAGACGCGATAATACAGCGAGGCCGCCGGATTCAGAACCGGTTTCCTCTACCAAGTACTTATGGATCTTTGACGAGACGGATTCCGGAATGCCGCCCGATGAGCACCGAATCTCTAGGTCCGTCCTGCCTCATTGTCACCTTGAGGCTGGTAACTGGATTGTGGGAGGGAACATATTGGAATCCCTGGGTTCTATCTTTCAGTGTTATCGGGCCTGGTCGCCTTGTCGGCCTTCTTTGGCTAGTGCTCATCGACTCGAGACGAAGGCGGTGACCGAGGAGTTGACGACAACGAATATAATCCGTACATCGCTTTCTGCAAACTGGAGTCTCTGGCCCAAGTCATTCAATCTTCTTTCCAATGTGCATGCCGAGGTATGTACTATATTTAGATCCAGGGCCCCCAAATGAACTTTGGAGAAGATATGAAGCATCCATTATCCAGCCCATTCTACCTCGATAAACCACATGCGCGACCTCTCCGGTTTCCAAATCCTATTAAACTTATACCGCTCATCAGCCCGCCTAAACAACTCTCTCCAGTCATCCGGCTCCCTCTCGCGCGCATTCACCGTGACCTGCATAAAGAGGTCGAGGGTCCTAATCGTCCGTTCTTCAATGTATCCCACAGCCCCGGGCTCCGGCATGGCTCCGTCATTGATGATGATCTTCGCACCCGGCCGCAATGCGGGCACGAGAGCCTGTAGAATCTGCACGCAGTACTTGTCAGCGAAGCCGTGGAAGATCATGCGGAAGAAGTACGCCTCGGCCGTGACTGGCTGCGGCGTGAAGAAGTCGTGCATTGTGAGTTGTACTCTCGATTGCAGAGCGTCGGGGACCTTGCCAATGGTCTCGGGGGTGCGCATCCCGGCTGTGTCTTGGACGATAAAATTTAGTGTTGGAAACGCTTCCGCAATAGCAAAGGAAACGTATCCCTGGTTTCCGCCCATCTACGTATGGAACATCAGCAGTACATCCAAAGAGCGGCGGTGGTGTGGTGAAAGTTTACATCTACGACTGTGGCACCTTCAGGCAGGTCACCCCACGGATATCCCTCAACAACCAATGCCAAAGAGTATCCCTCCCCACCGCCATGCGCTTGCATGGCAAGATTATATCTCTTGGCGAACACCTCATCCTGTTGAAGGTAGTCGAACCATGGAAGATTCTGGTTGTAAGCAAGATTGACACCCGTCTGGGTAGGCTCCTCGCTAGCCGGCCACTTCTTCATAGCGCTGACGACATTGGCAATGGGCAGCCACAGGTCGTTGCACATGAATCCAACCCAGTTATTCAGGGGCGCATCCTCGAGAATTAGCCGCGAAGTGCGTGTGTGCGCGACGAATCCTTTTTTCGGCTCGGCAAAGATGCGGTTCGTAATGGCATGGCGGATGAGACGGCGCAGGTTGAGTACCGGGATATCGAGCCCGTTGTTGAGCTTCACAACTTTGGCCGTCAGGTCCTCGTACGAAATCATGCCCTCCAGCGGAACAGCCTGAGCGACTTTAAATTCCCATATTGCTTGAAGAGACAAGTTGTTGACGCACTGAGGGGACGATAGATCAGTTCCATGCCATGTCCCCCAGAGAAGAACACATTGGGGGGGCTTACATCCCAGGCCAAGTATCGCAAGCCCTCCTTTGGGCCAACAGCAGTGTCATGCAGCTCTTTGGTCAGTGCTATGAGATCTAAGCGAGCCTTGTATGGCTCTTCGTCCTCGGGGGGAATTGGAAACTCGGCGAGTCCATTCACATCGAATGACGCGGCGTCAAGAGCTTTAGCGGTGAGATAATCCGTAATAATTTTCGTCTTTTCTGAAATATCCCGACTAAGAGCTGTCATTCGCTCAACAGAGGCGGGTGCCATGGTCGCTTGGTGTTGACTTGTTGGCTTTGAGCTCAAATGGAATGGGGAATGTATCATAGAGGCCTAACCCCGCTTTCCTGAGAGCCATCAGAAATTCTCATTAATCGTGTATTGATCTGGCTGGTGCTTGCTACCTTGTTTCTAGGTCCTTTGGCCATTTATTCTCGCATTCTCCTGCTGCTGGAGCATAGTGCTACCAATGACACTGTCCCACGTCAATGCATCATGCTCGTAACCCCGCCAATCTCGAGGTCACGTGACTCTCTTGCGACAAGTTGCAGCTCATGTTGTTACAAAGTACACTTGGACCTCCTTATAATGATGTAGCTTTCCTAAGAGATTATTGTAACAGGGGGGATCAGTAAGAAGGGCTCGGGTCCGCGTAAGGAGTCGATTGACAGTGACATTTCCAACACGATCGATTGGCTCTTGGGTGAGGAACACTGCCAGCACACTGGATTACGTCGACCCCATAGTGTCGTCCCCAAAGGCTCAACTCAACCATATCAGTTGTCTAGACGTGAATGTGATCATGGAAGGGAACGCGGCCGACACAGCGACCGCGATGCCCGCCAGTGACTCGAAGGCCAGCACGCCCGTGACAACGAAACCCCCCCTTCCTGCAGCGAGAGAGTCCTCACCATCAGTGCGGCCGACGTCGACCGCGCACGAGCCGCAGCAAGCGCCGAGCGGTGCTGAAACGACAACGATCGAGACCGACGCAATTCCCTACGACGACTCCGTCAGCGACGCTGGCTACGAGACGGATGGAGTGTCGCAAGCGACGACGTCCATCAGCAGCAGCGTGCGCGACTATAGCTTCGAGAACAGCCGGCGATACCATAAGTTCCAGGAGGGAAGATACCAGTTCCCCAACGACGAGCCGGAACAAGAGAGAGAGGACATGAAACACGCCATGATTGTACATCTGTGTGACGGCAAGCTGCATTTCGCGCCTCTGGAGAGTCCGCAACGAATCCTAGATGTAGGAACCGGAACGGGAATATGGGCCGTTGATAGTAAGGGGCCCCTGCCCATGCGGTCTCGCTGATGGCTAGAAGGGGGGGGAAGCATGTTGGCTGCACGCCTCTGCATCCCAGATCAACGGGTACATGCAGCAGACAATCACTAACGATGCATTCCTGCAGTGGGAGACGAGTATCCAGAAGCCGATGTCTTAGGGATAGACCTGAGTCCCATTCAACCGCAGTGGGTGCCACCCAACGTCCGCTTCATAGTCGACGACGCGGAAGCGGAATGGGTCTATCCTCCAGACTCGCTAGACTACGTGCACATCCGGCACATGGCATCCTCGATCCGCGATTGGCCAACGTTACTATCCCGAGCATACCATGCTCTGGAACCGGGAGCATGGATCGAACTGCAAGAGATATGCTTCGAGATGAAGTGCGACGACGAGACACTACGCACAGACAACCAGGTGGCCGGGTTCTTTGAGAATGTTAAAAAGGGACTCGCAGCGTTCAATGTCGACTTGCTGGCGATGCGGCACAACAAGCAGAAGCTCATCGAGGCGGGCTTTGTCAACGTCTGGGAGAGGGTCTTCAAGGTTCCGTTGGGCGTGTGGCCTAAGGATCCCAGGATGAAGACGATCGGGTTGTACAATCGAAGCATGATACACGACGCTCTTCAGGGCGTTTCTATCAAGCCGTTCACGCATGGTTTGAAATGGTCGCCGGAAGAGATCGAGGTCTATTTGATTGGCGTAAGGAAGGATCTGATGGATAGCAGCCAGCACGCGTACATTCCTTTTCATGTTGTTACGGGTCAGAAACCGGGTTAGGAGTTGGGACACGACACAATCTTTTCAGTTTGATGATGCAGAAATTGCTTGGATCAGGACACTTAGTACAGATAGGGTCGTTGCAGCAGCCAGAACAGTTGGTGCTTTGATTCATTATTATAAATAGGGTAGCCCTATTGGTTGGTTATAATAACCGGCTCGACTCTCCTCACACCGCAACCATTTCCATCTAAGGCCCAATATCACCTTTCTTCCTTTGCAAGCCGTAATTATTCACACATCCAGTTAGGAACAGGCATTCTGCCCGATCATCATGAGGTTAAGATGCGGGGTCTTATCCCCAGCAGGCGGCAGGCCGATATAAGTATTACATGGCGCCGTACATCGCACTCTGTACATGTTAGAAAGACGAGTCGATGATGTCAAGATCACGGCTACATACATCGAGTAAACTCCCTCGAAGTGCAAGCTGCTGGCTAACGGAATCCGATTTTCAAGGTGATGGAAAGGCCGATTTCGTGTGGGCAGAGAAGTTTTTTGGTGACGTAACAGTGAGTGACAACCGGCGCCAGAAACCCACTTCGGTCAGTTCGTTTCCCGGGAATAATGCGTGTCCCTGCATGGCGTGGTGCCCCGCCCGGTCCCGGCGATCGCGGGACTAACTTCTGGTTTCCGAACCTTAATGGTCTCGGCCGACTGACCTGCAGGCTGCTAATCCCCGTGTCAACTGGGCATCAAGCAACAGTGAACGATGGCCTCGTGCCCTCGCTCGGCAGCATACGATAGCGGCGTCCGATTATATTTATCTTTTGAGTTAGCATCGACTTTGCCAGTATTAAGCAGCAGCTTAACGAGGGCCACGTGTCCATTCTCTGCCGCGTATGAAAGTGGCGTCCGACCCCATTCTGTATCTCTCGAGTCGGCATCGACTTTTCCAGTATCGAGTAGCAACTTAACGATGGCCTCATACCCTTTCTCAGCGGCGTATGAGAGCGGTGTCCGACCCCATTTTATACCTTTCGAGTCGGCATCGGCTTTGCCAGTAGCCAGCAGCAGCTCAACGATGGCCTCGTACCCTTTCTCGGCGGCATACGATAGCGGCGTCCGACCCCATTCTGCATCTTTCAAGTCGGCATCGGCTTTGCCTGTATCAAGCAGCAGCTTAACGACGGCCTTGCACCCATACTGGGCGGCATAAAAGAGCGGCGTCCGACCACAAATATTATCTTTCGAGTTAGCATCGACTTTGCCAGTATCAAGCAGCAGCTTAACGACGGCCTCGTGCCCTTGCTCGGCGGCATACGATAGCGGCGTCCGATCGTATTCCTCTTTTGAGTCGGCATCGACTTTGCCGGTATCAAGCAGCAGCTTGACGACAGCCTCATACCCTTTCTCGGCAGTATATGAGAGTGGCGTCCGACCACGTTCTGTGTCTCTCGAGTCGGCGTCGACTTTGCCGGTATCAAGCAGCAGCTTAACGATGGCCACGTGTCCATTCTCGGCGGCATATGAGAACGGCGTCCGACCATATCCATGTTTTGGCTCGGCATCTACTTTGCCAGTATCAAGCAGCAGCTTAACGATGGCCACGTGCCCTCGCTCGGCGGCATACGATAGCGGCGTCCGATTATAATGATCTTTCCAGTCAGCATCGACTTTGCCAGTATCAAGCAGCAGCTCAACGACGGCCTCATGTCCATTCTCGGCGGCATGTGACAGCGGCGTCCGATTCGAATTGACGGGTTTCTTTGGATTGAAAAACTGCTTGAAGATCATTGGCCTGTTCCCATACCTGGCGGCATATGACAGCGGTGTCCGATCATTGGTGTCTTTCGAGTCGACGTCGACTTCGCCGCTACCAAGCAATAGCTTAACAACGGCTTCATGCCCATTTACGGCAGCATACAACAACGGCGTCCGACCATCACGATGTTTCGAATTAATATCGACTTTGCCACTATAAAGTAGTAGCTTGACAACGGTGTCGTATCCTCTCGCGGCGGCATATGAGAGCGGCGACAGACCCCATTTTGTATCTGTCGATTCTGCATCGACTTTGCCGCTATCAAGTAGCAGCTTGATAACCGCTTCGTGCCCATTCTCGGCAACATCCGACACCTGTGTTTCACCATCAGTGTCGTTTGAGTTAGCACCGACGTTGCCATCTTTATCGGTGACATATAAGAGCGGCGTCTGTCCCCATCCTGCGTCTCTCAAGTTGGGATCGCCTCTGTCGCTCTTGGCCAGTAGCCCGCTTATAGCCTCTGGAAGTAGAGCTGTCCACCGCTTCCTACTCATAACATGAGCTCCATGCCCTAGAAGCATCTTTACTACCGCGACATGACCGTTTGATACCGCCCAATGTAGCGCATTGGGGATATCATCGAAAGCGGCTGCTGCTACAATATCAAATATATTTTCTCGTAACAGGCGTAGGGCAGCCTGGTCCTCCTTCTCGAGAAGCAATAGCGCTACGGCACGGTGTTGTTTCCGAGCTGCTATAACTAGCGGCGTGAGACCCCCTTCATTCTTCCCTCTTACATCCGCTCCGTGCTGTAATAACAATCGCGTTATCTTCTCGTGGTTCTGCTCGGCTGCTTGATATAATGCTGTGTATCCGCACTTATTCTTCCCATTGACGTCGCCCCCGAGCTCCAGGAGCAGGCGCACGGCTGTTATATGCCCATTCCTAGTCGCCCAGCATAACGCTTCCACTATATCGAGATTAGGCGCGCTGATGTCAAAGCCATTGGCCTGCAGGAGCAGCCGAGCAGCCATTTCTGGCGCTTTCTCCCTTAGAAACCGCAATGCCGTCGTGGGCATATGCCATGCTCTCCCCCGTCCCTCCATCCCGAGGTTGTATCTGTTCTCGAGCTTTGTAGAAGAAGGGAAATTTCGCTCTGTATCGTCGGTTGTAAAGGCGGGAGGGTAGTACTTTGAACGCGGACCATCGAGTGTGTAATAGCTTGGTACTGGAGAAGAAGGTCGATTCCCTGGTTGGTCTTGAGGCGAATATGATGGCAGTACCGTACGTATGCTTGCCTGATCATCTTCCAGCAATTCCGTACAAATCCTTGCTGCATCGTGGCTGCTGGTACCGGAACCATTAGCCCCATTATGTAAAGGGGTATCCGACGCGTTCTCGTTGGAAATCGGGTGGACCATGATGAAAAATAATACCTAAAAAAGGCTCCAAGTCACTCTTATAAGGTACTGATGAAGGTGAAGAAAGCAAACTCTACCTCAGTATGTGACCTAATTGATTGACGAGCCTCTAGGAACACTAACTGCTGCCTAGAGCACGGACCAGATCTTTCGTGTATTCAGAGGGGCGGAGCCCTCCGTGTCCCGTGACTGTTAGACTTGAAAGATGGCTTCGGAGATGGATTCTGCAGCCTGGTAGTTCCCACGTGTGGCTCAAGTTACGTTCATATTTTGGATGCTGAGTGTTTCTAATATTCGGTCGTATCAAGTGGCCTGTGGCTGCCTGGTTGGCCTTGGGGCCTAATCGCAGATGCATTCCCCGCTTTCTCTTCTGTCGTCTCTTCTCTCGTCTCTCTTCGTTGTTATCCTTGAAAAGCAAGAATTAAGAGTAAGAGTCCATAGCTCGTTCTAAAAGTCATGCTTGCTTACGTTCAACAATGAGCTCCATCTAACCTGGCCCCTAATATACAGCTCAAGACAACCAGGCTCGACACACTTCAGTCAGAACCACGCCCAAACAAAAGGACAGACGAAAACGTAGAAATACCAAAAGCTACTGCCAACATGGGCTTGACATTCGACGAGTTGTAAAAGGTCAAGAAGAGAATTAGCGAAGTTATGGCCGATGTGGCAAAGGAACAACGCGAACTGGATGATATCCTACTCTTTCTCAGCGCTATCGAGCAAGCAAATTTACAACAGATTTCAGGGAGCGCCTCGAGCGCAAGGAGTAGGAGGAACAAGGTCAAGCCTAAATCTGTGGAGGAAGAAAAGAAGGATTACGAACGCAGACGAGCGGAAAAACAAGAGAGCATTGGACGCCTGTGGATGAAGATACATGACCTACAGGAGCAAGAGAAGGAGTTGAAGGACAAACAAGACGCCAAAAAAGCTTAGACTATAGAATGAATGGAAATAGACAGTCCTATGACCAACCCCATTTTTCCTTTAATGCCTTTGACGCAGCAAGTAACTTGTCTGACTCGGTCTCATACAGGCCATTTTCCTTCAAATATTGGGTGTAGCGCTCGCAGTGCTCTGCCCGTCGCTGCGCTTCCGATGCAAGTTCTTGATTTCTGTCAAAGAAATCAGACATTATATCATCGAGATGCTTCTCTGAAAGCTTCTGGGCGAAAAAGTCACAGAATATGTCGGTGGCGTTGGCGGGACGGCGCAGCACATGAGCAACGCAAAAGGCCATATCCGTTTTATCAATACCCAACTCGCTAGAAGAACCCGAGCATTCATACCATTCCCTTTTCAGCTGGTCATAGACGCTATGGGCCTTACTCTTCTCATCGAGGACGTCGCGAAATTCGATGTGCATCTGCTTATCCGTCTCGATCGAATCATGGCCAGTAATCCATGACGGTGGTGCGAACATTTGCAGTGGAACAGTAGTTGCAAACTCCCAGTCAATTATGCCTTGAATCCGGAGGCTTTCGTCCACGATGATGTTTGCACTTCGTAGGTCGAGATGGTTCAGCACGAAGGGGCCATCGTCAAATCGAGGATCGATAACTTGCTGAAATATACGCTCCAGCCCATCTAGTGCGAAAATCTCTTGCTTGATTTCGTCCACGGTATGGTCGCTGACTGGTGGCGAAAAGAAACTCGATATGAGACTGAATCGGTGTTTCATGTATTCCTTCGCAGAAGTCAACGCTGGCTGGGGCGGCTGCCGAAGCGTGGCTGCGGACATGGAGAGGACAGGGCCTAAAACAGGATGCGGGCTGCCATCGGGATTTGGCATCAGGGACCCTATTGAAGGGAACTCGAGCTTCCTGAGCTCAGTCAAGCTATCGATTAGCTGTGAGTAGAAGTTTCTTCGGTGCTCTTCTTTGGCTTCGATCAGGAATTTTCTGTCCAGCGGTTCGCCCGGGATGAGATCAGTGATAGTAAACATTTGCGTTCCCGTGCCATTTTTAGTTAACGTGATATCGCGCCCATAAGCACGGATGTGAGGGACGGGAATCTGGGTGTTGCACTCGAGGTATCTGTGTCTTTCGTGAGCGGTTGTCCAAACGTCGGGGTCAACATTACTGGGTTTTTGCTTACTGCATAGTGGTCACTTCGCTCAGCAACTTGTCCCAGGGATCGTCGAGAGCGGGTTCGATTGGGACCCTGACGATCCACTTAGAACCGTCCAGGTCAAACTCGACGAAAAAGCAGACATTAAAGCTACCGCTCGCCTTTTTCACAACCTGGCACGCTTTGCTGTTATTGTGTTTTGATGCCAGCGCGCAGACCGCATCTGGGTCTAGCGACTCGATGAACGCCTTTCTGATTTTATTGTATTGGTCATCGGTAACAGCGGGGAATCCCTGATCAGGAGGGTCCAGTGTCCTTGCGTCTGGTAACCCTGGTTCATTTTTCTCTAGAGGGTTGATCTCTGTGCTATCTGCCTCAGGCGTCTTGATCTCTGAGGTTCTTGCGAAGGAAAGTAGCAGACCCCATAGCTTGGAAAGATAGAGGACTGCCAACGTCCACAGCGTACGTGCGAGACGTATGAGAGTTGACAGCATCTCTCATCCAACATAGCAGGTGCATTGCCAATTCTGTCACAGTCAGGAAAGGGGCTAAGAATGCATGAGGCGTGTCCCAACTTAGCCACATCGAGCCACCAACTGCGCCACAGCTGTCTTGAGACGCCAGAGCAGGGGAACTGATGTTGGACCAACTCTGCCCCAAAACGTTGGTTCGTTTGGGGCTCAATCAGGATCATGTTTCAGGTTGAGTGTTGGCTCTTGAGTCCAAGGCTCTTTCGTTCTACAGTGGTGGAGCCACGGATGTGATCACCAAACGCATATAATCTCCTTGTTCCCAAGGGACAGAGCTCCTTTCTCCTCAAAATTCCACGAAATTGGCTGTAAAAGTCATATAAGCGATAATTAGGAAGTAATTTCCAACCGAACAGCTCAAAAAGAGAATGTGACCATCGCCTTCGAGCTTGGCCTTGCGGTGCCAGGCCCAACGGCCAAGGAATATGAGCGAGTCCCCCTCGCGACGCTTGCAGCAAGTTTCTTTTCCCGAACCGGAGCCGCCATTGTTTTCAAAAGGTTGTTTCTTTGCTCCAGGTATTTTCAAAATTCACCTTCCTCTGCTCCGTGAATTCAAGGTCGATACTCCTTTTTAACTCGCCGCCGTTGCGAGTAGTTAGCGGTCTCTTCGTACAACAACGCCCGCCCGAGGTCCCAACCACTGTCTGCGTGGATAAGACCCTTCCCCACTGGATAGAAATCAAAGATGATATTTATTTATTTAGATGGCTCCGTGCTTCCCAAGGCTTCATTGAAAGTCCGATGCCGTTAACCGACGTAGCTTGCCCTAAGTATATCCAAGACAGGATAATGCTGTGTAACCATATTGACCAACCATGTCCTCAAGGTTTAGGCACAAAATCACGTCTTCCGACCCAACGGCACAAGAGTCTCAAGTCCTCGACATGCCACCTGTTGCGAAGCAGAAGCCCTCGATCCCACCCATCAGGCTAACGCTTCCAGGCACCTCTGTACGAATTTCTGTTCCTCCGCGGCCCCTAAGTTCCGTGTATCAGTATCCGCGGATACCCAAAATGCTTAGCAAAGACGCTGCCTCTCCTCCTCCAGATCTCGTGCAAATCGTGACATGCGATTGTGGCCGAGGCTTCAAATCAGACAAAGCACTCCAACTGCGTCTGAAGTGGTCGCAAAAGCACGGGGGACCGCAACGCAAAAGACCTGCTGATATTACCCGGTGCTTCTGTGGAGAGCGAGTCGGCGACGAGGAAAAGATGAAGCAGCATGTGCTCAAGTCATGGACGCACAAGAGGATGGAAGGGTATCGCGAGTGGTATCACGAGTTCCCCCGGGCGAGGAAGATCAAATTGGGACAAAACCCCAGCCGTATATGTCCCCCAGTTTCTTCCGGCGTACGATATAACAGTATACTGATATAGCATCATTGGATGGTGTCTCCTCTCAGCAGCCCCTCCCCATCGCGCTGCCTTCCGTCACAGAAGGACCGGATGCCAAGACCGAAACAATAAAGAAGGGGAAAGCAGGAAATAAGGAGAGACAAAGAAAGAAGCGGAAACGAAGAAAGAAGGAGAAAGCAAAAAGGAATATCGTCAAACCGACACCAAGTTATGGCGAGGGGTCGTCTTCCGTGACCGAAGGTTGGCGACATAGACGTTAATGGTCTCGGCGACAAGGACTGCGGCTGTTGTGAACATTGCGCAGATGATATGGATTTTTTGATCTACAGGCTGTGATGGTCTCGAGAGATGGTCGCTCTAAGTGGCATCTACAGTTGTACTCGAAGGCTCATTGATCACAACACAAACTCCGTCGTTTCTCTTCCCGATGTTCCCAGACCTGTAGTTGCAAGAAAGATGCGGCCATGGTCAGGAATCCTTTAACTCTGCTGCGGCAGCGGGAAGACGGGGCTTTGCTTCAGCGCAGATGAACAATACTCGACATTAATGTGTTTGCGAATAAGACTATATGAATCAATATGAGAAAGCCTTACGAGATCCCCTCCCTCTCAGCACAAGATTACCTCCCCGGAACTGTAACCGAATCAATACCATCTCCGCTAAATCCTCAAACTCCAGTAGATAAAACATCCCAAAACGCCATTAATATACACGGAGACATTCATCCTCCAACACTAATCATACACGAAGCGAGTTCACCAATTACCGCCCTTCACTCTACCGGAACGTCCAGGCCCTTGCCATCCTCCCCAACCGCGGGACGTCCTGCTCTCTCGCAATTGGCTCGTCTTTTAGCGGCTTCATAGGCCATGCGGTGCTCAAGCGGCGCTGCATCATGACTTTTATCGCCGGCCCCTTGGTTGACCTGTGGCCGTCCATCGTGGTGGAAGATCGCCCACGATTCCAGTTGCCGCTATGCGAGGGGAGTGGCACCTGTTTGTTTGCAACAGATCTCTTGAAAATCTGCCGAAGGTGTTGCTTGAGCTTTCCTACTCCTTGGGCAATCGAGTCTTTAGTGCCCTCCTTCAGTCGTGTGGTGCTCTCCGAGCGTCTTGAGACACCCAATGGATTGACATTTGAATCCTTTCTCGCCAATACCCGCGAGATTATGGGCGGCTGGCTGGCGGCGGAGGCTTCGTCTTGCTCATCAGACGTTTGTTCATGGTGTGTACTTGTCGCATTTTCGTTCATTTTCGTGCTGGGCTTTGCGGTCGTAAGGTCGATGGACCTGCGGATGACTTCTGTAGTAGCTGTCAACTGGTCCACGAACCACTCGGGAAGAGTCTCGTCCAGCCCAGCCCCAGAATCCCCATCTCGGTCTTCCTCAACTCCATCGGCTTTCTTCTCCTCTGGTAGCCTCTTGTCCTCTGTGCCCGTGGAATCATCCTCAACGGCCACCTGTCCTAGGGCGATGACGGATCCCTCCGCGCCCGAGCCGGGCAGCTCAGACAGAGCCTGTAGCATTCGCTTAGGCGTGACAACATAGGTGGTATCAAGCATCCTAGTGCCCAACTCGCTGATCATGCGCAATGTATACATCCCCGACAGGAAGAACGCCTCCCACTCCTTCACTTTTTCAATCATCGTTTCGCAGTCGATATGGAACCACTCCGTATGAACCTTGGTCTTCTGGCGCGTCGCATAACAGCAACATTCCACGAATTTTATGTTGTATCTCTTCATATCCTCCAAAACCAACTGTTCCACTCGATGCGCCCCGATATACTTCTGGGGGGATTCGTATGGGCAATCCGTGGCCAGGTAAGCAGTGCACCCCTCCTGATTGTACCTCTCAATTGCAGTATTTTCCGTGAATCCCACCTTGCAGTAGGAACTATTCTTCCTGTGTTTACGCACATACACTCTCCCGAGTCTCTTGTCAAGTGTCTTGAAAGGCGCCTCGATCTTTTGAAGGAGTCTCCATTTCGAGTACCTGAAATCAGGATTGGGAAGTCGAATTTGGCCGATGTGAGGATCGAACAGAACGTCTGAGTATTGACGGGGGGGTTTTGCCTTTGGCTTGCGGAAAAGCTCCTCAGAATCGGAAGGAATAAGTTTCTCAGCGAGGGATATCTCTTCTTCCTTCAGAGTTACATCGCATTTGATCCCCACTGGATCCTCTTCCTCATTCTTCACGTCGTTCAAAGAGGTCGTATCTTGCGCCTTTTTCTCGCCATCTTCCTCGTCGTCTTCGTGTTTCCGTGTCGTCGTTGCCACTTGTAATCTGTCGGCCGTGGGCCTCGATATAGCCTTGGTCGGTGTGTCGTGCACATCCACATTTAATATCCTGTTGCGTATCGTTATCTTCGGCGGCGTAGTGATTCCTTCCGATAGATCGAATCTCGGGGGTGATACACTGGGCGGAGTCACAGGGCTGGACCCGTATCTGTGATGTTGGGTAGAGCTCCCGTTTACAGAAGACCGGGGCGAGATTGGACTAGAGTCGTGGGGATTGAAGTCCTTGCCGCTATTATTTGGGTTGTTGATACCCTCCCTAGGACTTTCTTCTTGAAGCTGCGGAGGTCGTGGCGGGGGCAGCTCCAACTCCTCGCCATCTTCGTTGCGATTTTTATCGTCGCCTTGGCCGGTGCTTTGTATCGAATCGTCACCGGGGTCGTCAATCGCGGCATCCGAAAGCTTCGGATTAGAATCCCTCCGCGACAGGCCCGATGGCGTGTCGCAATAGACGTCCCCGTCGGGCTCGGTCTTGTTGACCCACCAGCGCTCGAAGTGCTTCACGGCATCACCAGCGTGCTGCCAGCAGTGGACAAGTTCGACTAGGTGGGCCACCTGACACTTTAGCTTGTCCGTGTAATCGACTTCGGGCAACTCCGTGAGCTCGCGCATCACTTTGAAGGCCTCGAGTTGCTTCGACTCGCAATCCCGCTTGCACCTGAAGCCACTCTTCGCTATAATATGTCGGCAATTGGAGGTCTCGACCCAGCCGCTGATGCCGAGATTCCGGAGAACGCCCTCGAGGGCGACGAAGACGGCCGATTCGGCAACGTTGGGAGGATTCATGGTGGCGGCCGGCTGTCGCATGTCGTTCATTCTCCGCCAATGGGAAATGGAGTAGCTCGCTCTCACGGCAGCGAATTAAACTGAGAAACTAGAAGAAAAGAGAGAGAACCTTACCTGAGGACTTAACCATGCCGAACACGCTCCGGAGGGTTACTGGCTCGTTAAGACTTTATTAACCTTCTGACAAGGACAGAGAGGGGGTTGGGGAGAGGGGGCGCCCAGACCGCATGGAGGCTTAGTGACATGAAAAATGACAGAAGGATCATCTGAGACGACATGATGAGGGAGGGGAGGCAGCATCCGATTGAACCGCCTGCATTTTGATCCGCGGAGTGTCGCTATTTCAGGAAAGTACAGCGTCCGACAACCCCCTCGTTCCCCTTAAGCGATATGCAGTTGGTTCTGTTCGTGCATGAACCCCGGTCTGTCCCGCACCCAGCCACGGATAAAACAGGAAGGTTAGTACAATGCAACTGTGATATGACCTGCAGGAGATCAGGAACAGTTGGGAACGGGGCGATCAATGACGCCGAGAACCACGAGCACATGGGTCTCGATCCTTCTCGGGACCGACCCCCCTCAATCTCAGCCCGCCCCCTTATTGCGACATCTAAGCCTGGCTGCAAGTCATCCCCTACCCCTGTACAGTAAATTGGCTTGATGGTCGTCAAATTTACATCAATGAGGTTCCCGGGCTCCGTGAATTTTGGAGCGGTGGTTAACTATTCTTTATCCTACGTGTTTAAGCCAGGCGCAGATTCTACCACGATAGTTAAATGGTTCGAGGATATAGATAGGAATCACATAAATGGCAGCAACGGCAGTGGCTCGTATGATCGCCCGGTCCTCGTCTGCCTAACTTAGGAGTACGCACTTTCCAGGCTATTCCCAGAATCACTATCTGCGAGGCAATCTCCGCGACTGGGGAAACCGTGATTTTTGCGACAAGGATTTCGAGAAAGGACTTTGCTTGGCAATTTGACAATTCGGCCTTCGCTTCGCTGATTATAATAGTATCCCTTAGCTAGCTTTTCGTGTCCTGTCTAGAGTCCAATCCCTTCAACTAACTGACCTCTATTGAGGCCTCCTCTTCAATGAAGACTTCCACGAAAAGTGCGCTCCAACCTTCTTCTAATAACACTCCGCCATCCAAACGGTGCAGGGAGGGAGTACAACAGTATATTGGGATGCCGGAACAAGTTTCAAGCCTTCCTGGTACCCGTCTTGTTGGCAGTCGACATGGCTCTGTAATATCTCGTCATTCTGATCAGTAGGAAGGCGTGAGGCGTTTGGGGGAAATATGGAAGTGACCCCAAAGTGACGAAGGGAATTTACTTGTTGCAGCAGCTGCACCCAGCAAGGTAGATATTGCCCACAACCTCCGACATTCCCTGACGAAAAACTGAAGTAGGCTTGGAATTAGTTTATATGACTCTCGAAATAAGATTCTTTCTCCTAGCTCTCCCATCTTACTCAGAGTACTTCTAAACAGGCTGCAGTTGCCGTTCTTATTATGTGTGAAAGCGGCGTCGCCGCGTCGGGCACCTCAATTAAGAGCACCAACATCGACCAACCACGTAACACTGGCCATTGTGGCGACTGTTTGCTCATTCGTTATGTTAGCGATTCATCACTGTAGCTTTGCGATTTCTTGACGGCGCCCTTGTTGAGCGGCGGAGGCAGAGACCCGAAAATGGAAACTGGGAATCGTGAATGGGGGGCCGGGGGTGAGTTCGTCTAAACGGGACTGCGTATAGCCAACCAGATCAAAACCAGATCAAAGATCAAGGCGACCAATCAAGTCAGATATGGCTGAAATGTAACAAGCACATCGGTGCGTTGGGTACCAAACCTGAACATGGGGCGCCCAATGTTTGCGGTACACGTGTGCTCGAAGGTGATTGGACTTATGAGGTGGACGGGCGGCGTGAACCAGACAGTGAGCCCAAGTGCCTCGCTCCCATCGCTGAAAACTCCCACGAACCCTCCTAATACATAGCGTGATCCATTAGGTGAAACCCAACCCGCCACCTATCGCTTAAGACAGGAGCTCCGTATCGACCGCTGCCGAAGAGGTCCGCCCGACAAGATGAGAAGATCATTCAGAGATTGCCTCCGACCGAAATCGGAAGACAGCACAGTTGAATCGAACAGGGTGATAAGCAATTCTTTGCATGATGGCATTGGACCGCTAGTAGTCTTCGATAATATCAGCAACGATGATACAGGAACCGACATTGTGTTTGTTCACGGGCTTCGCGGGTCCCGGATAAATACTTGGTCCAAGGATAACGTGTTCTGGCCGGAGAAACTTCTACGGGAAGACTTGCAGAATGTGAGGGTCATCACATGGGGATACGACGCCAGGATTGCCAACGCTTTTCGACCGGCGAGCCAAGATAGCTTATTCGGCCATTCTAATACCCTGCTCGAGGATCTTTCACGACTCCAAATTGACATGGTATGTCCACAAGGCCTAGATTGCCTCCAATATGAACCAAAGCTTACTCGCCTGGATTAGAACAGGCCGATTATTTTCATTTGCCATAGCCTTGGCGGTCTCCTAGTCAAGGAAGCACTCATAACCTCAAGCCAGTATCATGCTCATGAGAGACACCCTCCCGTAGCTGCTATCTACAGCAATACGATTGGAGTGATCTTCCTGGGAACCCCACATCGCGGAAGCGGGAAGAGGGCGTACGGCGAAATTCTAAGTAAAATAGCCAAGTTGACTCTCCGCCGGCCGAACGCACAGCTCCTTAGGGTTCTATGGAGTGATTCGGACGCCATAGAAAGACAACGCCACGAGTTCACCACAGTTTCAAAGAGTATGCTTATTTTCTGTATCCGAGAAGAGCTCAACACGGCTATAGGGATGGCAAGTGCTTCATGTTCTTGCATACGGAGGAGAAGATCGGTGATTCTAATACTACCCATGACTGTTAGATAGTGCCAAAGGAATCTGCTATATATGACGGCTTCAATGTCCGTCAAGGCGCCATCAACGCCAACCACATGGAGATAGCTAGATTCGTGTCAAGTACAGACCAAGGTTATCAGCGGATTCTTGGGTATATCAAGGAGCTTCTCCTAATCCGAACTCCGGGTAAGTGAGAGTCCCAGTTCTGTCCACTCTCTTCCCTTACTAGGCTAGTAGGTCTATTCGAAACCTCTAGACGTTAGCAGTTATCGCATAGGAACTGCATTGAAACATGGTCAATTTTTCTCTGTCCGTGCTATCGCGGACCTTTTCTTAGCCGCTCTCACGACGGCTATGGTACTGACCATTACTTACTTCCCAGATATAATCGGCGACCTCAAGCTTAGACAGCAAAGTAAGACGGCCCTAGCTCTAATCTGTTTGACGCTTGGAACTCACATTTCTATCACTCATAGAACTCCTTGAATACCTGAGATTTCCTAGCATGTTAACGCTAGAATCCAGTGATAAACCTGCGCACATGGGCACGTGTGATTGGGCCGTAAAGAGCGAGATCTCGCCCGAATCACGCGACCCTCCGGCGTTCATGTCATGGACGAAGAATGAGGAGCCGCTCTTCTGGATAAGCGGAAAAGCGGCCAGCGGCAAATCTACACTGATGAAATATCTCTACTACAACTCTGAAGTTAATCGAGGCCTGCGAGAATGGGCAGGCGATAAAGAGTTGTTAAAGGTCGGATACTTCTTCCTTGATAGCGGAAACGACATCATGAAGTGCAGAGAAGGCATGCTACGGAGCTTTCTTTTCCAAATACTGGAGAAACGGCGCCAACTCATCGGCGTTGCATTCCCATCCGTTTACAACCAAGACTACCTCCTGGTCGATGAGCAGGTTAACAGCTGGGCCAATCTAAGCAGAGCTTTTATAGCTCTATTAAATGGACTGGAGACCTTCAAGGTCTGCCTCTTCATCGACGGACTAGATGAGTATCGGATGAAAGACCGACTCCACGACTACGCATCAGACGAACTCGAACTCATCACAGAAGGTTCCAGTGATGACGAAGCCTGGGGTATCAACGAATGGATTGTTGATGGACACATGGAGATCGCAAAATTGATCTTATCGGTCAAAGATCAGCCGAACGTTAAGATCTGCTGCGCAAGTCGTCAGCTGAACGTTTTCGAAAGCCGCTTCGCCAAAATCCCGCGTCTACAGATCCACCACCACACCGCCAAGGCGATAGAGAAGTATTGCCAGGAGCGACTCGAGGCTGATGCTCCTGATCTAGACAAACGCTCTGATTTCGCCAAGGCCATTGCCGATAAGTCCCTCGGGGTGTTTCTCTGGGTGCGTCTAGTGGTTGACGCTCTTGTCATCGGGAACGACAAGGGTGACACGGAATCCGAGCTCTGGCAAGCATTAGAGAGGATCCCTCAGAAGCTGAATGGCAAAGATGGTCTCTATATGATGATGTTACAGAAAATTGCGAGACAAGATCGATGCGAATCCGCGAAGCTTTTCCAACTTGCGATGTACTGGCACGCTAGTGGCGTCCGTCGTGGAAATTTGGACATTCTGACAATCTGTTTTGCTGGAGAGGGACACCTCGATGATAATGGTAATATCAGGGCCAAACAGGACAAGATAGATCCCAAGGCCTTGGTGGACCTCCAACCGCAAGTGGCCCAGCGGCAACGCCGCCTCAGAAGCCGTTGCGCGGGGCTGTTAGAAGACACAGGGACGATCCAGTTCATGCACTTGACAGCGAAGGAATTCTTGTCTCAACCGAAGATGTGGGATCTCGTTTTCAAAAAGGAGCATGGGTTTCGTTCCCATCAAGAAATCCCCCTAGCCTTGATGAGCGGCATTATTAGGCGCCTGAAGTGCTGCGAGGAGGCATCCACCGTCTCAGTTCAAAGCTGTAGGCCTCCCCGTTATCCGACCTGGGTCCAAGACATGATAGCATCGTGCCTGGAGCTCCCTGGCGAAGATCTATCTCTAGCTCCCAATCTATTCAAGGCTCTCTTGGACGAACTAGATTACGCAAACCAGAATCTTGTCAGAATCGATGGAGTCACCTGGGTCGAAATTTTTTGCTGTCCAGCCAATTCCTCTTCATTTGGCGAAGTCCGCCCGACAAGTATGCTTGAGGTGGCCATGTCTTACCGATGTCTTAGGCCCTATGTGATTCTACAGGTGAGACGAAGGGAAGGTATTTCGCAGGACCATTTGGCAAGGCTGCTCAGCATGGCGTCATTTGTGACCGAGCTCATCTATACTACAGACTGAACCAGACTCAGTTTGGCTCCGGCTAATACCTCACTAGTACTCGCCTTATTCATGGAAGGTGCAGATCCAAATCGGATGTTTCAATCCTGTCCAAAGGGACCTACTATAAGTGACTGGGAAGATCCATCCGAGACTGCCTGGACCGCCCTTTTAGAGAGGCTGCAGGAGGGTGGTAGAGACATAGGATACATTGAAATCCTTGAGCTGTATCTTGAGCATGGCGCGGATCCCGAAGCACGGGTCAGGGACTTGAAAACACTCAGCTTTACCACCGCGAGGGTAATATGTCGGAAACTTGCTCACCAGTTTAAGTTGGGGAACTTGGAAGACTACCCAATATTTGCAACTCTCGTTGCGGAATAAATAAGATGATGGATATTGTCTCTTTGTTCATCCCTATGATGCATTGGCCTCCATGGTGCAGCCTTCGTAAGACTCCAAAACCACCGCGTTTCACCCATCGCTGGGCTCAACAAGATAACACCAACCCCGTCGTATCCGTGAGTAAATGAAAGGGCTCACTCAACTCTAGACTCGATTAGTCCCTGTAGGACAGCGCTCGGCAGCTGAGCTAACCGCGCCAGGTATTCTCGCGCCAGCTCTGCCTGGCCACTCCTTTTCCAAAGCACGGGAGTGACCAAGTCGTTTACATGGGAGGAAGCCTTTCACGAAACCATGCTGGAAAAATAATCAAAACTCTAGCCCTGCGCGAGGTGGGATAGGAGTTTTACTCCGGCCCTGACATTATGTCCGACCGGATGATCGACTGTCTCAGGTCGGCGACGTACTATTGTGTGACGAGGTCAAACGATATTAAGAATATTTGGGAACCGGACTACCAACGGCGCCAAGAACATTGGGCATAAGGGTCTCGATTGATCGTCATTAATACAGTGAAATCGTGGAAGGTCACGCTCCCTAGCAAGTACATGTTTGCGCGTGGTGTTAACACCAAATATTTATGCGATCTCTATCCGGCCAGAGCCCAGTCCGTAGCTGGTTCTTCTACTGGCTGTGAACTGCAGCCCCAGGAACTCTGCCTCGCCGTACTGCTTTCCGAGGACTTCAGGGCCAACTCCAGCTGCAATAAGCTATCTTGTGTGCTGTGCTGGCACATTATGAAGAATGCCGGTCACTTGGCTAATATAACACACGCTTGACCTTATCCCAGCGGCACATTCCTGCTTAACGTCTCTTCTTCCTATGGCTATCGTCGTCTAGGAAATGTACTGGAGTGGGCACAAGGCCAATTTCAAGAGAGAATCATAAGATACTGCATACCTCGGCAATCCCAGTCCGTTTTCTCCAGAGAAGGTCTAATACTAGCGGGTTGGCGTTCTGTGCTGCTGCCTTCATAACCTCCTCTGTAATTGTAATCTCATGCCCTCTTTTATCGAGAAGAAGCTCTAATACCAGCGGGCTGGCGTTCTGTGCTGCTGCCTTCATAACCTCCTCAGTAATTGTAATCTCATACCCTCTTTCTCGGATAAGAAATTCTAATACCCCCGGGTTTGGGTTCCGTGCTGCCACCTTCATAATCTCTTCCGTAATCGTAATCTCATCCCCCCTTTCTTGGAGAACAAGATCTAATATCCACTCCTTGGAGTCCCGCGCCTCCCTCCTAACCGGAATCTTATACCATTTTTCTTCGTGAAGCCCCGATTGCAATGGCTCTGAATACCCGACTACCGCCTTCATAATATCTTGGGAAGTCATAGTAGTCCGAAGCGGCATTTTCTTGAAAAGCTGCCGTAGTCCGGCTGGGCTCCAGGTAATTACCGCGGCGTGAATAATATTCTCCGTTAAGCATGCCATTTCGTTGAGAAGGAGCCGAATTATCATGTCCTCCCCTTGCGAGGTCCATCCCGCAACTATTGTAGTCTCATATCCTCGTTGGTGGAGAAGAAATGCTACGATCTCGTTTCCTCCTGTAGTATTCTCCACTACAGCCTCAATGACCTCTCGAGTGATGTCAATGTCGTGCGGCCGTCGTTGGAGTAGAAGCTCCATGTCCTCCTTTCCTCCATTCCTTGCTGCTTCCCTAACAACTTCGTTGGGAATCTCGATACTGCTCCATTGCTGCAACAGAACATCCCATATTTCTCGTCCACGCAAATACTGGGCTGGAACGATAGGCGCTTTTCTAGGGAGGATAGTGGTATTACCGAGCGGATTAGGCAGATTTTCCGGGTCCCTAGATAAATGGGAATTGACTCCAAGATCAGAATCGGATAATAAGTTTAGAGACGACAAAAACTGTGACATCGAGATATTAGTGTTGCAGGCCAGAATTGTATAAAAGTTCTTCTCTGCTGGAACTGGAACATATCCCGGGTCGACGGAGCATATAAATTCGAGAACCTCTCCAACTACATCGGCTTCTTCCTGATTGTAGTTCGCAGATGGAAAACCGTCCACCTGGGCATCTGAAGCAAGGCCAAGTAAAGCGAAAATCATGTCTCGCGGGTCACTGGCCTTGCTTCGACGAAACTTTTTCAAGAGGGTATAAAGATCCGGCTCCTCGCTCCACCATGAATCTTGTCTAGATGGGCCCGGCATGATGTCAAGGACAGCTTGACAATGCGGACTTGGCTCAACCCCAAACAGTCGCGGGGCAACTGTGAATATTCGGGCTGAGACAAACATTTTGCCACAGCACACGTAGGCCTTCTTCGAATTGGCGACTTCTTGTAGAATCCACACTCTCTCAAACCATGATCGACTCAAAAGATCTTGTAAGCCTTCTCGTAGGCGGGATGACAAATTTGGGTAGGTGTTTTCCAGCTCGGGCAGTAAGTCGGACCATAACTTGTCCCAACGCTGATCCATTCGATTCCAGGTCTTGTAGTTATACATTGCGCTCTGCTCTTGAAGTTTTTTTAAGGACTCTAGTGCGATGTTCGTTGCAGACGTTGAGGGCCCGAGCCAGAAAAGAACCGTGTCCGCACTTCCATAGATGCGTCCCATTTGCCCAACTTGGTGTTGCCGCTCCCCAAGACTCTTTTGGTTGATGCAAAGAGCGTCAATCCATAGGATCCGATCCTGCGTCGAGGAGCGCAGAGCTTCCAGCACCGCGTATAGGTTCGGAGTGACTTCCAGTTGCCCTCCCCTGACATATAGGATGCGGCGATCTTCATCATTGCCCCATGTATAGGATAACGCGTCATAGGAAATAGAGGTCTCCCGGTTGCAGAATGAGGCGTGGAATATCTCGCAGCCAAGGCAGTCTGTACTTTCGCCTTTGAAAAGTCGCACAAGCCGAAAAGTAGGCCTCTCAAGATCGAGATCACGATACTTGAACGGGAATCCGCTGAATTCACCGTTTGAACTACCAAAATGTCGTTAGTATTGACCGGATAGGGTAACAGCCGTTATTGAACTCACGGAGTCGAGGATGTTGCACGCTGTTCGTCCATTTTGATACATATGGGGGTTTCCAAGTGGGGCGTTGTCGGAGAGAGCCAAGTTAAAAAGCCTCGAAACGAGGGTAGAAGCTGGGATTTTATTTGGAGCAAGTTCCGCAGAAGATGCAGTAGTACTCAATCAACCGCAAGCACCTAACACCCAGGCTGATATTGTGCCTATGTGTCGGTTGCAAAGCCCCAGGACAAACAAGTCTGTATGAGACATACGTTTCATACACTTTAGATGAGGGACTGCATATTTCTACACTTCAGATATCAGCATAGCCTCTGCATCTTGCATAATGAAGTTGCAGATTCTCGCAGGCGACGCGGCAAGATTGGGGCGAACCGAGAACGATTGGCTGTCCGAGCTCTCACAGGAGCGGGGAACCAGGAGTTTGCGGTGCAGGGAATTCTCGCATTGCGGGCAGCGAGCAACCGTCCCAAATAAAAGTTCCAAAGCTCATAGTCAACGCTGCCACATTTTTTACACTTCATAAATACAGAAACTCCAGGCTGGGTCTACTAAAGCCATTTTAGGCCTGAAGGTAGAAACGGATATGATTACGCCTGCCACCCTCCAAACGATAAAACGACGACGGCCCCGGCTTCATTTGGAGATTACGTTCTTAGACTTGACGGACGTTTGATATGATCACAGGGCAGATTAATAAACTTTATATACACCGGTGGATGCACCCAACCCACAACAACAATCTATCTATCTACGAGACACGCTCTCTACTATCCAACTAACCCCTCAAATGCAGTCCCCGCAGCCCGACTAGATCAAGGGCGCGGGTCATCCCACTCTACACCTTCCTCAACAGATGGTTCATCTCCGAGTTAGGATACTCTACATTCTGCGACGAATCCGGACGCTGGCGATCCCAAGCCCACTTCTCTGCCAACTCGGGGGCCAGCTCGCCCTCAATCATTTGCGTGACGTACTTGCCGAGCACCGGGAAGAACTTATAGCCGTGGAAAGAACCGCATGAAGCAATATAAAGCCCCTTGGCAGCCGAATGGGGAGAAATGATAAAGTCGGAGGTCGTGGTGAAGGCGTCCCTATTGAGTATGTATTAGAAGCTAATTTGAAAATCGAGATGCGGAAGGGGAACTTACCAGCAAATACGGTGCTTTGTCATTTCCCAATCAGCACTCGTAGGCCCGTACCAGAGATTCCTCGCCTCGACGATATCTTGCTTGAGGGGTCCGGGGACCTTCCATTGGTTGTAATCGGAAGTAGGAGGCGGAGAGGAGAGGGAACGCCCTGGCAGCACTTCCCGAGTGTTTGTGAAAATCTTGGAACCCCACCACTTCAGCTCTCCGTCTTTCGTCGGCGGAAGAGTACCGATGAAGGGTTTTCCTGTAAGAACAGTTAGCCGGGCCTGGAATCCAATTCGAAAACAAAAGATCGGAGGGGAAGCTAACCTTCGTTGGGTGTATAACCCTGGAAGCCGACGGGCATGTTCCTAAACTTCTCATGCTGCTCAGGGGTGAGTTGTGCCATTCCCGTCGTGATTCCAGCCGCGAGAATCCTTGACCCAGCACTCAGCCCCTCGTTGCCGCTGGCCGCAGCGCTCCGCTCCAGCAATGTGGGAGTGAAAGCTCCAGTGGCAACGATAACATGCGTGGCGGACAAAACATCTCCCTTTTCTGTCTTGACTCCAGTGCAGCGGCTGCGACCATCGAATTCCAACGCTGCAACGCCTGCCGTCACATACTTAACGCCTAGTTCGATAGACTTCTTAGTGATTGCCACGAGGGAGTCTCCGGCAGCACCCCAACCACTAGACTTATTCACAAGCACTTCCTTAGCGCCCGTGTAATCAGCATTGTCGAACAGCCCGTCGTACAGCTTCCGGGCCTCGGCAACAGGCAAGGCGACGATATCATCACCCCGACCAAGTTCTTTGTGGTGGTTAATGACGGTTTGCGCGTAGTCACTCCGGCATATCCAGTAGACGCCGGTCCGGTGGAAATAGGGCTGCCAGAGAGGGTCCGACTCGAAGATATCCTGAGCCTCGAGCGCCAATCGGCAGTAGATCTTGTCCTCGTAGTCGGCACGCACCACCTTGTTCCAGTCCCATGAGGCGGCCACGCGGGAGTCGGCATCGTAGGCGTCCCTGTCGACGATGGTGATTGAGGCGTCTGGGTACTTCCGGATCAGATGATAGGCGGTGGATACGCCGAACACGCCTGCGCCGACGATGAGGTATGAAGGTTTCCCTGAGGCCATCTTGAACAAGAGTTTGGTTAATTGCTTGCAGTGATGCCTGTGAGATTTCGGCGGCTCTTGAGGGACGCGAGGGGGACATTAAAAGGCGTGGAATGGACTTGTTAGCCGACGAAAACCGGAGAGGAGAAGGCCGGTTTCGGTTGCTGTCTTCCGGTCCACCGGGATCACGTAATCTTCGTCGAGTGGGATCGTGGACGCGGCACTACTTCGTACACTAGACACGACCCATTCGAATGTGACTATATTCCACGGGAACACGAAGCGATCAAGTGGATCAACAAGAATAAGGCCATTCCACGCAATCTGGGCGACTACTAAGTGGGCCGATCTAGAAAGAAATGTCTTCGTGTCTCCTAGTGCGGGCGCCAGGGGCTAGTCGGCATTTCTCCGACGGTGCCTTTCGAATCCTTGGCGCTGTCAATTTTACCATGTTTCTACGCCCTTTGCTTTGTTAAGATAGACATTTGTTGTTAGAGGCGAAGATAAGCGCTCAACGGATGATGTACAATGTCTAAAGAAACTCTCAGCACCCGTTCTCATCCCCCGCCCTATCGGATTACTATGTACGAGGAAGATTCACCCACCTTCGAACTTGACATATAGGTAACACGGAGTTGGGAAACCCCCGAATTATCCCCGGGTTTGAGGGGCTCGCAGCCAGCGGCAGCAATTGGATCACGTACGGACTCCTCTCCCTTGCCCGGAGCACGCAACTACTTTGAAGATGACGTCTCAAACTTAAACACGGCAAATAGTCGCTACATGTCGTAACATGGAAAAGCTGCTCTATCCGAGGTACTCATTCGAGTGAATACGGGAAATCTGATATGGGAATTTGATGTAAGAGGCAGGGAGACCCACCTGACCGGGACCAATACCAACCAAGTTTAATACAATTAAGCTATGCTATATATACGTTTCCTTACCCTGACCCTTGAACCCCTAAAACCTTGGCCCTACGGAATGTCTTGGCAATTGCGTTATTATGCAGCTGTCCCTGTTTTCCTGCGTCATATCGGCGCCGCCCTCCGCACCCTGAGCCAATCCTGTTTGCGGAAGGCTCCACTCGCGCCGAGAGCAAGAGGAGATGGTTCATGTAAATAAAAAACGTGAAAGGTAAACCTGTTTTCTTTGCGGTCTGCGCGGGACTTTGCCCCGGCAGTTTTCTAGGCGTCGAAGTTTAATGGAGGGAGGAGAGGGAGGAGAGGGGCGAAAAGATCAATTGATGGGAATGAGGTCCAGAGGCACGTCTAGTACTGTGGTAAGAGGGATCTACGTGGGAAAGCATAAAAGGCGAGCTGTTACTCGGTCCTAGGATACTCCATTCCTAAGTGAGTACGCTCCGACATGTCCTGTTTCCATTAGCTCACCTCCCATCTCTTTAGCCTTCGCGCCACCTCTAGACCAGTCCCCGAATCCTCACTCCTTTTCTCACCACTATATACCCCCCGAAAATCATGTCTCGACTTGGTGAACTCTACGCGCTGGATGGCACCGATCCCACCAAGCTCCGTGCCATCTACGACGAGTGGGCCACCACCTACAACAAAGAACTCGCCGACTCCTCCCAAGACTACGTCGCCCCAGCCCTAGCAGCCGCATACCTCCTCCAGGCCCTCCAAACGCCTCGCATCAATGACACCCTCGAGATCCTCGACGCCGGATGCGGGACCGGCCTAGTCGGAAGCCACCTCGCGGCCCTCGGCGCCAAGAAAATCGACGGAATCGACCTGAGCACGGGGATGCTCCGGGTTGCGGAGAACACTGGTGCTTACCGCTCGCTAGATACAGTGGACCTTTCGGAAGCTCTTCATTTTAAGGATGGGACTTACGATGCTGTTACTTGTGCTGGGACGTTGACGCTGGGACATGTTGGGCCTGCGGTCCTTGGGGAGTTTGCGCGGGTTGTGAAAACGGGTGGGTTCATTGTCGCGACTATCCTGGAGTCCATCTTTAGCGAAGGGGGGTACGAGGAGACGATTCGGGGGTTGGTGGCTTCTGGGAAGGTGCAGGTTGTAGGTGCTCAGTTGGAGGACTATAGGCGTGGACAGGGCGTGAAGGCTTGGATGATTGTTCTCAGGGCCGTCTAGGGTTGTCCAGTTTAAGTGGTTGCACAAACTGAAAGTATCAGGCTACAGGCGTTTGGTACTGGGAAGAATGTGCAAACCATTTAGGCCAATGGCACACCTAACAGATGGCAGATTTTCCGGGGGTCTCTTTGTCTTTGCTTGGCTCAATTCTGGAAAACTTCAATTTTAGAGTGTCCAGGGTCACTTTGCTCAGTAGTAACCTTCAGCTTACTATATATCTGGACGCGAATGAAACAGTAAAAAGCCGCAAGGGCAAATCAATGTTCTTACAGCAGGCACTGGGGAATCCTCTCACTGCAACCCAGAGACTTAATTACTAGCCTACAACATAGGAAATCCTCACCCAAGAATCAAACCAAGTATCTGAACCCCTTCTGCAGCTCTCTAGCGGTAGCGACATCGACCCCGGTGATATCAGCCATCGCCTGCAGCTTCTTCAAGTCCTTCGCGTCCAGGACAGCGTCTTCATCTTCAAGTTTCTCCAGTCGCCTATTTTCGCGAACCAAGATTTGTCGCTGCAAGGTACCGCCGATACCGGAAATGACCATAAGGGCAATGACGATACCAAGGGCAACTGGGTACCTGTTTCCCTGGCTAGCGAAATATGTGTATGATGTCCAGATACTGGCGGCGTTACCGACAGCGTTCATGAATCCCAGGGCCGCGGCACGTTTAGCAGGGGGCCGTGAAGCGCAGGTTGACATCCAGGCATAAGTTGTGCCGTTCATCGTGAAGACGAAATTGAGAAGGAAGAGAGAGAAGTAGCGAGGGCCAAAGGAGGTCGTTGTCATGAAGATTACACATCCCGTGATAACGACGGGGATGGGATCTATTCACCAACACGTTAGTAGATATCCCAAACGAGGAGTGGCCCACGAGGTGCGGTGAAAGACTTGCACATGAAGAACCAGAATCTATTCTGGACCCTATCCGACATCCACGAGTGGAAGGCGCAGTAAAACGCCATGAAAACGTACGGCGGTGCGACTAACAACAGGGAGATAGTGTTGTTGAACCCTAGGGTTCTCGTCAACGTCGGGAAGAAGTTTTGGAAGCCACCAGCGCCGATGAAGGCATGTTGAGCCAGGGTTAAAACCAAAATTTTGGGGTCCGTGAGAGCCATTTTGAGACCCTTGAATGCTGTCTTGCTGCCGCCAGTATCGACGTCGGCTTCAGCCGCGTCCATAGCCAGTCTTCGCTTCGCAATATCGCGCATCTCTGGGCTGAGACTTTTCCACGATTCAGGGAAGTCTGGGAGGACTACGCAGATAGCGATTCCCGAGGCCACGGTTATGACACCTTCGAGAATGTACAGCCATCTCCAGGCGGAGATACCCCTGGCTCCGTCCAGGCCTCGGAGAATACCGGCAGCAATGAGATTGCCAAAGGCACCGGCAATGAGGGAGCCGTTGTAGAAGAGAGCCATACGGAGCGACAACTCCTTTTTCGTGTACCACTTAGAGAGGTAGAAAATGACCTAAGAAATTTTGGTTGAACGGTCAGATATTGGGAAACAGTTGATTGATCTCGGCGAAAGGGGTTGAAATAGAGACCGCTCCGATTGATTGATATACTTACGCCAGGGAAGAATGGGGCCTCTGAAGGAGAATGTTAGCACGGCTCGGAGGATACATCATGGAATGGCAACAACTAACCAACGAGACCGAGGACTAGTCTGCAAATGACGATGCCGGTAAAATCCTGCACCAAGGACGTCAGGGCCGAGACTAGACCCCAAGCAATAGTGAAGAATCCGATATAATAAGCCGGCTTGCCGAAGTAGTTTAGCATTATGTTCGAGGGGAGTTGACCTAGGACCTAGAACGGTAGCATCTTTAGTATGAAGTGCCTAATAGACAAATGGTTTGAATTCATTTCAACTAACATAGGTGATGAATAGAACCGAAAGCCCGACTTGATCTGTTTACGAAGATATCAGTATTGATGGTCCCAGATTTGGCGACGATATCTGCGTCTGTAATATCCTTTGCCAAAACGGAAAGTGGTTCAAGGTGTCACTCCATCTGGGGATATTAAGATTTGCTTACATTGGGTATCGGTTAGCTTGAGATCGGCTTCAAGGCCCTGAAGTCGGGCGGCAGCGTAGTTGTTTCTGCACAAGGTCAGCATGTGGTCTTGGAAAACTCCTCGGGAATACACCACTAACCGATCGATATAGTTCATTAAATAGGTCCAGATTATGAGAGGCATGATCCTGAGATCAATCTTCCGCCGCAACTTCTTTTCTAGAGCAAGCTCGTCTTCGGTGAGGGGGGGCGGCCGAGTATGTTCGGCAGTGTCGCGTTTCTCCTCCGTCATGCTGACAGGAACATCATGGTCGTGAACTTTGGAAGAAGAGACCTCGTCAGGATTATCGGGCTTGTTAGTAGGAGCGTCCATTTCAATGACTAAGTCCAAGGTATTTCGGCGGCTGTGATGCTTGCTATGATCTGTGAAGATCCTTCAAGACCTTCGAGATGAACGGGGTTTGGTCGATGCTTTTAAGTGCTTCAGCCGGATTCCCAGGCACGAATATCATCTATCTGGAAAACATGGGGCCCCGGTCTGGGGAAGCATGACACCCCAGGATGGGGCCAATGTTATCGAACGTTCAGCGTAATGATGCAGACCATCCGGCTGGGAGCAAGATAAGGTTTTTTTGCCATCGGACAAACAATTTCCGCGCGCGGACAACATCTGCCCGCTTCTTGTTGAAAATCTAGCACCGCACTAGTGGCTCGGCGTTGTTGCGGGGAGCGTTAGCGCGATTGTTTAGCTCCATCATGCTGATAATAAAAGACGGGATTCAATTCCCACCCATGGCGCACGCGGAGTTTCCTCCAACCCTTCCGCATCATGCGCAGAATGGCATCCCTACACCAGAGCCAACTCACTCACGCGAGTCCATCGGCGGCACAAATTGGCCCGTCCGAGTCCGACAACTTGGATGAGACCACCCGGAGGCCATCCCATGGCCGACGAAAGCGGTTAGCGTGCCGGAGGTGCCAAGCTAGGAAGATTAAGGTAGCATCTCTCTTGCAGCAGCAGCAGTATTCACAGAAAAGGCTAATGCTGGCTTGGCTGGAAGTGTGATGGCGTATTGCCAAAGTGTTCCGCCTGCCAACGGGCGCGTACTGACTGTGTGGATGGTAAAACGACGTGGCAGGGTCCCAGCATACCCAGGAGGTTTGTGATCCTACACGAGAGGGTGCGTTAATGGTCGGATCGTTGGTGCTAAAATTATAGGAAAAAAAATCTAGGGAAGCTATAAGGTTGCAGGAGCAAAACAGGCGCCTACTTAAATTTCTGCGCGAACGATGCCCAGACATCGACGTTACGGATCTGGGTGATGAACATGCGGCAGTGTTAAGAAATCCTGATGGACCTGCCGAACAAGAGATTCTGCAGTCCTCGGTGGCAACGCCAGCTCCAGGGGCACATACACGACCATCTAGTTCTGATGGCGGTGGAGGCGGTCCTCTATTACCACTGACACCGGATACCTCGTCGACGCCTCACGGAGGGTCGATGGGACGACAGATTTCTGGCGATATTGCGCACGAGATGGGGATGATACCTTTGTCGGCCGGGGTAAACAAGTATGTAGGACCATCAAGCGGGTTTTCAATTGCAAAATTGGTTCTCGATCGTGCGGATCGGGCCGGTAACCGCTATAACCCGGGGGGGACGAGTCAGTCTGATGAGACGACGGCAGAGACGAGGTGCCGGTCGATGTTCGCGATCGGACCGTCTGCCCTACCTGAGTCTAAGGAGCAAGCAGTTCAGCTCTCCTTGATTTATTTTGAACAGGTACACCCTCGATATCCGTTCCTGCATCAGCATAGTCACTTCCGTGCGCTTGAGAAACTGTATGATGGTGACACGCCAGCAGTGAGCAAAGCCGTCAAGTTCCAAGTGATGATGGTTTTGGCTATCTCGGCCATCATCTTATCACGACGCCTAAGAATTCCATTTAGTGGAGAGGGCCTTTGTGCCGCGGCCATGGAATATACGGACGAGATTGACTTCCAGAGCTCGACTGAGGGAGTTCAATGTTTACTACTGATATCTATGCTCACCTTGCACAGTCGCTTCTTGGGAATCAACCCTTGGTATCTCAATTACCAGTGCCTGGCCGCTGTGCTAGATCTCGGCTTGCAACAGGACCTCGCAACCGGCCAACCGGTCGACGCTTTTGAACGTGAGATGCGGACCAGGGTATTCTGGGTCGTGTTTTCTATGGATAGAATCATTGCCACCACATTGGGAAGACCGGTCGGCTTGAGGGATGAAGCCTGTGACCTCAGGGTAGGTATTACTGAAAAATCACCGACCTTTCCTTCTCCATAACTAGAGCCGTGAGCCATAATATGCTAAGTCTACACCAGCTGCCGCATGGCCTCGAAGACCACGAACTTGACGCATTAAGAAAATACAGCGACAATCAATCATCGCCGCACGCTACTGATAACAGTCCGGGAGCCATCGCATGCGCTGTAGTTCATTTCAAGCTCGCCCTAGTGAACTCAGAAATAATGTACACGCTGCACAGCATTTCGCCCAACGCGCCGCAGCACACGTACCCTCGAATTCCAGACGTGGAAGCTTGGCAAAACGGCCTCTACGATCGTCTGGTAGCTATTCGCCGGTCCTTCCCAACTTTCGGAGACGAAAGCAAACACCTATCGGTTCTCTGCGAAATCAGATACCATGAGATGGTCATGCTCCTGTTCCGCCCGACGCCGCGGATCCGGTCGCCGAGCAAAGACTCGCTGACGCACTGCTACCAGAGCGCCGAGGCTACCATCCGCCTGTGGAAGGAGCTGTACAACTCCGATAGGATGTCGTATTCGTGGACAAGCATCCACTCGATCTGTCTTAGCGCCATCATCATCCTCTACTGCACCTGGATGGTGCGCAAGCTGGCGCTAAAGACCGAGATTGATTCTCTCACGCAAACTATGGTGGCGGCGTCCAATCTGCTTAGTGCCGCCGGGGAGCATTGGGTGGACGCGAGGCGCTGTCGCGACTCTCTTAACAATTTGACCGCGGCCACCATTCGCTGGCTAGTTACCTTGCGGTCGACACAACAACAGACTCAGACCAGGGTAGCAGCGGATTCCGGCGCTCAGACGGATCCATATGCGCCATCAACGACGGTAATTGATGATCCCACGATGCATACTGGGTATCACGAACAGCAGGCTCTTTCTGGGGGCCATGACGAGATGGGAGCGCCGACCGTTAACTCCGATTTCCCGTGGGTTGATACGTATATCAACGGAGAGGATCTAGCGTCACTCTTCAGGGCACCTAATCCCTTCAACTCCGACCTTTCCCAGACAATGGAGGGCATGTTTAGTGACTATCAGCCACTATTCGATTTTTATCAAGGGAACGATTTTAGCATGTAAATTAGAGGTCACCAGATCAAGCAGCTCGCTAAGCAATTGAAACCGAAATCAAATCCCGAGTACCAAGATGCGTATACTCCCTTGTTTCCAAACCTCGGCCGATTAATTGGCTTCTCATCCTTAGCTTAAAGATTCTAATAATCGGCGGATCCAACAGCCCGGTTCGGGTGACGACTGGGGCTATGTGGAGGGGCCGTCCGCTCCGCGCTCTTCGGGACTAAATGTCCGCAGCTACACTGGAACGGAATCTTAAGTCCGTTGCCTTAACGAGATTAACAGAAGGCCCACCCCCCACAAATCTTGTAGCCGATGACTAGGCTCCATTCGGCAGAGTATCCGATCTCAAGTGCACTTAAAGCGGAAGGATAGTTCACATAGGGATGCGGCGATTCGAATCATCATTGACCATTTAGCTGTAGCTAGATTGCCATAGCTTACTATACGTACAGGGCAAGTCTCTAGTCCAAAGGTAAGGCCGTAGAAGGCCTCATTATCTGGAAACGATGTCTCTCGTAGCATTGGAGAGAGGTTGCGAGTGAGTGGTCATCTTCCAGCCTCCAGATGAAAGAGGCAAAAGGACTGACGGCCAAAACAGGACGAGCGTCAACGTCGAATTGCTTCGACGTGTGGCAGCTAAAAATAACATCACAATCCCCGACCACGATATTGAAGGCTATTTAGCAGTTCTGCAATCGGCAGAACTCACGGCTACAACTGTTGAAGCCTTGCCCGATTATGTTGACGAGAGGTTGTTGCCTACACCCACAATTGGAGGGACTCGAGCATACGCTCGGCCTCGCCCACAAAACAATGACATGAACGCATGGAGCCACAGAACAAATCTTGTCTCTGTGAATCCATCCTCGACTTTACTCAAGGGCAGAAGGGTCATAGTCAAGGATAACATGTCTGTCGGGGGCGTTCCTTACACTTGCGGTACTTTCCCTCAGTTGATTAGGAAAGGCAGCAACAAGTACCCCCTTTCGCCCATTGACGCGTCAGTGGTCAAGCGGCTTCTCGACAATGGAGCGACCATTGCTGGAACGGCAACATGCGAAAACTACTCGTTGACCCCCATGTCATACACATCGGCTAACGGACCCGTCCACAACCCATGGCTCAGAGGCTTCAACGCCGGCGGAAGCAGTAGCGGTGCAGCATGCCTCCTAGGCCTCCGACTTGCGAGGCAAGCGGGAGTCCCCGGACTCCACGGTTCAGGAGATGACGTGGGCATGGCCCTTGGCGGAGACCAGGCCGGGTCTATCCGAGTCCCTGCGGCGTACTGCGGCGTGTACGGGTTGAAGCCGACGCACGGCTTGGTACCCTATACGGGTATCGCGGGTTTACATCCCATGATCGACCACGCTGGGCCACTGGCCGTGAAGTTGGATGACATCGCGTTGCTCCTGCAGGCGATCGCGGGCTATGATGGACTGGACGGGCGAATGGGCCCCAAGACGCCCCTCAGAAACAACGTCCAGCCGTATTACGACGAACTACGACAATTCACCCCTTCTGTGTTAATTCAAGAGCAAAAGCAGCGAGGGCGACCGCTTCGAATCGGAGTTATCAGCGAGTCTTTGATATCCCCCCACACATCCCCCGAGGTAGCGTCCGTGGTACGTGAGGCAGCTTTCACGCACTTTACCGCCGCCGGCGCGATAGTCTCCGAAGTATCGGTGCCAATGCACCTTATCGGTCCATCAATCTGGACGGCCTCGTGCCGGAACAACCTAGGGTTACTCGGGATGGGAGGACGCGTTCCCGATATCCTGACGCATAGCCTACCTCACTGGACACCACGGTGGCCACCAGATCAGGAAATGTTCGACCTCCTCACACACCACAACCCAGCAGTAATACACGTCATCTTTGGCGAGACGATGCTCGCAGAGAGGTTCAGCCCAACGATCCAGGCAAAAGCGCACCGCCATGTGCTGCAGATGCGCAAGGCGTACGACGAGGTCTTAGAGGAGTTCGACATCGTCGTGACTCCGACTGCTCCGACGGTTGCGCCGCCGCACCCGGATATGAGGCGTGTCTCGGAGGGCGGCAGCACGGTTCTGGATAAGGCGATGTTGGCGCTGGGGGCGATGAACAATACGTGCCAGTTCAACGCCACTGGACACCCGGCTTTGAGCGTTCCTTGCGGCTGGGCGACGGCATGCGACGGTGAAAGTAAATTGCCGGTAGGAATGCAGCTGGTCGGCAAGCGCTGGGATGACCTTGGTGTGCTGAAGGCTGCGAGAGTGTTCGAGATGGGCGGCGGTGGGCTTGGGGCTTGGCCTGGGGCGGAGAAAATGACCCGTGTCAACGGGCGAGGTAAGCTGTAGAATAGATCATCATTAAAGTCAACCTGAACTGGGATACCAAATATTGCATTGGCGGTTCAATCGGCTTTATGAGCCCTCCCTCTTGCTTCAGTTATCAGCTGCTTTAGCATCAAATTCAATGCATTTCGTTCTTTGAGTCGCAACAATCACATTGTGGTCACTTCATGCGAGTGCTTTTACAGCCCTAGGAAATATAAAGTCCCCTCTGCTGAATTAGAGCCCAGGTACCGAGATTTTTGTATTCCACCACCGGCTTTACCATTCTCATCAAGGATTGACCCTTCCCCGGTATTGGAGCCATTCTCAGACCAAAGCTGGAGCACCGGGGCAGACCCTTAATCGTGAGGGGGTAAGGTCTTCCGCAGCGCAACACCTTACTTTCTACAATAAATAGAAGAGAGCTAGACCGCACTTTCCTAGTCTCCTGAGATCCCTCACGTTCCCGCACACCCGATTCAAGAAAGCATATGGCCAACGAAATAGATAGAGATATACAGGACTCCGGAATCGTGGAATCTCTACAAGAAGCTCTCTAGTGTTGGCAGTATGTTGAAGTGTATCAAGTTTGTATGCCGTGCGCAAATGCGTAAATATGCCTTTTAGGCAACTGCGACATGTGGACTTTGAATGGCTCGGTTTCAATATGTCATGCGTCCAGATGAGCAGATGTTACATCAATACTAGCAGGAAACAACGATGAGTGAAAACGCTACTGCATAGCACTAGAAGATGAGATGACATCAAATCTGAACGATAACAGTGACAGAGCACGCCGATAAAGCGATTTATTGAGGAGGCAAGAGCCGGGGAATGGTCTTACGTGGAGACTGGATCGTACAAACAAATGAGAGGGCCTCACCTTGAAGGGAACCTTGACCGGAATGCCGCAAGACTAATTTCTCAGTCGATCCTTGCTCTTCTAGATAGGGTATCGCGGAGTGAGAAAAAAAAAATATAGCGCCATTCTCGTTCGTTCTTTGCTAATCGAATCCCACTCGTTCTGACAAGCGGATAGCGGCCCCGTCACTCCGCTCCGAACAATACCGCAAGACGCCTGCGGGAATAAATTCCCCGACCAGCAAACCCCGCTGAGAAACGCGGTCTATTAATAGCGAGCTATTCACAACCACTCCAAAAGGTCACGTCAGGACGCACTAATATGGTGGTATACTTTTCGATGCTACTTCGTACACCCCGCATAAACGCTGTCGTTCGTTCTCTACAGTCTGGAATTGGAAGAGCATACAATTCAAGGAACTTGATTAAGCACAAACCTACAGGACGAGGGAAACAAAACTCGAAGAATTACAAAACAATGGAGGAATCAGCCTCCAACGGCGGCGCCCAGGGAGAATCAACAATCAATCCTGATTATGACCTTAACAGACCCATTTCGGCTGAACAGGGCGGCCTGCGATCCAATCTGCCTGGCTACGGCGACACCCACTTCAGTTTATTCCTCCGAAAAGTCTTCATCAATGCCCTAGGATATACAGACGAATCCCTCAGCAAGCCAATTATCGGCATCATCAACACATTTTCAGCTTTCAACCCTTGTCATGGCCAGGTGCCCCAGTTAATTGAGGCCGCGAAGCGCGGCGTCCTGCTGGCAGGCGGGCTTCCCATGGAATTCCCTACCATTAGCATTCACGAGAGTTTCTCCAACCCAACAAGCATGTATCTGCGAAACCTTATGAGCATGGATACTGAGGAAATGGTCAAGGCACAGCCTGTGGATGCGGTCATCATGATTGGCGGCTGCGACAAAACTGTACCTGCCCAGTTGATGGGAGGCATTTCCGCAAACAAGCCTTTCTTACCCCTGATAACAGGCCCCATGATGCCCGGGTCTGTAAAGGGTATTCGAGTTGGCGCTTGCACTGATTGCAGAAACAACTGGGCCAAGTACCGTGCGGGAGATATTGATATCGAGGATATTACGGACATCAACAAGGAACTTGCGCCTACAGCTGGCACCTGTGGGGTTATGGGCACTGCAAGTACTATGGCCTGCATTACTGCTGGCCTCGGCCTCATCGACCTGAAGGCGGGGGCTACTAGTCCAGCTGTGTCCTCTGCGAGACTCCGGGTGGCTGAGGAGACAGGCAAGAATGCTGTTGGAATTCTCCAAGATACAGAGGGCTTCAAACCGCAAAAACTTCTCGCCTACGAAAACTTCATAAATGCCATCATCGTGCTACAGGCCATTGGGGGAAGCACTAATGCCATTATACATCTCATGGCCATAATTAATCGCCATCCGGATGTAAAGGGCCGCATTACCCTTAAGACCTTTGATGAGATAGGAACCAAGACGCCACTATTGGTAGACCTCAAGCCCAGTGGGGACAACTATATGACAGATTTCCACAATGCAGGAGGCATGCTTGCGCTGATGCATACCTTACGTCCTTTACTCTATTTGAACGCGCGGGTATATACAGGTCAGACCCTCGGGGAGCTACTCGACCAAACGCCCTTCCAGGCTTTTGACTATTCCCGACATATTATCCGCCCACTAGACGACCCCTTATATGAACGATCTAGCTTAGCAGTTCTATATGGCAACCTAGCCCCTCACGGCGCAGTTATTAAAGCCAGCGCATCCAAGGATAAGCGCCTCCTCGATCACCGCGGCCAGGCCTGCGTATTCAAAAACAGCCGAGACCTTAGCGCCCGCATCGACTCGGATGACCTAGATGTGACGCCAGATTCGATCCTCGTGCTGCAGAATATCGGACCTGTGGGTAATCCAGGAATGCCTGAAGCTGGCATGATCCCAATTCCCAGAAAACTTGGAAAGCAAGGTGTCACTGATATGCTGCGGATAAGTGACGGTCGTATGAGCGGAACGGCGGGTGGCACGATTGTACTACATGTCTCGCCTGAGTCAGCGGATCCTGACTCCGTCTTGGGAATCGTGCAGGACGGCGACTTTATTACTTGCAATGTTGCTGAGAGGGTGTTGCGCCTAGAGGTGGACCAGGCTGAAATCGAGAGGAGGATCGAGGTCCAGAAGAAGAAGGAGAAGGGAAAGGCAAAGGGGCGAGATTCGTGGATAACCAGGAAGACGCTTCGTGGGTATCGGGGCTTGTATGAGAGGAATGTAAATCAAGCGCACAAGGGCTGTGACTTCGACTTCTTGACCGCTGACGGGCCGGTTCACTCTGAGAATGCTTAGATAGAAATTTGCGTGAACGATAACGGGGTATCACTGGCCATGAAATGCAGAGCCCGGAGCACCCGACAATAGTTATCAGTGGAGAAATCCAGTTCCGTCCCTACGTGAATGAATGATCTTTTTAAGTTGGTAAATTAATTGAATAACTGACATTGTCCCTTTTAATCTTATGCTGGCGCATTTGTTCTCCTTCACGTAGACCTCAGTGCTTCTCTCGCTGAATCATGAGAGGATTCTATGTTCACGTCTCAGGATGGTCAAATTTCTAGCCCGGCCAAGACGGAGGTGGAATTTTGAGTCGGCCCGGAGTCCTATTGGACTCAAACCTCTTCGGGAGATGCCCCTGTTTGGCAGGAAGGGCCGGGACCTATCTTGCATCGATAAGTTATTCTCCCTAATCAATTTTCTCTTTCTCTCCGAGGAACGGACGCTTTTTGGCTCCTTGTCGAATTGGCAAGATCTACTAGCGAGATGCCGAAGTTCAATTAGCCGAAACTGAGCCGGGCCTGATCAAGCAAAGACTGAATCGTGTCACGTGAGATCGAGGCCCAGGTGGTCATCACTATCACTACATCAGATTTGGGTTCCGTTACACTATTTTCGGCTATTTTCGGCCTTGCTATTTCTGCTCATTGCTAGTTTGATCCGCAAAGCGGAGTTGATAAACTATGCTCGAGTCTGTCTAAAACTGTCGATGGCAACTAATACCTGCATTGCCCTAGCTTTGATCGAATTGATCTTTCAGCATTTATGGCACCTTGTAACTAGGACGCAGTAGAATAAGGAGAAAGGCAAAGGCTCTTGTATTTTATGTAGCTCACTAAGATCCACCATCTAGCTCGTAAATGTACAACTTTTATCCAAAGGATCATAGACATAGAATTGATCTAGCAGCCTTGCAACACTCACATTCGTCACCCCGTCTACCAACTTTAGCCAGTGCTGGTTGGAAATCATCGAATCATTAACCCACGCATTCGAGCCATCCAACGCAACTTCATTATACCCAATTTCATTAGCATATTCAAAAACCCTCCTGACCCCCAACCCAGCACGTCCTGAATCATCAAGCCCTAGAATCCCGTACAGCGTCGCTATCGGATCCCACGACTCTCTAATGGTGCTACACCGACCAACGTACCACTCGTACGCTGCCCGCACAGGCGAGTCCGGCGGCGCGTCCGTCGCCAGAGCCGCGCCGGAGAAGACGTCCCTACCGAGTTCGAACCCGACGTAGGTGACGGGCACGTCCCGGGGCCAGTTGTTGACGACGTGGTGCGTGGACTCGGGGTCGATGCCAGCGAAGTTGAACTCTCGACCGGAGGGGTACTGGCCTCCCATGATGACGAGCTCTTTCACCTTTGCGGAGATGAGGGCTGGGCCGGCGAGGGGGGAGACTGAATCCGAAGGGGTCCTGAGCAATGCGGCGAGGTTGGTGAGGATGCCGAGGGAGATGAGGGTTACGCTGTGGTCTTTCGATGAGGATAAGATGGAGCGGTAGAGAGAGGTTGGAGTTGGGGTGGTGGATGAATCGTTGAGAGACCGGGGCCAGTTGTAAGCTAATCTTGAGGCATATTCGCCTCGGCTGGAGGATCCGTCAGCATTGTTAGTTTTCGTATTTTCGGAATAGAACTCTTAAGTAAAATTCAACTGAAAAGAAGGGCAAGAACTGCAACTAACAGGAAGTCCCAGGTGTCTACAAATGTCTCCTCAGTCAATGGGCGGATGGCTGCTATGGGTATGTCAGGGTTACCAAAGTACGTATTGACGACACTGGCGGCCAACGCGCCGTATTTCGACGGCGTGTTAATGATGACACCGGCTAGTCCGGCAACATGGCAGTTGTGCAAGACGTTGGCAATGGCGAGTGAGCCGACGTCGTCGACATCAGAGAAGAGATCGGTGTCGATTATTATTTTCTTCCTGTGGTTACTCGCAGGGGCATCTGGAGTCAGGGATGGACATAGAGCCCAGAGCGTGAGAGCAATTTGGCGGAGATTCATGTTTGGGTCGACACGGGTGAGAAGGAGGGAGTGTGAGAGCACGCGGGTGGGATTAGTTCGTGTCGACTCGCACCCGATTTTGCTAAGATGCAGGGCCCAGGTCACCCGACGGGTGAGAACACAGTGAATCGCGTGATGGCGAGTCTATGGAGGCGAGGATGGTCAAACTCTAGTGAATTAATCGGGTCGCCAGACAAGTGTTGATAGAGCGCCAATATTGAAAAGAAGGGCGGTCAAGAAGAAGCTTAGGATCACACTTGGTTCCATCTCAGTTATTTTGCCCCGCTCCTGTGAACGATCCGAGAAAAGAGATCAATTAAGATGCTGATTTCACTCCTTCCCAACCACCCAACCCCATTCTCGCAGCCAACTACTGACTCTCCTGGTCCTCGATTTTTGTGTACTGTCAACGATTTGCCAAGGCTCCGAGTTGCATTCTTCAGTTCATAGCCGACGGATCGGTCATCTATGTGTGCTCCTTAAATGGCACCTTTGGACGTCTAGTTAATTGAGCTTCCACTTAGAGACGGAAAACGCCGTGGCAAGGTCTAGCATATCCGAAATACTTGGTTCGTGGGTATCAGATGCTACTCCTCAATGCAGGGTTGGAGACTTGAAGACTTAAAGTCAGAAGTGATGATCTCATCAATCTCAAGCGAAGGAAGGCGCCAGCGGTGGTGGGACTTCAGGTGGTTCCTGCCATTTGTCGCCAGCCCCAAGCTCAGCTCGACAGAGCTCGACAGCTCTTGTCAGCTCTGACCAGCTCAGTCAGGTGCAAGCCAATCCTAATCCGGCCAAGCTTAATTCCGTTTCCGTCCAGCTGCCCGCTTTCCCGCCCCACACTAAGAAAAAAACCCTAATAAACTTGGCAAAATATACCGACTTTGCCAGGGCAACCTTACGCGCATTCCAGACTCCAAGCGCGTCACCCGGACCTGAGCAGAACGGACAATCCCAAATCCCGCCCAATATCCAACCGCCCCGAGATATCAACCCCATTTCCCACAACCAAAGGACTGGTAGAAGCGGAGAACCGATCGAACTTGGTGAACCCACTCTTCCCCCTTTTCCGAACCGGCCCAACGAAACAAAAAAAAACATGTCGAAGCGAAAACCTAAAAAACCTCACCTCTCCCCCTCCCCCACCGTCTCGGAAGAAAACCCCGTCTTCATCTCCGGCGCCGACAAATGGCGAGCCGTGATCGAAGCCGATAAAGAAAAGGAAGCAGCCCGCTCCAAAGGTGGTCCGTCCTGGACTAAGGGCAACAACAACGGCAGCAAGTATGGCGGGCCACGAGGGGCAGGAGGAGATGGGGGAGGATGGGGCAAGAAGGGCGGCTCGTCATCGGCTTCGGTGGCGCCTTCGGAGGCTGGAAGTGGGAACTGGAATGGGAATGGGAATGGGAATGGGAATGGGAATGGGAGTGGGAGTGGGAGTGGGAGTGGGAGTGGGAGTGGGCGGGCGGGTACTTCGACTCCTCAAATTCTGCAGAGGCCAACAACGGATATGGGGAACAATACAATGCCACCGGGCCTGAATCCTGGAGCTGCGCAGTTCAACCCTACAGTCGCGCAGTTTAACCCTGGGGCTGCTCCGTTTATGTTCGGGCAGCTACCACTGGCCATCGTCCCTGATAGCGTGCCCTATCGCCCGCCCTCGCTGATGTCGTCCGAGAGTGAGAAATCGGACGAGGAAGTCGAGGACGAGACGATGGAGCTGCAGTATAATTGGAACGGAGGTTCCAAAGAGGCGACCGGAGGGCAGAAGCAGCGGTCCGACGGTCCGAGGAAGTATCGCGGCAAGAAGCGGACTCAGGAGCGTACCGTCGAACTTCCTCATAGTCGGTTTGGAGAGATACCTAAGGAGATTAAGGTGGCGAGGGGCGCGTTTGACGCTGCTGCGCAAGAGTTCAAACCGGCCGAGAAGTCGGTGGTTGACGAGCCGCAGGAGAACCGGCAGACGTCGATGGATGCGTATGATCCTCGCTACGACCCCGACGAGTCGTACGCGCCTGGATCGCCGTCTACCATTTACGAGCCGGTGGAGGTTCCAGAGCCCCTTGAGAAGCTCAGTGGAGCGCTTGATGAAGCCCCAGTCGATCAAGTGGTCAACACCCCTGATCCTGCTGAGGAGAGCCAGGTCCCCGAGTCGGGACGGCATGCCTCAGCAAACGGCGATTCCCATCCGGACAACGCCGAAGCCAGAAGTGGCTTGAAACCGCCCAGCGAGTCAACGCAGCGCCCCGAATCCGTCGTGCTGGCGGACGCGGAACCTGCCACGAGCGTGGAACCACAGGCGCAAGCCCAGGACAGCCGACCTAAATCCCCCGAGCCAAAAGGCATGGAGCGTAGTGAAGAGCCCGCTCTCCCCGTCGAAATTGCTGAGGAGCCAACCTATGACGCTGAAGGCAATGAAGAAGAGCCCGGGCTCTACAATGCCGAGGAGCCAAAATACGATGCCGAAGGCAACGAAGAGGAACCCCCGCATTACGATGCCGAGTGCACCCAAGAAGGACAAGAAGAAGAAAAAGAAAAACAAACGCCTTATTATAAGGAAAACGATGAACCCGCAAGCTACCACACCGAAGAGGTTGAGAAGCAAGAAACCGGTTACGAAGCCGAATTGGACGCCTACAACGAACCAGCGGCGTACCACATCGACGAAACCGGCGCGGGTTACTCTGGTCATTTTGGGACCGAGTACAACAACAACGACGACTACGTCGAACGCGTCCCCTGGAATCCCCCCAGGGACGACGGGCCCAAGGGATACAAGAAGCGAAACTGGTTCGCGGGTGCAGATAACGCCGCCGTCGAACCCTTCGAGTATATCCCTCCCTCAGAGCGCCAAAAATTCAAACCATCCGAAGAAATCGCGGACGAGGTCGAACCGGCACCGGCGACATACATCCTGCCTCGACCCCAGCATAGTCCGCGCCTCCCCCTATTCCCGCCACCGCCGGCAAGGTTCCCGGATGCGAAACCCCCATTTTTGAAGAAGAAGGGCAAGAAAGGCAAAGAATTCAATGAGGTGCACGACGATCCGCTCATGAGCCGGGCATCGGGCCCAAGCAAGAGCACCATGTATCATCCGTCGACAACATCGGCGGATTGGAGGGCAGTGGATAGTAGGGACGAGGAGGAGGAAGCCGAGGTGCTTTTCTCGAGCATTACGCTCTGTGCGCTGAGGCCGGAGGAGTTGCCGCTGGAGGCGCAGCAGTTGTATATCGAGGTTTATAATATGTCCAAGGGGAGACGAGTAATTCCGGAGGTTGTTAAGGTGCGATTCATTTCATTTCCTTACTTTTTTGTCTTGTTTATCAGTGAGTGTGCTGACGGACTTGGCCCTGAAATAGGAAGATTTGCAGAGTAGGTTTGAACGGTTTGGGAAGGCCGATCTTCTCACAGGCTACCACCACCAAGATGGCACGGCCATGTACGAACTCAGTCATCTTCGCGAGATCGTCATCGAAGGAGCACGATGCCAGATCTCAGGGGCATCGGCAGCCGACTGGAACAGCAGCGTCCATCACCCGCTTCTCTCTGTGGCATTCAGGAATCTACCCTTGGGAACCAAGATCAGGGTCTGGAATACGTAGGCAGAATCTCCTCTCGGCCGCCAACCGGTCTCTTTGTTCTTCCTTTCGCTAACTCAAACTTTCCAGTTCCGCTGCCTCCATCCTCCCCGACTTCCTCCCCCAAGACCTCCTCACAACCCCTTCCCCACCCGCTGCTCCCTCCTTCTGCATCGCCCTCGAAACCAATCCCTACATCTGCAACTTCGTCCGTAAGCAACCCCCCGATTCCCCCTCCATCAACCAAACGACCTACCCGCCCCTACAAACCCGCCTCATTGCCGTCCCCATCGAAACCACAACTCCTTCCTCCATTTCCCCTCCCGGCACCGTGCCACCTGTAGCCGTCTGGACCTGGGCCTGGATGGCCCGCATCCGCCACTTGGCCCCCTGGGCCCACATCCCGCCGTTGCCCGTCGTCCGGGTCGTCGGACACGATTGGTACCTCTCGTGGGCGTACGGCGAGTGGGAGGAGGCGGAGCTGAGGATGAAGTTTGTTGGGGAGTTGATTGTTGGGAATACGAGGAGCGTGGTGGGGATGTATAAGATTTTGGCGGTGTTGAGGAGGTTGGCGACGTGGGTGGATAATGAGTTTGAACCTTGGGCGAAGGAGGTGTTTGGTTGAGTTGCTGGAGATGCTAGCTTTTGGTTTTGCAGGTGAGGGAAATTGTAAATTAGACAGGCCGCGGACATCACTAGCGAGTTTCGGTGTACGAGTAAAAAAACTCAAATGGATATAATAACTACTTGTTCTGCTTCTGAGGCGCTGGCATCGCGGCTCGATGTGTGCCGATACCACTCGTTCGAGGTTGATAGGCCTCGTAACGCGGCTTTTCACATAACAACCTTGCCATAGGGCGGGAGGGTTTCTGTCCCCTAGATAGATCACCAGTGATGGACGGGCGATCTGCAACAAGGTTACGGATATCCGAGATTTGGATTCTTATCTCGGGTTGGCAATCTTCGTATTCCATGCATTCATTGCTAGTGCAACTGAGGACCTGCAGGTTTAGTAAACTATAAAGCCAAGTCCAAACTGATAGAAGGAGGCAAAGAAAGACGAAAGGAATAAGGGGGAAAAGGAAAACGAAAAAAAAGGGAGCACACGATCTCTTCCCCTTTTCGGCCTCGAACTAATAATAGAAATGCCCCAAAGCTCCGAAAGCCAATCGGGGACAGTCTTGTCTGGAGGTCGGGCAACAACCTGGAACATGAAACGAACGAACAGCCCCTGCGCCGAGATCTTCGAAACAAACGTGCCCCGTCCCATCACGGACACTATTTTATCCGACTGGTTCGTTTTAAGTTATTATCTATCTTCCCCTTGTGATTTTTTTTTCTTTTCTGTGAATAAAAAAGGCGAATGGGGAGCATTAATATCAAATTCTGAGCAGAGAGTGATCGACCCAGCCCTAAAATTATTATCCCAAAAGCTCTTTTCTTTTAATTACATCCAATTCCCCGTGGCTTACACCTTCGTCGACTTGTTCGCTGGCATCTTCTACATGTCTACGATGGCGCTGCGATCACCCGACTCTGAAAAGGTAGCTCGCTATCGGCGGCGGGCAGATTTACTTTCTGAAAACCACCGACGGAAAAGAAGTTTCAGCCGACCGCCGCGGTACCAGGACCAGATACTGCGACTGCGCGAGGAGGGAGAGGACGCAGATGACGAAGGCGGGCTAGACGATGAGGACTGCGAAGAAGAGGGCGATGATGAGGAATCAATAAGCCCTCTCCTAGTTGAAGATGAGGATGAGGGCAAGGATGAGGACGAGGATGAAGAAGTAGAAGCAGATGACGAGGAGCAAGATTCTTCCGATTCCGAAGCGGAGGGAGCCAACGGAGAAGACTCCTCATCATCCTCGGATTCCTCCGACTCTGAAGAAGAAACATCCACCACCGCCATCTTCGCGCCCAGCTCGACCGGACAACCTCTACTCACTTTAACAACGGTCCCGTCCTCACTTCTATCACCATCCCCTCCTACTTCAGCTGCAACCTCGATAACTCGCGAAACTCAGACCTCCGCAATCACCGGGAGCCCAGCCATCTCCAATGACGGCGGCAATAACCTCGTCGCTCTCCTCCCCCCAATGGTCACATTTTCCAACATCGGCCTTCCACCGGCCGACCTCCTAGGCATATCTGCGACTACTCTTCCGTCAACAGACCCTAGCGCTACCGTTCCTGCTGATCCCCAAGTTGGTGATGCGAATGCGGCCGCGCAAAGCAATACAGCCGGCCAAACTACCGGGATCGTGACTGGTGTCGCAGGTAAAAAGCTTTAATTTCAAAGATTTACTATTTCTTCATGTTCTTCATTCTAACGAACTCCTTCTACCTAGCAGGCTTCGCACTAATCTTCACGGGAATCTGGTACTTTCGCAAAAAACGTCTCGCAGCCTCCGACGCAGATCCGCTCACCGAAAAGTCCCCGTCCTCTCCACAAGGAGAGCGAATTTCGCCTCCTCTATCTCTCTCCAGTGCGCAGATGGTCGGTGGGCAGCTTCCGAGGCAGATGTGGTCTGATTCTATGAGGGACTTGGAGGAGCAGGTTCGTGTGGCATATGTTGCTGAGCAGAGGGAGGGAGGACGGGCGGTGTGATGGCGAGGCGGGAAACTTCTAGAGGAACTTGACGTCAAGGACAGGTCTTGGAATCGAGTGTAACAAAGGCTTAATGATCATTTATATAGCAAGTGACTCAATCGGGTACTTGACTATTTTTTTTTCCTTGATGGATTTTTAACTTGCATTGGATCCCTTATCGACTCTCTCCTGGGCGATCTAGCCCGCTACTATGGCGCCAGATACCAAACTCTTGAAGGATCTTCTTGGTGAGTATTCGTAGGAAGGGTGCGTGAATACAGTAACCGACAGTCACAAGAACGCGGCCTGTTGTTGAATATCATTGACGAGGGAGATCCTATTCCCCTAGGGCAAGTAAACTATATCAAATCACGGCTTGGTGTCTACGCATTCTCGGAGGTGGGCCTCCAGAAACAATATCCGCAAGGTTCACGCTGACCTGGAGGACGCCATGGCTTGAAGGTGCTTGCCACCGAGGCTAGTGTCTCGCAGCGAAAGTTGTTTGGCTATCCATTAGTCCATCTCATGCATCACTACTTGGAGAAGATAGAGGAATTATAAGGGACTCGGACGGAAGACGCCTAAGCGAAGATGTCTCAACACCATATCATAGCTCTACTAGTAACGCCACTCCGAGATGTATGCCGTCAAAGCTCGATCCTATGTGCACATCGAAGAAGAAGAGAAAATACTAGCAACAACCTTGACGTGGATTGCACTCTGTAGGAAGATCTCTTAACTTGGCGATACATACTCTATCTGGGCCGAGCGGGGCATATTAGCCTTCAGCTGCCCCGGTGGTGTACCGGGCGTAAGTACCCTGGACCAATAGGAGGATTGACTTATGTCTGGAAGGGTCACGCCCATACTCTCGAGTCTCCTCCTAATAGCTTCAAGCTCGGGAGAATCAGCGCTATGGGCAGCCAAGATGGGGGTTCAATCTGACTCGGGGCGCTGCACGGGAGGATCAACCGGAATACCGGCCTCAACCATGGCGTCAAAGATTTCGATGTGTCCGTATTTGCAAGCGACGATCATCATGTCCAGAATGTACCCATCCGGGGCCTCGTACTCAGCGGCCAGGTCGAGGACCTTGGCCTCGAACACAAGGTAGCGGAAGACTCGGTGGGCGCCAACCCGGGCCGCGTCATGAAGATCGTAGAGCCAGGCTCTTCTAGCTTTCTTACCATAGGGAGTAAATCAATTGACAAATTTGATGACGTCGGCACGATCGGCTAAAATAGCACCATCGATAGCGGGGCCGAGAGGCACGTCGTAGGTCGTAAGCCATTGTAGCAGCTCCATGTCGCCCGCCCAGGCGGCAATGCAGATTGGCGCAGGGACAAGTTCGCAGCCGGGCTCGCTGTGTTCTAGCTCTGCCAAGTACTCGGGTGTAGTGTCGGGATGGAGCCAAGTCGTCTGAGCAGGGTTGGCGCTATGGCTAATACAGAGCGCCGCGAGCTCGCGGTTGCCATGGACACATGCGTGGTGAAGGCCCCACTGCATAGCCCATTTCAACCTGGATCTCGAGTGTCTTTTCTTCGTTAGGTGGTCGATCAACATACGAGCATGGACGGGTCGGTTTAGAATGGCAGCTTTGATAATTGCTTTGTGGATGGTGAGGTCGGTCCGTCTTCGGGGTGGGCCTTGTGAAAGAAGGTATTCCAGCATCGAGGTCTCCTCTACTCGGACAGCACCCAGGAGCGCGTAGTGGGCGGCGGCCCACAGGAAAGGCGTGTCGTGCGCAATAAGTCGCCTCAGCAGCCTTTTCTGATTGCCCACAATAGCCGCGTAGACAGGAGTACCGAATTCGCAGCTCTTCGTCGATAAGACTTGTTTGATATCGTCATCGTGACCGCCACTCTTGATTCCCTTTTCTGCGTCCAAAAAGGGTAAAAGAGGACCGTATATCTCCGGCTTCCCCAGGAGGATGGAAGCAGGCAAGAGATGAGTGGCCCAAGTCTGCTTCGTCTTGTACCTGGATTTTGGATCAAGCTTCTCAAGGATACGCCATGGGAGGCCTATGAAACATAGCTGTGGGTGAAATCGATGTTATTGTTTTTCGGAAGAAATTCCCCAAAGGGGAAATTCTTCCCACGGAAACTAAGAACTACGAGAGGTCATTTCGGCATCTGGCAACAGTTGGCCCAACCTGCCAACCTGCCAACAATAGCCAATCCTCGCCCCAGACAATTTGCCCGCAGAGTAGCTGGAGGGCAGCTAAGCGGTCCTCGCTGGATGTGATGCCCAAAGTGTCGAGAATCCGGTTTAGGAAAGTGGATGCATTGGCGTTCCACTCCGGGTTTCCTGTTGTATATGGGCGCCTTTCGGGGAATCTTGCGAGGAAGAGAACTGCGGAGGAGATGAAGCGTACGGAGCAAAGAGAAACCCGTATTCGGTTTCCATGATTCTTTTCACTTCTGGGAGCTTTTTCTTGTCCTGTACGTATAGGCGGTGAAGAATGTTCTTGTTCTCAACCCACGGGTCTTCAGATAGATACCTGGTAGTCTGAGTCTCCCTGATTGCAGGACTAAGTGCAAGTCGAACTTGGATAGGGATCTGATGAATAGGATGTCCTGGATGATGTGACCGACGAACTGTTGGGAATGTTTACGGCCGTGAGATTGGAGGTCCAGTAGAGAAATTGCGACACTTTACGACTGCCTTTATAATTTCTCAACAGTGAGGTTTTACATTGTGTAAGGCGAGGCTCTGGCTGTTTATACTATGACATGATTAAATGCAGTGTAAGCGAAGTACATCGAACGTACATCCAATTGACATTTCAACTTGACAACTCATACGCACCCCAGGCGCCAATTATTGGACCAGATTTTGGATCAGATTTTGGACTGGGCCGGGTTTTGGATTTGGACCAGACTTTGGACCACATAGATTTTGGATCAGATTTTGGACCAGGCTCCGAGCAGTGCAGGTTCTTGGCCCAGGAGCACAAATACAGCGAATCAGGCATTTCCGTTTCCCGTCATTGTTATTGATGCCTAACGTGATCTCAATGAGGAGAGCCCGAGTACGTTTGCATCGACACCCCCACTAACAGCGGCGTATTAAATCGAAGCACGATCTAAACGGCGATTGGACCGGATCTCTAGGAGGGTATAGGAGGTAGAGAACCCTAAAAATGCTGCAAATTCCTTTGTTCATGTTATGTATGGTTGAATCTCCCATCTTTGTCTATCTAGGCCCACTCTACCGATGTATATCGACACCTTATTAGCTTGAAGCAGCACACTCTCGGGCTATTGTTACGTTGAAATTTGAACAAGTCCTCCGGTGAAGTATCTTGGATGGGCCTTACTATAGTTGGGTGGGGATATTTCCTCCTTAGATATATGCGTCGGCACATGTATCTAGTAGCTGGATCAATACAACGGTTGTATCACCCTTAGCCGGTGAATAGAGTTACGTAGTAGTGAGCCGCACACGACCTCGCCCTGGTCTCACAACCCACTCCTTCTAGAGACCCGCCCCCAAAATCTTCCCAGGTTTTCGACTTTGAGACAACTTTCCCCATCTGTTGCTATTAACCACTGTGTGTATCTAGGTAAAGCGGCAGTGACAGGACACAATGCCAAACTCTCAGGATATACCGCTTACAGCTTACACTAATATTAATAATATCAATGACAATAGTGACTTTAGAGAATATAAGTGTCACGACCACAATAATTAAGGCCGGGGTGGTCAGGACTGGCAGAAGTACGTCGTGCTTTATCAATCTGGAATAGACTGATATCTAGATGCTACCATCGGTTCCTTGGCAATGGCGTCTGGCAAGAGAACTGGCCATGCACTGGGGACTTGTACTTCATCGATGTTCAATAGTACTGAGTCGACATTATCACGCCCTCGGCATGTCTGCGTAGCGCAGAGCTATCCTAGTCCTAGAGCCACTCCTAGACTATTTCAGGCCGTCAAGAGCTGAAGGTCTACTCCCAAGAAGCAACCATGCCGTCGCGGTTCCCATCTCAATGCCTTGAATGGTCGCCATGGCGCCCGACGTGCAGCGCCTCTTACCCACAACCGTGCTAATCTTCTTCCGGCTCTTGTTACCTCGACCGCTGTCGAATAGGCGTCGTATTATCTAAAATAACCTCAACCACTTCGCGATCAAAAGACAGACGAGTGCAAATAAGAAAAAACTACCCGTGATGCCTAGAAAAGCATTTATGTTGTCAATGTCTTGCCAGGGAACTCGGACATTCATTCCGAAAAGAACAAAAATCAGATATCCAGCCATGAAGAGGGCAGCGATGATGGTAACCCTTTTTAGAAGATCATTAGCACGATCTCCCTGGTTAAGGCTATCAATAGACAGTTGGGCCAGATAGTTGCTGTGGGAGCGTGAAATAATCTTCTCGAAGTGGATCAGATTATTTGTCATGGTAATAACATGGTCCTGGATGTCGCCGAGATACAGTCCCATGTCCATTCGAGGCGCGAGGTCGTAGTCTTCATTGCAGCGTTTGATAAAGGAACGCAGGACGTCCGCTTTGCCGCCGAGCAGGCGCATGACGCATATGATATCCTTCCGCGCCATGTCGGTCCTGCGGATGAACTCCCGGTCGTCATCTAGTCGAGCGGTGAATACCTGGTCTTCGATTATGTCCGTTTTGCGTTCAATTTCGTCGATAGCAGGCGCAAAGGAGTCTACAATATCATCTCTATCGACTGTTTTAGTTCCGTGACGCTGAACAAGAAGAGTCGCATACCGCAGTTAAGATTAATTGAGACTTACATCAACGCGTAGCAGACCCAGTCACTGCTCAGTTGTACGTGCTCCTTTAGCGTCGCCATACGCGACCGGACGTGCGAGGCATGGGTGTTGGGTACAAAGCTGAAGCTGATTGTCCCTTCCCGGAACACCACAGCGTACACGTTGAAGGGCGTATAATCGATCCCGTCAGCTTCAACCACCCGTCCGGGGGACCTGAAGCAGGCGAAATAATAAGACGGGAATAGTTCGAACTTCTCCCGGCTTTCCTGGGTGGTTATATCCTCGATTGTCAGAGGATGGATGCCAAAGGCATTGCAGATAGCTTGAACCTCTTCTCCAGTAGGATTTTCCATATTAAGCCACCAGAATCCGTCAGAGTCTTCCTTAGGAAAGCTAAAAAGTTGCCTAATATCCTCGCCTGGGGGGGCAAGGTCACCAAACTCGGCGGCGTAGATCGTGGAGTCTCTAGCGGTCGAAAAGAAGCTGAACCGGCTAGCGTCCGCCCGGCCCTGACATATATCGGTGAGGCCGTTGCCCGCATCCGCCCCATTTAGAGGGGATTGGCCGGCCTGTATATTGGTATGATCTCTATCTCCAGACACTCTGAGAAGGCTCTTCGAGGTAATAGAAGTAGGTAGGAGACTAGGGAAAACGCGAGGACTAGACTGCCTACGTTTTTCCGACGTCATAAGGATTTCCAAATAGTTGAAGTCAATACAGAGCCTGCCTTTGGTCTGCCCATTCTGGAGAGGGTGGCAAACATCATCTTCTTCAGACCTGTCGGCCGGCAAACTGCTTGTGTCTCGATTGACGGTGCGCGGTCTGCCATAGCAACCAGGGTCGCTCCCTATAGTCGTAGTAGAGGGAATTCGTTCCATATTCTTCTTCTCACTCCCTCCTCTATCACCTTCTGGCCGAGGTGTGGGTGTCCCCCGGCGGTGTGCGTCGACCAGCGATTTCGCGAAATCAGGTGAGGGAGGGGAGCGTCTCTCGGACGAAGCAGTTGCGGAATGTAGGCTATCACTCCCGCTTCGGCCGACGTCAAGGGTATTATCGTCCACATCCACTATCTCAGAAGCGCCCGGGACGAGCGACCGGGCTGGTGCGTTGCTCATTGTCCAGCAGTCCGGCGCCCTTTGGTCTATTCAAGAAATTTTGACGAGTGTAGAGCCGCGATAGTACGGTTTCCGCGATGATGGGCGTCCAGATGTGGGGCTCGAAAGCCACGCGTTCGGGGCAAGCTCAGGAATCTTCTCCAATTGACATCCTGAAGTAGCTAAAGCCGCCCCTATTTAGCTAGCTTTTGCATTGCGTACACGCGATGGGATATATGGTACTGTGGAGTCGGTAGAGCAGACCTCCATGTAGAAGGCGGCTATTGGAGAAGTTGGGAGCGACGAACTCTGGTCAGGTGTTAATGGACGCCACCGCTGCACTGCCCGAGGGGGCTGTGCAACCTCTCAATCTCAGCTTCCGACCTGCTTGAGTTCTAACACTCTTTGTCAGGGGCCAAGGCATTTAAAGTTTTTGAATTACCTCGTAGAAATTAGTATAATTTCTCATCGAAATTCACGAAGCAGAATATTCGAGTTACGGCTGGACACTTTTACGGGCCTATATAATACATTGTATGCCCCTATTTAATGCCTCCTCCCTCCTTTGAAAATGTTCAGGCCGAATATACCAGAATATCCCAGAGGTTAATACCTCATCTACTTCTTTATAATGTAGAAATTTGTTTATGCTACGAAATAACTTAGAACGGTACAGATGGCACGTGAGGGGGACGTATGACAAAAACACGGCCCCACGGGGACGGACCAATCAAAGGAAAGTCGAAGGGACACCGATCAATATCGATCGTTGACGGGCCTGGTCCCGAATCAAGTTTTCGGATCCAGGTCCAGCTGCAGAGAAGCTCGCCTTGAGTGCTGCTTCCGGGTTTTGCAACTCGCAGAAACACAAGCTGAGTCACTGTATGCATTGATGAGTCATCGCTGTGGAATGCTGGGTACCAGCTTCTGTTAAGTCTGCAATAACACCAGCACTCCATGTTCCAGACGCCCAATCTTTGTCTCTTCGAAGCCTTCCATAGGATGCGACAGAAGGCCGTTGTATGTAGCTCACGGCTGGCGGCTAACTAAACCCACAGCGCCTTGTGCCTTGTTTTATGTTGGGTTGGAGTGTGATGCAATAAACGGTTCTAGAACATGCCACGCCCCTCCAGCCTCGACCAGCAAACCGCTCCGCCAGACCAAGGTATCGCTCGATATTAACCACTCTTGACTTCTCGGATCGGATTATTAGTTTCGAGATTGGTATGCCATCGCTACATGTAATAACGATACTAAACTAGAAAAATAATAGACTGGTACAATCAGTCATCAGAAGCGTGATCGTACAACCCGCTGCTCGGCTGAATGGCTAGTCCTTGACCGTCCCGGCTTGATGGCGATTTCAGCTTGAACTGGTGGCATGGGTATGGCGTTAATTCTTGTCGTCTCCAACGGTCTCGGTGATTATATGAGCTTGCTCCTATTGGGCTGGATCTATGTAAGTGATACGGTCTGTTTATTCACGATAGAAGCCAGCGGTCCGAATACGAGCGGTGCTGGTGTTCGCTTTGGCCGTGCCCACGCTCAAGCCCAGCCTTCGACTGGTCCCGTATCACCCCCTTGAATTTCAGAAAGTTATTCTGTATAAAGTTTTAAGTAACCCGGTAGGATTCCCAGTCTGAGATCAATTCGTCTCACTTGACGTGTCTATCGAGTGTGGAATTGTGTGGTCACAGGTGCCACAGGATTGCCAGTTGAATGTTTCACGGCGGGTTTCGGACCGGGCGGACCAGGTGGGCCGTACGAAGGTTGCTGGAGAAAAGTTTCCTAATCCCCATTTGGGTAGTCGGAATGGGGCGGACGACACGTATTAACTGAAAGTGTCGGGCTCACTGTCTCATGGTTCGATCATCGGCATAGTTAATACGTCTCCCTTGAGTCAAGACAAGAGCCTCTTGTTCCGTGTCTTAGGTATGTTGCGTGTGACCTTCAATCGACTCACTTTATTAGCATTAACGAGGATCATAGGATTTTCTGAACGCCCTTAGAACTTCAGGCGTGTCGTAGTTCTTATCCCCGTCATAGGTCCACCTTGGGAACCCGAGCCTGCCCTTCTCCCCCCCGCGAGGACTTAGTACGATAGTTAACGGGACATCTTACCCTGTTCAGCTAAAAGGGGCTTGCTTGTACTGCGAGTGTTATTAGGTTGTTTTCAAATTATTTTTCACATGCTAACCACAACGCCGGTTTCTGTACGTCTTCAAGTCCGTCACTGTCAGTGGGGGTTAGGATATATGGTGGAATGTAAATGTTCACACTACACTCTAAGGATTGAGTTTGACTGAAATACCATGTGAAGCTCTATCTCTCGAGATATATAAGTAATAAATTTCAACATCCTGCGGACCTGTTCATATCCATTCTTATCCTCGCCCGTTATTTTCTAAATCAATCTAATAAAGACTTTACCAACTAGCCGTATAATGTTGCTCACTTCAGCTCTCGGTATCCTCGCTCTCTGTGGACACGTTGGCAACTCTGTCCTAGCGCAGACGCTCAATGACCCAGATGGGCTGGTCAACCTGCGGAATCTCGCTCAAGAAATAGAGAGAAGCGTGCCCGACAATAAGTCAATTCCGATTGTCTTTGGTAGGTATTCCTAGTGTTCCCGAATGTAGCTAACAGCAGAACGTAGTGCCCGGATTCTCTGGTTGGGGCGCACCGCTGTTCGGCGCCCTCAACTACTTTGGCGGTGTATTTGACATCCCAAATCTCCTGGTCGAAAGAGGGTATACAGTCATTGTTTCTCCCGTTGCTCCAATCTCCAGCAACTGGGAACGCGCTTGTGAGCTATACAGACAGCTTACATTCGGAAAGTATATTTCATCACTACCTACTTCAATGTTCTTAGCTGATTGCTACTAGATTCAGCACGGTCAATCCAGCGACAAAGTCTATCGACGAAGTCTATGATGTAGACGTTGATTACGGCAATTACTTTGATGGAGATCCAGCTCATGCCCCAGAGCAAACCAGTACCAACGGTAGGAGACGGGCAATTCTGTTTTCGAACTCATCAGACTTTCGTAACTGGACGTGGGACCGGGATCACAAAGTTCATTTTGTCTGCCACTCTCAAGGTGGAAACACGGTGCGCTACCTCATTAGTCTAATGGCCCAGGGCGCGGGAACTCTGCATCGCGCCTACTTTACGGAGGCAGGGAGAGATGACTGGACTATCTCCGTCACAACCCTGGGAACCCCTCACAGAGGAACGACTGTCGTAAATGCCCTGGAGAGTTTCCTTTCTGTAAGCACCCAGGCCTCAGCTCCCGGACCGCCAAAATCTTCAAAGACTAACGAAAGATAGCGATCAAGGCAGCAGGCAGTCGGCCTAGTTGCGAGACTCTTCGCTACAGCGTCCTTCTATCCTCCGAATCAGAGGGCTTATGATCTTCAGCTGGACCACTGGGGGATCCGCAGAGACACAGGGGAAACCTTCCAGGATATGCTCGCCCGGTTGGAATCAGTCAACGGATCAGTCTGGAGATAGCTGAATTCCGACAAAAACGGTCTTTACGACAACAGTATCGAAGGCGTTCATGATCTCTCCCTGAAGGCAATTAATACCTCTGAAAATGTCTTTTACTTCAGCCTATCCTTCCATGCAACGGATCCTTTCCCCGAAGCTTGGCCTGAGTGGGGGATAGACGCAATTGACTCCTTCCCCACTAGTTTAGAGGCTTTTACACGGGCAGTGCTGAGCAGAATCCCAATCATCGGAGGCTGGCTAGCGGATATAATAGTTGGCACGATCACTAGCCTTGGATGGATAATCTTGACGACGATAACCAGTTTTCGCTCCTTCGTGGAGTGGATTACTGAAGCAGTGCTAACTAGGGTTCTCCAGGACCTGGGTTACGATCTTATACTTCCTAGTCCAGGGAGATACATTCCACGAAAGGACGTCATGCCACTATTGCTACCGAGTGTCTACGCAATGGGAAGCCAGGAGCTCACCTCGGCACAAAGGAATATCCTAGGCCCAAACCTGGGGGACTGGTACCAGAATGACGGGATCGTTAACACTGAGTCCATGAGCGGCCCAGACAACTTCGTCAGAGGCATCAACTCCCTACCGGATTTCAACTTTAGCGTTGCCGAAAAGCGGGGAATCTACTGGCACTTAGGCGTCAATGATCGAATGGACCATGCCGATGAGATTGGCGTGTTCATCGAGCAGAGCACGGTATGACCCCGGACTCTACGCTGCTAGAGGTTCTACTAACTCTTCAAGCAGGGAGATCTTACGCAAGAGATGTATCTTAATATCGCGAACCTAATATCGCGGCTACCGGTTAGTTATTAGCTGTTTGCTTCTTCCATTGCTTGGCTTGCTCTTTATCTGTACCCTGTGTCGATCGCTATAATGCTCTCCGAGGAGTCAGATTTGGGTCTAAGGGTATATTGCAATACTTAAACAAAGGAATTAGAATAGTTGGAATAGTGACTTTGATTTAACCTTTAAGACTCCTTAAAGGTACCCCTTTGTTTGTGAGGCATAGATCGGTTTACGATTTTGATTTCCTAAGGCTAGAGTAGCTGCCTCAGACAGAGCTAATATTAGTGGGTTGTTCTCCAGCAGCCCTGCACAGCGGCCCTGCATCTTGAAATATACCTATGCTAGGAATGTGTTTCGGCGCACAAAAACCTATAAAGTAGAGCGTCAGGTTTTTGTCTGGAGATCGGATGAGAGCTATTATTTTGCCCACAACAGTTGGCAGAGGATGATTGCGGGATTTGGCCCCCAAAGGAACAGTAATCATATCGACTTGTACTATTGTAGTCAGCCAGACAATCCCTCCAATGCCGCCACGGCATCTATTGATGATACGCTGGAAACCAACAATGTGAAGTTGAGGCAACCTCTGAGCCCCAATGATGTACGTAAGCAGAGGGGCTGCCGTTGCGAGGTGAAGCCGTACAAAAAAAGAACAGTCAAGAGAACTTCAAAGCGCTTCACTCTCCCGTCACCCGCCACTCCCCATCTGTAAACAATTGAGAATGGGTCACCTTCTTTAAATACCTTCCAGTGATCAAAACCAAATAATTTTCAGGCAGAATCCCCAAGACCGGCACTAACACAAGTCAAGGTTTGGCATGTCGACTTCCAAGGCCCATCTACAAATTTACACCAGTCCGCCCAAACCGGAGGATAGGAGAGAGTTCCGCATCTTTCTCCAACTGCCCCCTGAGCTCCGCCGCCAGATATGGAGAGAGATTCTGGAGCACCCATGTATCATTAGGATACACCTTGATGAAAGCAGCCCCGCAGCCGGAAACATCTCAACTGGGGCAAGATATAGCCATCGTGTCCTTGTGGACACACGCCGACTACATAGCGAGTTGCTCCAAGTAAATAGGGAATCGCGGCACGCAGCCTCGGAATTTTACCAAGTCCGCATACCGTGCTTGTTTCCAAAGGATGGGAGAGGCCGCTATCCTCCTTCAATCCCCAGTATGACTTCCTTCACATTACATTGAGATCAATCTACATGGCCAACTTTCTGTACAACCTCAAGACAACCTACGACCCTCTTCATGTGGGCCTACGCAATTTAGCCACTGACCAGAACCCGCTGACTTTTCTGCTCTACTCGCTTGATGTTCTGAATCACATTGATATTAAATTTAGAGAGACAATTGGAAATATCTATTCACAACTCCACCAAGTCTTCTTCGTCAGCATACCATCGTCCAGACGCCAAGTCTATTATCGTTTGCATAGACTATGGATTGACCGCAACATATTCAACCACTCCTATCCCATCATAGCTCAAACGGGGCTATTTGAGTGTCTACACTAAGACCTATATAATATAGCTCAGGATCTCGACCAAATTTTAAAGCTGACGTTTAATCCTCAAGAGACTATTTACACCTAGAATCAACTTATTAACAAGCTGAAAATAAAGGGATAGCACAAGCTCCGAGCACATATAATAGAGCATCATGACCCTGTTTTAAATGCCCTTTGGTTATCTTCTACATGCTTTACTATCGCCTACGTTTCATAGTCCGTGGATGAAGAAGAGCAGATATCGGCACCGTAGGCAATTACATCGTCTAGCACGAAAACTGAAGAATAGTTAGCAATGCCTATGTTCGTATTAGTGCCAGGAATTAAACTACGTACCACTGCGGGACCAGGAACGACGTAGATGTTAGTTGGCATTTGTCTGTGGAGGATTGTGGCTGTACGACTCTATCCATCGGCACGATTTATGGCCATGGCAAATTTCGCCTATTTCTACAACTAAACATATATACCGTAGTTTACTTCGTTGTTGCTAGTTCTAGTTTTTTGGGAGAGATTGCATGGAAACCGCAACAGTAGCCTCGGACTAGGGAAATCCATTAAGCTTCGATTCTGGCCGGAGAAAAATAGTATGGGACTTTGTGCTACCACGGGAGCTCGCAAGTCACTTTAGTGGAATGATAAACAGGGCCAAGTTGAGAGTAGAAGCGGATCAAGCGATTGAAAGTTGCATTCCCACGTTCATACGAATTTATCAGACCCATACAAAAGACAGAAATGAACAACTAAACCAAAACAGCAGCGACTGAAGTATTTGTCTTGAGAGCTCGATCAATAACTTAACCTGTCGAATAGCCAGTTCTTATCCGATCTATGTCAACATGCGCACCATAACCAACATCCGGTTCTTAACTGAGACCGGTCCGGCCTCTGCCGGACCGACCTGCCACATGACGTGATAGTCCTTCGAGGACGGGTTAGCCCCTTTACTAGCGTCGGCGTAGACAAATGCTCTCCTCGGCACGATGTTCCCCATGTCCTGAGCGCGGTCGACCAGGAAATGGAAGCGGAAACCACCAAGGCTGGAACCGAGAAACTCAGTCCAGTGTGGCTCATTGGCCGGGGTGACAACAAAGGGCCTTTGCCCCGCCGCAAGACTCCTCTGCGCGTCCTCAATAATACCCTGACCTTCACGGTTGACGATGTTGAGCGACCCCATCCACCAGAGAGGCTTTGTCAGCGGGTTCATAACACGGGCATCTTCCCAAGCGAAAAACTGGTGCTCGGAGGTGAAGGGGCGGTCTTCGAGGGGAATCTTCTCGGAGTATCTCCCGAAGGTAATAGCGTCAGGTCCGTCCTGGCGGAAGGCGTCGGTGCCCCACATCATGCTTCCCGTCTGGGAGGAATCTTACCCGGTATCGATGTAAGCCTTAAAGACGGGTTTGTCCCGAGAGAATTGGCCAGATGGAAAGCCATACACCTCCACACGGGTCATGGAGCGGGATGCATCGATTCGCATCTCGGGGGTGTTTCGCATCCAGTCTCTGACACACTCACTGTTCAAGATGCTCGCCTCGATGGGAACATCACTCTGCACATTACGGGTCCATCGATCCACAGGAATTATCTTCAAGTACTCGTCCTTGCTCAGGATGGGCTTCGATTCAGGAACGGGCTGATTTCGCGAAGCAAGGTCAAGCCTGGCCTTAAGCGCTGTGCCCCTTCGCAGAGCGTTCTGCTCAACCTGAGGCAAGGCGGCCGCGGGAAGCGGATCATCTGCAATTTCGGAACCGACGTCGCTGCTCCAGTTTTCATCATCCTGCGGTGATCTCGCACCGGCAGGGACGATCCCTCGTCGCTTCCAATCGGGACACTGTCGGTGCCATCACGGGAACCTGCCGCAGCGTCAGGAGGCGTCCCCTCTCCCTGGATGGGAGGGGATGCTTCACCATGCTGAACGCTGCCCTGCTGAGAAGCCCCACCGTATTGGGAGCCACCGTTGCCTTGAGAGCTGGCGACGCTACCAGGACCACGGCTTCCCCCGGGCCCTCCGACGGCTCCACCAGGAATGCTGCCGCCGCCACTGCCACGGCCGGGGGGGCGGGGGCCCTTGAAGCAAGAGCCACATACGCCGCCTCTCTTTTCATTGGGGATGGAAACACTGCCATCCCTTGCTGGGATAGAGACGGGGTTAGCAGCGCTCAGGACGAGGAGGCCAAGGATAAGGGCCAGAGGGGATGATTGGAGTTTCATGGTATTGACGTGCGGCTGAGATCTAAGATAACTAGACGATAAGGTTTGAAGAGGAAAGATGATTTGAGAAGTTGTGAAATCGGTTGTTTAAAGGAGTGTTTTTGATTTTCGTCAAGGAGAGTGTTTGCTTTGATGTTCGGTGATCTCATGTCGATGGTGCTCTCTCTTTCCACTCGACTGACAGGGAGTTGTTCTCCCTTTAATATTGGCTTGGACTGTTCCATTCCTCCAGAGACAACTCTTCGTTCGAACCTCCTGAAGCTTCATAATGGTAGTTTCAAGTTATTTCGAGATACAGGCTCAGCCAGCGGCCCCCGATTCCTCCAGGTCTCCCGGAAGCCCAAAATAACCACCTACCAGAGTAGGCGACGCAATTCCACAAGTTGCGTGCGAGTGAAAACACGCCATAAACACGCCATTTGAAAAATCCTTGTTTCTATCTTTTATCATCTCGACACTGGAACGGCATCTCTTTCACCTCGGAGGGTGGTAGATGGGGCCGAAAGGAGCTCTCGCGACTGCGAGTCACGGCCGGGAATTATGTGTTCCTGGTCAAGCCTTCAACCCCGCCACCATCGATTCACGTTCGGAGGATTAGGCCTGTGGGGTTCCTGCATTTGGGGGTCTCGGTTCAAGGCTTCCCGTCCAATAACCGCGCAAGACGCGTATTTTAGAACCGCGAGGATGTACCTTCTTGCTTGGCCTTTCACTGCCATCTTGTTAATCGCCAAGGAGATATTTTAAGCGCAAGCTCAGAGTTCGAGGGCACCAACAACATCAACAACTGACTTGAAGGAAGGAGCAAGGCCATTCCATACGATTTAATCCAGGGCTTTACTCTGGGAAACAGTCTATCCGTGAGGCTTCACATGCATCTATTCTTGGAATCTTTTCCAAAAAAAAAAAAAAAAAAGAAAGGAGAGAAGGGGAGGGGAGGACTATGAACTACATAAACGGACACATAGCCGCTTGAGCATGATAACATTCATAACTCTTCTAACACGGAAAAAACTATTGATAGCTATCGTCAATATTCACTGCCTTGCTGAGTCTCCCAAAACCCTCTCCTAATATCTGATTCTCTCTTGTTTCTTTCGGACCCATTCGCTTCTAAGCCCTCTTTCGATCACTTCCTCTCCTCACTTTTCTCATTTCAATACCCGAAACACAACTCCCATCGCTACAATGGCCGTAGTCGGGAATACCATCCTCAATATCATCGGCGTCGGAATCGGTGGTATCGCCTCCATTCCCGCTCTTACTTCCTTCTTTCCTCCTCCCCAGGTCGAAAAGTCCACCGTTCTCATTGGTGCCGGCATCCATGTGCCTGGGGAAGAGAGTTTCAACCTCGGCGGGGACTGCCCAGCGTGGCCCTCTTCGATGTCAACGGTGACTTCATCGGCAAGGCTTCTTCCAACGAAGGCATCGAGGCCGGTGGCTTCCGCCGCCTCGAGGTCCCTGGCGCGAAAAGTCCCGTTTACCTGAAGCTCAAGGCCTCGGGTCACAACGCTGTCTGTATCGCCTGGATCCATATGACTGCGTCGACCACTGATTTCCGCACCTGGAATGCCGGACCTGCAATTTCATGCGGTGTCCCGTGGTATCATAGCCCTGCCATCTTCCCGGGTTCGGATTTCGAGCCCCCGTGTATGTGGATGAGCGATGATGGGCGCTTCATCGATGGCATGAGTGCTCGGCTGTTAGACTTTTCTTTTCCTGGAAGTCAGGATGCCTCGGCTCTGGCGCAGCAATGGGAGGAACACCCCGAGACTCTTTGCCGAGCCCCTGCCCGCCAGCAATTCTACAACTCCACGCAGATGCCTGGCTGTGTGCCCTTCTATCCTCCAACGATGCCGGATGGTAGGGATGGAAGACCGGAGAAGAACCCAGATGGCACGGACGCGAATTTTAACCGAGCTATGGGAATCTGGAACTCTCCCTGCGTCCCGCCCGGCCAGCCTTTCAATAGTGTTGATCTACTCAACAAACCCCTTTTTATTGAAATCCCCAAGAGCACCGCTTTTTCGGATCATCTCAACCTCGGGCCACTTGCCCCATGAGAGCAGGAGACTGAGCTGGGCAATGACAACCCCGATGACGAACCTCAAGACCAAGGACTCCCTGAAATCCCTGAGTTGGTGGGCACCTCGAATCGCCTGCTCCGCCGCCAGTTCATCGCCCGCCGCGAAGCCGTCATCGAAGCCCGGAAGAACGCCAAGCGCGAGGGCCAAGTCTGCACCGATAATCTCGTCATTGCCTAGGCGAATCACCATGGGGCTAAGAAGTTGTGCGAGAGCCAGGGCTCGTGGGGTCCTGATTTCATTTCCTTGTCGGAGATGCTGTACTGCGATATGTGTGAGAAGAACTTGTGGCCTGTGTGTGGCGATAGCGTGGATATGGAGGAACATCCTGAGGCTGGCATGTCGGGCCAGGGCGTAACTGAGAATTGCTTTGATTTGGGGAAACGTGAGATGAGGTTGTCGACTTTGGCTGTGAGGGACCTTGATTTGAGGACGACGGCTGATATCAGGAAGACTTGGAAGAATGTAGATTTGTGGAAGAAGAAGAGGAGCATCTAACGGTGTTGATACTCCAGAACAATCCTTTTGGAGTACCATTTCCCTATGTCCACTTATTTACCAGATTAATATATTATTACCTTTGCCGCCGCGTTCTTTACCATAGATTAGTCGATCTACTTCAATATCTAAATCTAGTACAAATCATCTATACTAACTCCCACGGGCTGTAAGGTATCCCTACCACGGTGATAATACTTATTATACAAAAAGAACGGCAAACTTTCCGCCAGCACTACTACGGCAGGTGCTTCGGGGGAGGGGACTGCGGTAGCTAGAAGTGCGCCACATGTCGCCAGTTCTGACCATTATCAGCAGTGATAGAAAATCATAAGGACTATTTACAACGGGGAACTGTCATCCCTTAAGTACTGCCCAGATCGGGTGTGACGCTGGGGAGTTCTTCCCTGGTTGGATGTCACAGTCACTATATCAATTCTGATGTGACTTGTGATGCTGCAACATTCTCTTAGTTGAAGGAAGGATCTTAGCTTCCTGCTGGCGTGAAAAACTCAGTCTTCTTGTTCGCTCCTTAATGTTACCTCAAATACACAAGGAAAGAAATAAACGTAGATAGGGCGCAAGATGAGGACCTTGTTCAAAAACAAAGGTGAAAGACATTTTTAAGAGGTGGCAGAGACGATTATCTTCTGTTCCATCAACACTGCTATCGTGAGCAGATACGATATCCGATTTCTTCATGGAAGGGCAATGACGTTGCAGGCAATCCGCACTGCTTAGATGGCTACTCGTGAATCTGCAGAAGGGCATGTCTGTGGAACTCAAGCTACCGGGCGACACCTAAAGGGCGTCTTTTGTAAGAAGTCACGGTAATTAGTTCTGCCGCACCCTTTGTTACGCATAACTGAGGCCATCCCTGAGTATGTATTTCTCATATATCATTTAGGGCCCCATGGAATGGTAGATTCAAGTTCTTGTCTTCTTCCTTCCTGCCCAACCGCTCATCCACAAGCAGCTGCCACTTTGACAAGACAAACCGAACCCTCTCGGTTATGCTCTTCATCTCGCGAGGGAGGACGAAGAAATAGAGACCCGCCTCATGTAGTATCAAGCAGAACAGGTGATGGAACTCGATCCAATCGTCCCAATTCTGAGGCATCAGCCTAACACCGTCATCTTCCAACCAGTCCACACCAGCCTCACAAACAACGATCAAGGATTGCGCCATTCTACTCTTCGACTCTAGCCACGCCGCAGACTCCATCATCATCGCCGAGGACTCTTGGCCGGCGTACCTCCTCGCGTAGACGATGGGGTCGATTCCAGATCTGTCGGAGATGAACCAAGAGCTCTGGAGGAGGGCGTTCCTTTCGGCGGCAACTTGCGCGTCTAGAATCAAGGTCTGTAATTCCAGGCTCCTATTTGGCGATGCGCGGATGTCTTCTGTTGCAATAGGGTGCTCCGCGAGGACGGTCCTCGCCACTTCGGAGATGATGGCTGGCTCGTCGATTTTAAGTTGTTGGGAGATGTCGTGGAAGGCAACTCTGAGTTCCCTCACAAGAGTGCTCTTGCCGGTGCATTGGGCACCAGTAATATACACACTGGGAATGTCGGCGTTGGTAGGCATCAATGATATGATATGTGAGGCGAATGTTCCGGTACTTTTCTTTCTGCTCTCGCACTCCTCGGCATTAAGACCGACATGGAGAACACTTAGCAGTGGAGTGAATGAGTTGGCAGACAATCTGGGTTGACACTTGACAGACTGGGGGGGCATCGCCTCCGCACCCTTTGCATATGCGGCAGGCCAACCCTCTCCCATTAAGGATGCGGACTTTTAACCCCGCCCATACCACCGGCTCAGTCAATTTTCATGATGCCATCTTGGGGTCCAGAGCGCCTGTCGTGCAACCCACTCAACCGTTAGCTTCCTGTGTCTGACCAGATCCGGAATACGTATTGGTAAACATGGAGGATTCGGATGAGTTGATTTGCCCAAGTGCATGAGCTTCATCTCTTCCAGCCTAGGTTATTTCGTGTACTTGTACCTCGCCTTGCTTTGTCCTAATTCTTTCAAGGGGACGAGATGATTGCGCCTGGAGTAGCCGGAATCATGTTGCCCTTTATCTCCAACATCACTCCCGCTCTTTGTGCCAAAATTGCCACTCTCCTTGGAGCAGCAGGATGTCTGGACAGAGTTACATCTTGAAGTCTGTGATCAGCCTCGACGACGCAGAATGGAAATTTCAAGTTCCCGGCCTCCCGCGGCCGCAGAAACTAAACGAAAAGGGGTGGGTTAAAAAGGTGTCCATACGAACAGATGCTCGGAAACGTCGACACTCCATGATCCTCACGCTCGAGAAAATCCCAATCAATCGTGCCCTCAAGTCCCATCCTCTCGACCACTTCGTCCTCGTGTCAATCGACCAGTTCCGCCAATTGAAAACCCGACAATCCGATGAAGTTATTCGCGCCGAAGGCCAACTCCAGCCCTCGATATGGTCAGATTGCACCGCCTACGTCACGCGCTTTCTCCGAGAGGGGATATCCATTCAGGGTGTCCATTACAACTTTTATGGACACAGCAACAGCCAGCTGAAGTCCCGATCGTGCTTTCTCCTCGCCGGGCCTAAGGATGAAGTGTCCCGAACCGTCGAGGCGCTGGGCGACTTTAGCAAGATGAAGACGGTCGCGAAGAAGGCGAAAAGGATTGGCCTGCTATTTTCGGCCGCACAAGTCGCGACAACTGTGCCTTACGATCGAGTTGAAGACATTTCTGACGTTGAGAGCCCGGATTATGTCTTTACAGATGGATGCGGATTGATTTCCCCCGGCTTCGCCCGAGACCTGGCGAGGAGGATTAGGATAGTCTTCAGAGACACGCGGTACACGCCTTCGGTTTTTCAAATACGGTACCGAGGATACAAGGGTGTTGTTACAATGGACCCTCGAATGGCAAGAGGAAAGACTTGGCTTAGATTGAGGAAGTCGATGAAGAAATTTAGTGGTGGGAACGACGACTCCTTTGCTGCTGTCGATTACTCGAAAGTATTGATGATCCTGCGAATTTTGCTTTGTCTCGTCTACTTGCATATATATCTGTCCTTGAACGTCTTGCTAACCTCTGTCGTAAGCCTTACACGTACGGTTTTCTCAATGACGAGGCCATCATACTCCTAGAATCCGTCGGTATAGATCGATCGATCCTACTGAGAAAGCAAGATGAACATTTCAACCTTCTCGCCTCCGCCCGTACCGATTTCCGCGCCGCTTTCTGCTTTCTATCATACATAAACAAGCCCCAGCTAGCCGAGAAGGTCCTTATGGAAGGAGTCGAGTCGACGCAGAGCCAGATCAAGAAGTTCGTCAATGCCGAATTCGGCAAGATGTTGAACAAGAAGGAAGAGCAGAAATGCCGCATCTTCGTCCGAAAGTCCCGCTTGCTGTTCGGAGTCTGTGATGCGTGGAACGTCCTCAAGGAAGGGGAGTGCGCTGTCAAGGTCACGATGGAAGGCAACGGTGTTCCCTACGCCCTCAAGAATACCGAAGTCTCCGTCATTCGAAACCCTTGCCTTCATCCAGGAGATTGGCAAAAGTTCAGAGCTGTGGAGGTTGCTGAGTTGGCTCACTTGGTGGATTGTATCGTCTTTCCGACGCGGGGCAGGAGACCTGCTGCCGACATGATGTCTGGAGGCGATCTTGATGGAGACCAATGTAAGTTGCTTTGTGGCCACTTCACCCGCCCGAGCTCCTCCTCAGTGGGTTCCTTCACCGGGTGAGAGCACTGCAATCTTCCCCCAGCGGCGTGCCTCATCGGCCCTCGGGCCAAGATTTAGCGGCTGGGCCTGTGACCCCGTTTTGTCACTTTAGCACTGACGATGCGCGGGGCAATAGTCTTTGTTTGCTGGGACATGGACCTGATCCCCCCAAAGCTCTCCGAGCCCGCTCTGTACCCCGGCGTCCGCGAGCCATTACGCTTCAAGCCCATCACAGACGACGACCGCCTAGTCTATTTTGCAAAGTATACCAATGCATCTCTCGGCCAGGTCAAGAATCTCTACCTCGGTTGGGCTAGGGCAATCGGACCAATGAGTCCCGAATGCCAGGAGCTCAATCGATTGTTCTCTCAGTGCGTCGACGGGAATCGAATCAAGATCCCGGAAAGGTTAAAGACCCCGCCGAATCCACCACCGGATGCACCCCGATTCATCCTTGATGAGCTCCATAGTCGAGCTAAAGAGTCGATACGCCAGCATAACCAAGCGGCAGCACAACAGGACCAAGACTGGGACGGGTATGAGCCCGATGCGGTGGAACTGCTTTTGGCCCATGACGATATCGCCATGTCAGAGTTTGAGGTGTTCAAACTCGCACTCCGATGGTGTCAGCGCAATGAGGGCTCCATCGAGGAATTGCTTCATTTATTTGACTTCAACGCCCTCACCGCGGAAGAGAAGGCATGGGTCATCTGTCGCCTTCCGCCCTCTATCAGCTCGCCAAGCCTCATCATGAACGCCTTATGCTCTTCGAATCTACTTAACGAAAGCGAGCTTAGCCAATACCAGCTAGACATTCCAAGGGTACGATGGAAACGGGTGTACGATTCCGAACGAGGAGATCGACTGGCCACATTCCTGAACGCAGCGACCAAATACCTCGAACTATTCCACCGCAAGCTCATCGTGTTTCGGCCTGACGAAAGGCTCACTCTTGCCATCTATGTCCCCCAGAAAATCGACCGTGCCCAGGACTGCGTCGTGGACGATAAAGTCCGACTCTTTGCCTTTCCGCACTCACAGGGTCACGAGAGACAGAGCCGACTGTCGTTACCTACGAAGATGACGTACCGCCTCTACAGCGATGACAACATTTTCCAGCTGTTTGAGAACGCTCGGAGTAATTCGTGGATCTTTATCTCGCGGCCCGGATCGAATGATAGCGAGTATCGGAACATTGCTGACACTGGTGATAGGAGACGAGCGAAACAAGCAACTATCGATGCAGGGATTAATTTTGAGATACGTGCAAGTATTGCATTGGATAAGTTTAGCAAGGGCCTCCAGAGGCATGTCGGCCGAGTAAACAGATCAAAGGTTTCCGCAGCGGTGAGCCATGGCAATTCCGTATATAGCAGCACCTCGCTGTCCGAGGCGGAGAGACTGATGATGCGTGGACTTATCCTAGGAAATCTACATAATTAGCAATAGAGACGTCAAGTCCATGCAAAACCTCGATCTTTGGCTCGAATACATATCGACCGGCGAGAGGATGCCTCTGGTCCAAGAGACCGTCAAGGATTACACAATACCGAAACTGCATGAGATCCTGTCACCCTCGAACAACCCCCCGAAGTTTCTGGTTCAGATATTGAAGCATCACAAGGTCTCGGTTGTGCAAGACTTGGAAGGAGTTGACGGCTTTCTTCTCGTTTTCAACTCTCTTTTGCAGCTGGATGATAAGGCGACGTTACTTCGCATCTTCGACCACTTACTAGTAAACCTTCACCTCGTTCGCTGTGACCCGATCCTGGCGCTTGATGCCATGGTTGGATTCTTACGGAAGGCTCCATTTCTGGCAATCTGCTTCGGGCGCTTTCCGGACTACGACAAATTCCCCGAAGAGTTGGCTGATGCTATAAGATCATATTTTCCGGTGATCCTTCGAGCATTTATATTGGCTGCAAACGACGCGAGCGAATTCGTGGTCGAACCCTTCAAAGCAATGCTCGCAAGGGTCCCGGACGGAATGATGCTAATGAGAGAGTTTTCCGAGCTCGTGAGGCTCGCCTCGTTGACAGTTCGCTCGGTAGAACTAGTCATGGATCTCCTCCTTGCGTGCCTTGAGCCCGAGAGCGAGCGCGTTCTCTCAGCTGCCCCAGAAGTCACGCACCATTTCGTCAGGAACATGATTGCTATCGCCTTGGATCACGTCGGAGAAGCATCAGAACCCACGAAAAAGCCGAGGAGATATCTGCAACTGCGACCGACTGACAAGGAGGAAGATGGATATCCCATTATAGAAGTGACGTTTCGCATTGACGCTCCCGGCGGAACGCCAGAGCGTTCTTCCCACGTTCGTTTTACAGCATCGAGCTTACCAACTAATGTCTTACTTGGGAAAAGAGTTGAGATTGATGCCTTGGTCACACATTCGGAGCAAGGACTCGCAAGGTTCCAGTGCTTCCATCCTCTCCCCCTCTTCTTCCAAGACTGTTCTTGGGACCTTGAAGACTGCGGTCCCTTTGTGACGACGAAGACAACTTTTGACGCTGTACTTCAGTTTGCTACCGAACGGGAGCAGTGTTGTCAGGTGGCATCTTCCATTCTAGGCATGCCGTCTAGTGGCCTCGATCTAGAGGTCGACCTTGGAAACGGATGGCACCCTTTAGAGAAATTGAACGACAGCCAGAACGCTGCCATTCAAGCCGCTCTTGTGCATTCACTGATGTGCCTCTGGGGTCCACCTGGAACGGGGAAAACGGAGACAATCGTGGAAACCATATGTGCCCTACAAGAAGCCCATAAGGGCGCCAGAATCCTTGTGACTGCCCCGACGCACAACGCCGTAGACAACGCAATGCGGAGATATATTCAACGTATGAAGGAGCGATCACACACAGGCGGTTTGCGCGCACTTCCATTGCGTGTCTCTACCGAGGTAGGCTCAACAACAACAGTGACATTTCTTGAGATCTCTGTATAAATGCTAATACATTTGGATCTAAACAGGTTCGCAAAGTAGCAGAAGATCTTCGCGGCTATACATGCGACGCAATGGCCGAAAAAGAAGTCCACTCCGACTACAAAGCCATGAACGAGGCGCGAAAAAGAGTAAAAGAATCAAAGATGATATTCACGACTTGCATTGGTGCAGGAGTTGGGCTTTTACGCTCGGAGAATTTCGAAATCATCATCATCGACGAGGCGTCTCAGCAGACGGAAGCCGCGTCTTTAGTGCCGCTGGTAAAGGGTTGTGGGAAGGTGATATTAGTAGGCGACCATGTGCAATTGAGGCCTACGGTTCAACAGCATGCGGTTGCTGTTGGATTTGATGTGTCCCTCTTCGAGAGACTCTACAAGGAGCGAGGGACACCGCGAGACGAGACTGAAGATACTCAAGATGACGTCCACCACCGCACCAGCGGGATCCAGCGACTTATGTTGGATACGCAGTACCGAATGCATCCTGAGATATGTGAGTTTAGCTCACGTGAATTCTACGAGGGCAGGTTGAAAACGGGTATTTCCCCGGCTTCTCGACCCTTGTTTGCGTCTGAGTTTCCATGGCCCCAAGCTTCCTCTCCTCTATTTATATCCGGCGACTCACCACATTCAATGATTGACTACAAGAGGATGATCTTTATCGAGTGCGGAGCAAAAGAAAAACCCGGCCAAAAATCAAAGGAAAACGAAGGCCAAGCGCAACTCTGTGCCCACGTCTGCAGATTACTCACTTCGCCCTCTTCGACGAGCCACGATGGAGGGCAACGACGCAACGTAACGAAAGACACACAGTCAATTGCAGTCTTGACGCCCTACACGCGCCAGGCGGACCTCTTAAAGCGCCTTACATCTGGCTTCTCTGGGATCGAGGTTTCAAGCATCGACGGCTTCCAGGGTCGTGAGGCAGATATTGTTGTCTTCGTAACTGTGCGATGTAATGACCATCGGGAGATTGGCTTTCTGAAAGACTTGAGGAGGATGAACGTCGCGCTGACGCGGGCGAGGGCTGGGCTGATTGTTATTGGGCATAGAGGGACGTTGACTGAGGGGACGTCGGATCCTGAGAGTGCCGAGATGTGGAAGCGTCTCCTCGATAGCCTGACCCACGTGGTGATTGAACTAGAAGACGGCAAACAGGGGCCATAGGTAAATTGGATAAGTAGAAATACAAATGCAATACACCACATCCTTGGCCCATGGCCCTAAGATCCAATATAATGCAAGCCAGATCACGTCAAGGCTACTTCTGGCTAGGTGGTTGGCCTCCTGCATATGAGTGATGAAGAGATGCCTCCATGGTATTTTCATGACAATCGCAGCGTATTACTTAAATCAAAGAATCCGTCGGTGCAGAACGTTGGGAAATGCAAGTGAAGCGCTAGTCCCAGCATCAAGGCGGTTTTGCCCGAAATCTGCTTACGACCAGGACCTCAAAATGATGGATTCCTCTCATGATAAGACACCCAAGGACGGAGAGTTGGCGGATGTTACACCAGCGTTGGAAGAGGTACAGACGGACGATGGAACAGGACAAGAACAACTCCGCCGTCACCGATGGCCTTCGCTTTCCACTGTCATTTACGTCCTCGTGTGGGTGGTCATGACAGGGTGGGTTACATCCCTCCAACTCCCAGTGCCCCTCTGCCGGATCTCACTCATTAATACTCCATGTGCTACAGCTGGTGGATTGCAGGACTCATCCTCCATCGCCATGATCTCGGGTGGCTTATTCCATTCTTAGTCTGGCTTGGCCTCTCTATCAGGATCTTCACTCTGGTCTTTCCCTTGAACCTGGCACAAAATGTGCTTCCGCTGCTCCCAACTCGGAAGATCTCTTCTGCCATTGACAGCATTCAGCCTCGTTACCGATTGGCTTTCCTCGCACTTCTAACTCTAGCAGTCGTCCTGGCGGGCACATTCGGCACCCAAGAGACGCCAAGCAACACTCGCGCGGACCGTGCCGTCAGCTTATTCGGTTTGGCTGTCTTCCTGACTATGTTCTGGGTAACGTCGAGGAATCGCAAAGAGATCAGTTGGCGGGCTGTTCTCATGGGAATTTTAAGTCAGTTCCTGCTCGGGCTCTTTGTCCTTCGAACGAAAGCCGGAGTATGGCCGCCCCGTAAACCCCAATAGTTGTCCATCTTCACCTCTTAACGGACTTACTACTGACGCTTCCGACATAGTACGACATTTTCAACTTCCTCGGCTTCCTAGCCAAAAGCCTTCTGGCATTCTCCGGCGAAGCGACCACCTTCCTCACAAGCGCCTCAGCCGTCTCCTCGGGCTGGTTCCTCATCGTCGTCCTCCCACCCATGATCTTCTTCGTCTCCTTCATCCAGCTGCTCCACCACTGGGGCTGGATCCAATGGCTCGTCGGCAAATTCGCTGCCGTGTTCTACTGCCTCATGGGGATCTCGGGCGCCGAAGCCGTAGCGGCCGCTGCGTCTCCGTTCCTGGGTCAGGGAGAGGCCGCGGTCTTGATAAAGACGTTTTTGCCGCTTCTTACGGCGGCGGAGATGCATCAGGTTATGACGTCGGGGTTTGCGACTATTGCGGGGAGCGTTCTCTCGGCGTACATTGGTCTCGGGATTGATCCCTTGGCGCTCGTGTCTTCGTGCGTCATGAGCATTCCGGCTGCTGTTACGATTTCGAAGCTCCGCTACCCTGAGACAGAAGAGCCCCTCACAAAGGGTGTTAGTCGTATTAGAGTGCCGGAGGATGAGGAAGGCAAGGCGTTCAACTCGCTCCACGCCGTCGCTAAGGGATCTTGGACAGGTATCAAAATTGCTGGCATGGTTGTTGCTAGCGTCCTCTGCATTCTTGCCCTTCTCGCCTTGACGAACGGCCTCCTCTCTTGGTGGGGCAGTTACCTGAATATCGACGACCTTAGTGTCCAGCTCATCGTCGGGTATATATTCTATCCTATCGCCTTTTTGCTGGGAGTTGAGAGGAACGGCGATCTTCTCAAAGTTGCCCAGTTAATTGGGATCAAAGTGGTCACCAATGAGTTTGTAGCAGTGAGTAGATACGCTCCATTGATACAGTCTCATTCTGTTCTTCTTCTCTTCTTTCTGTATCTTGTTCTTTTTCTCAAGTCTCGCCTACGAAGCTAACACGAATCATCGATGACAGTACGCCGAACTGACACAAAATGCCACCTACGCACCACTATCGCCGCGCTCGCGCCTCATCGCGATGTATGCCCTCTGCGGCTTCGGCAACATCAGCGCCGTCGGGGTGCAGATGGGGGCTTTGTCACAGCTGGCTCCCGGACGTACAGGGACTGTCACGCAAGTTGCTGCATCGGCGTTGATCTCGGGTGTGTTTGCCACTTTAACGTCGGCCAGCATTGCCGGCATGTTGATGGTTGACAGGGAGTAGAGTTTGATTTGACAAGAATTGCAGGCTTGCCGATCCCGTGCATCTAAGTATTTAAAAACCACACTTCTCCTTACGCAGAAAATTCCCTTACAGCATCGTATATGGGAGCCCGCAGCTGAGGGTGGGGAGTTGGGACTCGGAAGGTTGGGTCTCGGTCCACGGCTAAGATGTAACTAAAGTGCCTATGCCTGGGGGCGCGTGAGGATGCCATCTTTGCTCCTTTGATGGCAATTTATTTATTACGTATTTAGAATTCCATCTTTCGCCATTTGATCGAATCCCAATGCCACCAAGGCGTTGACTCTGAAGTATAGAGTCGGTCATAAGACCAGCCGATCCCAGGTCTTGAAGTGTTTCCGCGCCATGGCCGAATCTTTTCCATCGCATCCCAATAGTTATCGATTTATTATGATGTTCTAGGGCCACGGATGGCTTCAATTTTGATTGAATCAGAGGAGTAGGTATTAAATTCGAAAATTACCCCTTGGCTCCGTTCGAGAAGTCCATCCCAATAACCGGTTTAAGGCCAAACTCCCCCTCCCCCATTGGAAGCTCGGAACGGACACCAAGAGCGCGCCTGGAGCTCCGTCGTATTCTAGTAACACTTCAACGCAGATCTAGATTCCAAGAAACCTCTAGGACATTGGTAGGAGGCCCACGTAGAAAAAGAAAAGGGCGATGTCCCAGATCAACATCAGGAGGGATATGCCCAAGAGCACATGAGTCATTCCTAATTAAATTAAAGTCAATATTATATCGAACTCTCCCGGAAAATGAAGAAATAAGAGGACCATTACCTCGGACGGCTTCATCGTCAATCGGATCGTCATCTAATTTTTCCCTTAGGAATGAAATGATGAGTGCGTGCACAAATGCAGAAGCTTTAGGTACAGAGGCGACCAGGCCGCGCATATTGGCATGGTTGGGCTGTCCTTCGGGCCCTCCAAGATACCAACACAAGATACCCATGAGGAAGGCGTAGGTACTAGTCAAGCCACCAACAGCCACAAGGTAGCCTAGGGACTTGGAGGACATGTAATAGGCGACAAGGCTGAATGTGACCGCGGGGACGACATTGGCGACGAGTATGCAAAAGACGGCTGGATCTGCAGATCCTGCAAGTTTCAAATCCAGCACAAGCACGCAGATCCAGGCAACTATATTAACCAAGCCTGTAAGCAACGTCGCAACGCTGAGCAAAACGAGAACGTTGTTACGGCTGTACTGAGGGAAACGGCGAAGGCAAGGTTGAGCCATTGTGTGGATCTTGTCGGTCAGTGTAGTTCCGCTCAGCTCTGATAGTTGAAGGCGATTAACTCTTGAGAAATACTGGATACTAAGAAATTTGTGCGTTTCTTATTCGCACACACGAGAACAAGTCCATTTTTATAAAGTTTCAAGATATTCATCACATGCCATAGTTGGTTTCTTCTCTTGTGCCTGGCAGATGTCAACGTCAAGCTTTGAGTTCAGCCCCAAAACGACGGGCAAGACACGCAGCCCTTGCCTGCAATTATTAGGTTGGTGACATGAGCCCTAGAAACCTCAAATCTTCCTGGAACATGTGATGGGGATAAACCCACCCATAGCTCGTGAGGGAAAGACTTTCGCGTATCAAGGGATCCAAGAGCCGTGGCTAGGGAGGAAATGAAGGAAAGAGAAATAAGAGAAAAGAGGTTTCCAAAGAAAACACAAACAGAAGGGTTCAAATCTTTCGGTTCCGAGTGCTCGTGATATGGTGCACCAGAAGGCATCTCCTTCCAGGGAGACGTCAGTTGCCATCAAAGTTGACACCCTCAGGAGCGCTCGGGGCGATCGAGAGAAGGCAAAACAATCAGATTGATGGTTGTCCACGCCAAGATGAGCCTACTGACCGAGGACAACTTCAAAAGACAGTGAAAGCCTTTGCGATGTAATTAAATCGTGGAAGGGAAAAGCGTTATACAAGGAGCTGTGAGCTTTTCCACCGCAACATGACAACCACGCGTAAAATACAGCCACTATAAAACCGATAGGACCTCGGCAAACGCATTTTTTACATCTCCCCAATACACCCCCGGTTCCTGGGGAGATAACTGATTTTCACGATGGGGTCGAAACTAGCTGACGAATCGTCATCAATGATTATCCTAGAAATTTACAGAAAGATGGTCGTCGCATTTGGCGACTGGAAAAGTTTTGTCCAACCCAGAACACCCACACCACAAGTTCTCCACGGGATCCCTTGCAACATTGAAGATTTTGTCCGAGTTTAGAGCGGTCGATGTTCGTGGGAAGGTTGTGGCTATGCTTCATGCGCCTGCAAAAATTGTGTGGCACAGCCGAACATCATTGATACATTTCGTGGGTGGCGCTGCAAAGGCGGCGCCCACTGAAACGCCCGTCTCGTCTCGAGATAACTTTTTCAGTTTGTGCTGAGCACTGAGCGTCCGGTCCCCCGTTCCCGTACATCTTGGGGCACAACCGGATCTCCAAGAAATTTTATCTCACCAATACGATATGCGACAAGCGTGCGACTATTCTAGCATGCAGGAAAACGTGAAATCCTCCTCCACATCCTCATTGACCAGGCGGATTGCCAATACTCCGGACTCCTTCTCGTAACATCCGTTCGCTGGCGGCATGAAGATTCTTGCTAAATATACTGTTGCGAACAATAATCTCGCAAAATGCGAGCATCCCACCGAGGTCTGGGCCTCCGAATGCCCAACTTGCCGAGCTCTCCGTGCCGTTGCAGTCCTCTTCTGCGAGATACAATGTCATCAGACGGGGGACTGGGACCCAACTGAGATTTGTCATAGTCTTCTTATGAAGAGGAGTCGCTTGCAGGCTGACCTCAAAGAGAGGCTAGAGTCGATACCGGATACTACGGTTGTCACGCGACTGCCCCTTCTTTCCGCGTATTCTCTGTTACGTTCCACTCCCGACAAGTCTTCAATCCAAGATCTGGAGAGCATCGGCGTGTCCGTACGACGAAGTGTTACGTTTCTACTCTCGTCAAAAGGTGGGTCGCTCTTTTTTTCAACAGCTGGGCAAGGTTGCTTACTCGAGTGTAGCTCTGAAGGATGCCCAGCGCGCATTCCTACTGCGATCTTGGATACACAACAGTGTTGCCAAAAGCGGCGGGGACATCTACAGTGTTATTCCAACGGAACTGTCACTAAACCAGGTCGTTCCCGACCGAGCTTTCCCAACTCGAATCCTGGAGATCACGTCTATGGCCTCATGGCATCCCACAACGTGGTTCCCGGGGCATCTTAATGCTGTCAAGCTGTGGACTCCGCCGCCCGGGTCAGAGGGGAAATACGTGGCGTTAAGCCATCGATGGGAAACTAACGACAATCTGCACATCAATTTGCACCTTACCACGGCTACCATGTCGTCGCTGGAGTCCGGAGTTCCCATCGCCTCGCTCTCGAGGACATACCAAAAGGCCTTGCGGCTCACGGCTACGCTTGGCGTCCGCTACCTCTGGATTGATGCGCTCTGCATCTTGCAGGATAGTGACGAGGATTGGCTACAAGAGTCGCCGAAAATGGCGTCTGTCTACCACAACTGCATCTTCTCCATTTCTATCCATCCATCGGGAGATATATTCCGTCGTTATTACTTTGGAAAACGGAAGGGTCAATCGGGCACGTTTAGGCAAGATGTATGTGAAAGCCTGCTGAGTCGTCGAGGTTGGGTATTTCAAGAGCGACTTTTGGCCCCTAGGACCCTTCATCTTACGTCCCGTGACATCTTCGTGGAAGATGCATCTGGAGTACTGTCGATAGCCGAGGACGGGTATCTAACTCGGCCATTGTTATACGACCCTCTTCTTGACAATAAGCTCAACTTGGAAGACTTGTTTAGGTCAAGCGCAGAATGGTACCATCTTATTGAAAAATATAGTGCGTGCGACCTGACATTCCAATGCGACAGGCTCCCTGCTATTGAAGGCCTGGCCAGGTATTGCGGCGAAAGGAACTGCGACATGGGGACATACGTTTCAGGACTGTGGGAGAATTCGGTCCACCAAGGATTACTCTGGATCCTTGGCCAATGCCCGTCCCAAGAGGTTCCCAAAGACCCCAGGGGTAGGCCGCCTGCCCCGACCTGGTCTTGGGGGCGGTGGTGTGGTAGAATCCACTATCCTCGAGATCTGTCTTCGACTTCTCCTGTACTGCGGCTCGTCGATGACCCGCCTCTACAGTCACCTCCGTTTTGGGAAGGGAATGAGACCCTAGCTCTGGAGGCCCCAGTCTGCGAGCCCAGGGGTAATACAGCTGTCAAGCTACCCCGTAATATCATGTTCGCGCACTATCCTCAAAATTCAACGCCACTCTACTACGTTCCGAATGACCCTCTCAAAGTCTTGATACTCGATAACGAGGAGCGAAGCAAAGTCGCGCTGGGCAACGTTCTTCTCGCTTTTGTCGCCAAGAATGAGGTGAAGGAATATCTTTACGACGACAACCATGATACATTTCTTGAGAAGGTGACTTGCCGGAGCTATTTTCTGCTCTTGAAGCCGGTTGCTAGCAAGCCCGACCACTACCGACGGATAGGGCTGGGGTGGGAATTCGTCACATCCACGGTCAATAAAAGGCGACGACAGAGGATATTCCTAAGTTAGTTATAATGCAATAATTTGCCCTTCTACATTCTAGCGGTTAAGACCTTTGTAAAACTTGGGCGTCAGACTGCCTGAGAGGCCGTAGCAACTCTTGAAAAGTTACTCGGAGAGAAGAATTCGCGGTGAACGACTGAATCGAATAGTTTCGAGCAACGGTTACTTACATACCCACACTAACCAAGGACAGCTCTAGCTCGTAGGACTAGAGCCTGGAGAAAACACGTGATCCTGTCCGTCACCTATTTAAGGGCAGTGTAGGCTGTTTGTCTTGTTGGATTGAGCTGCTCGGCTCCGATAAAATACTAGATACTGAAATCACAACCCTGGAGAGCGTGGACAAGCCTACTATTGGCGCTTCCTATAAATCGAGTTACCTACATATTTTAAGTGTCTTTGCTGAGAATGTGGTATGTCTAGGCTGTCTGTAGATTGGCATCCTCGCCGTTGAAGCCGAGTCCATCCACTTCGGTCGAATCCTTTACAGGAAGTTCAAGGGAAGCAAGCAACATCCCGCCTCATTTGAATCGTACCCAGCTCTAACGCGTCCTGTTTCCTAGGTTCTTCTTTTTGGCTATTAAGATTTGATGAGTGGTGTTGGCCTTCCATTCTTCCCGCCGGCCGGGGCAACGGGTTACACCCCGCGAGGCATTCAGAGGACAGGATTGCTAAGGAGCAAGGCGATTTTCGGGGGCCAAGGCACAATTGACGGGTGACTCGCCCCGGGCAGCAAACATTTCCTTCTCTTCAAAGGGTCCAGATCGGGACCCGAGGACAGTTCGTGACTTCCGAAATAGTAAACCCTGTTACCAGGGGACTCAAGCAAGCATCCCATCCAGATCTAAGTCCTATTTTAGGCTCCAATATTGGATGGGAGACGACGGGAAAGCGTAACAAGGTTCACCTCGGCGTTGACACGCATAAACCTGGATAGTCGTTCTTTCTCTTACTCACCCCGCCGAGGGCGTGAGCCCTGAGAGATGATAGTTAGCGTCTCCGTGGAATGAGACACCCCCTCTGCCACAGTTAGGAGCGAGGTGAGAAACACTACGTATCAATGGATCCAAGAGCCATGGCAGCCAATAGAGGCGAGGAAAAGAAGGGGAAAGATATAGAAGACACGTCTCTAGGGAAAGCATGAACAGAAGAATTTAGTCCCCCCAATTCGGAAAGCTCGTGATATCGCGTTCAAGCGGCCCTGTTGTCCCTGCCTGATTTTCTAGAGCTCATTTCGATGCCCACCAAGCTAAGACTTGTATAGAATGGCTGCCTTTCTCGCCATTTGGGATTTGCTGGAGCTACTACTGTGGGTCTAGGATACCCATTGTCATTATTTTATGTAGTGCTCGGTTCCTTTCGAGTCGAAACATCGTTGGAAGCCCTTAAGCTCTTCGGTGTCACATGATAGATGATAGATTGAAAAGCAATACGCCGAAACACTCATATCAATGGCCAATTGACGTTTCAATCTGAGCACTGGTTACAAATATGATCTGGAGTTATAACGGCCACAGTAGGTTGCGATAATTCACAAATGCTATTGATGGGAAGAGATGTTTAGAGTGTCATCTAGCGGGTTTGGCAAGGGCCAAGTTTCTTTGCGCAATGGCAAACTGTACCTGAGGTTTGGCTGAGGCTTTCGTTCGGGCCCTCAGAAGTATGACCATCCGCTTCGTAATGAACTTGATTTTCATCAGTGGAATAAACTACATTCTTCTCTTACTGCTCACCTTCGAACTACACACTAGATGTCAGTTCTAGACTGAGCTTTAAGGAGAGACGATAGGCGAGAAAAGAGTGGCTGGTCTCACCGGTTCGAGTCCGTCCATGCCTCTGGGCTCACAGGGTAGTCTTCCTAGGAGTTTACCTCCCCATCCGTTTGTATTAGATCGCATGGTTGATTTTGCAGAACATCTGATTTAGGCGACTAGGCACAAAGAAGAAACTAACTTGGGCATGTGATGAATAGCCTGGAACTTTTAAAAGCAGACGTATTTCCATATGCGTGAATAAGCAACGCACAAATTCCCCAGCCTCCCATATTTTCTCAAGAGTTCATCGTCTACGATCATTACAACTGAATACAACGATATCGAACCGATACGATCGACACAATGTATACTGAACCAGCCCTGGCCCGTTTCCCCGAGTATGGCACTTATACCGCTTTGCTCGCCGGTGCAACGTTCCTTGTGTTCGGCTTCGATTCAGTTGCCTACCTCTCCTCAGTCCTGCTACGGTTAAAATTGGAGGGATCTGCAGATCCATTCATCTTTTGCATCCTCGTCGCCAATGCACTCCCCGCGCTCACATTCGGCTTTGTCGCCTACCACATACCCTCCAAGTCCCTAGGCTGCCTTGTGGCCATCGGCGCCTTTGTTCGTACCTATTTCTTCCTCACGGGTATTTCTTGGTGGTTTCTTGGGCCGGAAGGGCAATCCAATCATGCTGAAATGTGCAGCTTGATCGTTTTGTCGCCTCATTGGGCCATGTTGGTGGATGGCTTCATCATGGTCTTCCTCTCAGAAAGAAGAAGGAATGGTTCAATTGATGATTACATCCAAGGTAATTCTACTCCTACTTCCCTTCTCTTCTTGGAAAGTTGACATAATATTGACCTTGGCTTAAGTGTGGACTCTGGTGGTCTTGTTAATAGCCCTTATCGCTGTGGTCATCTACAGTCGCTCTTTCATTGGTCACTGGATGCCTACCGCCGAAGACCTGGAGGTATTTTAGCCTCTAGATCTGTATTGAAAATATTAACGGAAGATCATGCAGCTTCCCGCGGGCTCCTAGTGTCCGTTTCTAGCTTCTACGTAATGGAATGTCCATGGTTTTACATCTGTCATCAGGAGGTACTTCTAAAAGGAAACCAACCAATCGGTAATCTCTAATTTGACACCTGCTGCTCTGATTTAATCACAGTTGAGACCCTCTAGCATATTAAATTAATAGATCTTGGAATGCGGTTGGAGAGGTTCGGTCGAACCCACATAGCACTGCAAGGCAAGGGAAGAGCTCCACGTGTAAAGGGATCCAAGAGTCGTGGCTAGCAAGGACAGAAGGCAAGGAGGAATAAGAAAGCGCTGTCACTAAAGAGGCCACGAACAAAGGTATTTAATTCCTCTAATTTGGAAGGTTTGTGATGCTGTGTTAAAGCGGTGCTTTGTGGTGTCCCATTTCCGCAGAGACGCTTGTTACCATGTCTCAAAGTTCACCCCTCAGGAAGCGCTCTGGGAGATCGAGAGAAGGCACAACAGCCAGATTAATGTGTCCACATTGTGACAACTACATGTAAAATACAGCTATTATAAAACGCATGATTCCTGCACAAACTTGCTTTTTTTACCTATTCACAATACAATGCCAGTTCGTGAAGGGGTCGTTGATTTGCACGATGGAGTCGGAACTGACAACACAGGACACAGAAGACCACCTACGACAGATGGTCGAAGGAGGTATACCTGCTGATGTGCTCGAGCGCGCTGACTGACGAAACGTCATCAGTGATTATCTCAGTAAACAATGGACATCTATGATGGTATGTCAGGCCAAACACACACAGGACCTCCCCTCCTGTGAGGAACTCCTTGCCTATTGGGTCATACTTGAGCGCAGGCACCTGCCCAAGACCATGGTCAATCATCTTGCCAAGCTCGGACAACTCAGACGGTCAGACGATAAGCCCATCACTACCCGCTGTTAAAACGGCGTCACTCAATGGTCGATCCAATGCGCATTTCAGCTCTGTCTAGGCCAGACAGCTCCCAAAAGAACTTGCCTTTCCCCGCCATCCAGCTTCTGTATACAAAGTTGGTGTTATTCCTGCCGTGGAAGACTTGACGGGCTCCCAATAGAGAACCAACGGATAGGAGCGGTATTGGTCATGCACATGCATTCCATTTCCTATCCATCTACTTATTTCACTTCCCCTTGCCCTACGCTCGCTCCGCCTGCTCTGTCTCTAGGCCTCCCAATTCCGGAATCCAATAACTTGGAGGCTTGCAGTGAAGCCATTCAGGAGGATATAAAACAAGAGCAGATAGCAACCCTACAAATTAGCGCGGTGCCTCTCGCCACCGAATATAGCAGTATCGTAACGCGATATTGAAGACTAGAAGGACGAGCACCTCGCCCGCACCCACGACGGGCTTACCGTCGATGTTGGGGTCGGAGCCCAAAGAGAGAGAATAACACCGACTTGTAGTACTGGAAGTGCGTTAGCGGGTCGTATATGCTTGGAGCGGCTGATGGCTAGCGTTGATCTTACCTTGTATACTTCTTTCGAATCGTTTCGGTCCACATAACGACTAGTAACTGTAGTATACAGCTCCTGAAATTGACGAGTATATACTTCTAATGTGCCCCGCGAATTGATATTATAATTCGCGCAGACGAAAAGGAAGAAGTCCATCATCGTTTCTCGGCTTAGATTTATGAGCGTCTGCTTCCACGCAAGAGAGCTTAGTTAGTATCCATTGAAGAGACACTATACGAAGGGTTAGAACTAACTGCTTCCATTTCCCAAATATCCCACCAATATTGATCTCAGTTTCGTCCGAATACTTTGGCTTTATGAAGCAGACCCGCGGCCTCGTAAATACCTTTTACCTAACCTTTTATACCCACCCCGTTTCCCTTTGCCCGATACTTAGTAGAGGTTTTTACAGCTATCGTGATCAGCCACCAGGCTTCTCGTTATAAGCCCATACTACGTTCGAAAGCACACGATAGAATCTCTGCCTCCTTTTCTTCCAACTCCCTCCAGCCCATCCACCCGTCGCTCAAGAAGGCCTTCACTTGGTCTGGTATGCCGGACGACGTTTCTCCAGGATAGTAAAGGATTGCCTTTATCGCCCCATCTCGCTTCGCTACAGTGACGTTTAGGCGGCCCTGTAAGATGCGATTGAGACCATTCTCTAGCTCATAAACCGAGAGACTGCCGAGAGGCGCGCCGGGGTCCGTATTCGCGCTTTGGGAAAGAGCGCCACCTCCTGCCTGGGTGAAGTGTGCGTCCAGGCACTGTTGGATGCGAGCATGCAGCTCGCCAGGATTTAAGGCGGGTGAGGAGAGGATAGAAGAGAGTTGTTGAGCGAGGATGTGGATATGGGATTCTGGTGTTTGGGCGCTCGTGTGGGTGTGGCTATGTGGTGGAGGATGCTGTACCGGGGCGGAAGGCTGTATCGGAACGCGATGCGGGCGCGGAAAAGGCTGTGGTGCTGGGTATAAGGGGGATATAACACCGGGAGCAAATCGGCCTGCAAGTGGTGGGGTTGGCACCCGGTGAGGGTCTCTGTTTTGTCCCGGGTCCGCGGAGATGGGGGAATATTGGATTGACTGCTGGGGTTTTCCTTGGTACTGGCCTTGCAGATGCGAGGCCTGAGGTCCGGGCTCGATTTCCTCTATCTCTGTTGCTGGTGACGAAAAATACCAAAGTGCGAAGTTTGCCAGTGACCCCACTCCACTCTAATAACACAACGCAAGGTAAGAAATTGTAATCGGAAACACGTATGCTCACGGGTGTTAGCGTGGAGGGCGGAACAATACGTACCGCGATGCCGCCGGTTCGAGCTCCCGGGGTATGAGTTTCAGAGGCCCCCGCGGCCACATCATCGCCGGTAGAAAACCTCTCCCGCTTAGCGAGATCTTCCTGGTATCTGACCCACGAGCTCCGTACGGACGATGCCAACAAATCTAGAGGCCCTAGGGTGTTCTTTTTCGAAGTACGGATCCTCTCGGCTGCCGCGTGTTTCCACATCTCCTGTAAACCCTTCCATACCCCATGCTGCGCAATCAGCTGCTTCCCATACTCCCTTCCCCTCCTGTACTCATCTCTAGAGGCACACAGGACAAGCTTCGGATATCTTGAGAAGTATGACCAGTAGGGAAAATCGATCATGCCGTTTGACATTCTCATCTCTTGTCCGCCGTATTGCTTGAGGAGCAAGATCATGGACTTAAAGTCGTCCTGCAGCCATCTTGCCTCCCTGCGAGAGAGAGGAAGCCCGCCACTAGGGACATAATACTGAGACGGGGACTTCTGAAGACGTTTGAGAAAGAGGTACGCCCAGTTGACGCTTGTCATGGCCCCGAGGTTTGGGTCGGCCCCGGCGGCGAGCATCTCCCCAACAATATCGAGACGCCCAAATGTAATGGCGGTAACCAAGGGTGGCATACCCATTGCGTCCGGCTGATTTAGGAGCCCTCGTTGGCCCCGGAGCTCACTCTGCTTCAGGAGGTACCGGAAGCCGGTTATCAGTTCGAGCTCTCCCCGGAAATGATGATTGACAATGCTGTGAAAACAAGTTCTTCCAAGGGTTGGTTGTCCAATTAATTTCCTAGGCTCGAGCCCTGCCGGTGGTTCCAATAGGTAGCGGAGACGGGAGACGGGTAGGCGGGGAAAGAAGCGATACAAGAGCCAGAAGACGTCGATATTTAGCTGCACAACGTTCGTGGAACCACTTCCTCTAGCGAGAAATGTCGCCAGATCAAAATTGCCCATTACAAGAGCAAAAAAAGGAGGGGGAAACTGGCTGAGGGACCCTGGACCCTCCCCCCCTTCGTGATGGATCGGTCCGCGAGCAATCAGCTCCTTCGCGTAGAAGACACCTCTTGGCCCCAGGTGAGCACAGAAGTGCAGGTACGAGACACCCTCTGGGAACTGAAGCTTTCTATGGGTGTCCGCCCCGTACTTCAGCAGGAGTAAGAAGGTTTTTTCTCGGTTGAGATGCATAGCGACCTGCAAAGGCGTGTGTCTGTGGGGTCTGGAAACCAATTCCAGATCTTCCCTACAGCCGGTCTCTAATAAATGTTCAATAACCTCGACCGGTAGGCCGTAGACGATGCTAGCATGAAGCAGGGACATGCCAAACTCCAGGGGCCTTTCCTTCCCCTCGATAGTTTGAAGGAGGTCGATCGTCTCAATCAGGACACTGACGTATTTCGCCCCCAGGGCAACACGGCGTATTGCCTTGCTTGACGATTTTATGGCGAAATGGAGAATACTCTCCTTCATGGACGCCAAGTAACCTCCGAGTCTAGGGCCGGAGGTAGGCGAGACTATCATTATCTTGATGATGCTGGGCAGTAATTCCCTGATGGCAAGTTTAAATGGAGTGCAATGAGAGGCGCCCCCCACAAGCTCGTGGTCGCACCTAATAAATGGATCAGCTCCCGCGGAGAGAAGGGATCTCGCGGCTGTCTCGTTCCGAGCCAGTATTGCAAAGTGCAGTGGCGTGCCATAGAGTGGCAGGTATTCCACTGCAGAAGAATCTCCTGCTGCTATAGTAGCGTGGAGACACGCTTCGCCACCGTTCAAAAGAAGCAGATGTGTAGCACGCTCGACGTCCCCGTCATCAAACGCAAAGACCCAATGCAACGGTGTTTCTCCGTTAGCTGCTGCTATCGCCGGGTTTGCGCCATTGTCCAGGAGGTGTTCGACTGCTTCTAAACTTCCCGCTCTGCAAGCTTGGAATAGGGCTGTTTCACCGGCTCGGTTGGTGATATTGACGTCGACACCCAGGGAGAGTAGATGATCGATCGCGCTGGCACATCCGTAGCGCGCAGCGGCATGTAGCAGGCCGTCATTGTTCTTCGATACCAGCATTTCGCCCAACTTGAAGCCCTCGTTGTCCTCCTCGGCTAGCACATGGCTGAAATATCCTTCGAAAGCATCGTAACGATGCATATGAAAGATATCGTGCTTTTCTTCACGACGTAGGAGCCCGCCATGTCGACGATAGTCCTTCCTTAAGGCAAGAAATCTCGACGGGAAACGTTGCCGAAGCTCCATCAACGAATGATAGCAGCCCTTTCGGGCGAACGCCGCGTATAGCGATAATAGGTCCATCCCGCGAGGATAAGAGTGCTGTAGCAATTCGAAGAATCCTAAAGCATATCGGGCGGCCGCCGCGGTCGGGTCTTCTTCAATCGCTCGCCGGTACCACTTCGCCGCGCTACATTTCGCACCAGGCCATTCCAAGCGTTCAACAAACAGCTCGAACAAGTTCAAGCGAGCGAGCTGACCGATCGCACCGTGCTTGGTCGAAAGCGTCTCTAGTTCTCGGATGACGGAAAGCTGAACGCACATCGGGGCCACCGCATCCGCGAGAACTGATATGTCGACCTAATAGAACTATAAGCAACACCGCGGCCTCACAAAGCAGGTCCCAGGGGGGCCAGAAGTTACATTATGATATTCATATGGCATCAGCGGCTCGATTGAACTGGGCTTTAGCCAGGACACTCCATGCAATAACTCTAGAGAGCGGTTCAAGTCGCGCTTCGAAGCATCGAGTTGCAGAGTACAGTTTAGCACATCAGTAATGATATAAGATTCCTCGGTGCTGCAGAAGGGATCCTTGAGAGTTGACTTTGCCAGTAGAAGGACGCGGTCTTCCACCTTGAGTGTTCGTACCTGTCGATGGAATTCGGCCTTGTCGAGTAAGGCAAGCGTGTTAACATGTCTGAAAGGGTTGGCGCCGTCCAGGGTAACTCTCCAAACGAGAAGTCCGTAACTGTACACATCGGTGAACTTGAGGGAATCCCTAGGGAGGCGATCATAGCTCTCCGGTGCGTCCCAGGGTGGCGTGAAAGCAGGTATGGCTGCGGTATCCGATGGCTCCAGGTCCATTACCGCACAGCCGAAGTCGGCGAGCTTTGCGACTACTTCGGTCTCATCGCCTGTATCGAAGACGAGCACGTTCTCCGACTTCAGATCCCCGTGCACGATCCCGGCGCTGTGCAGCGCCGAAAGGCCGCATGCGACGTCCCGGCATAGCTTCTTTTTCACGGAGAATGGCAAGTTCGGGTAGTCGACTTGGAAGTCTGCAAGGGTGCCGTTCTCCGCGTACTCCATAACAAGGACTGGCCATGCTTGGTCGGGGAAGTCGGGATCGGGCTCCCACACGAGCTGGAGCAGCCGCGCGATATTGTCGTGGGTCCTGAGCGGCCGGTGCGTCAGTGCTCTGACCTCGAGCAGCACCGCGCGGAGGAGCTTGCCCCTTTCGATGACGTCCAAATTGTCGTTGAGATGCCTGAGCTTCTTGTAGACGACGAAGGGTGATCCAAGCCGCAGCCGTCGCTGTATCTGATCTTCAATGCTGACAAGAGAGACGCTGAAGGAAAGGCCTCGGCCTAGAGTCTTGGCTGCCGCCATCGATGTGGGTCCCTCGACGCGGAATTCTTCCCCAGTCTCGTCCTGCCCCATCGAGGTTGCCCACAGGCCGATGAGCTTGAGGAAATCGACTGGCCGGGAATCCTGGTGGCTGACAACATTATGGACGACACGCTCTTCATCTTCAATGAGAGGCTTGTTGGCTGCCGAAATAAAGGCGTCCCGACCGCCGGGTGGGACTAGAGGCACAGGCTCGTCCCGCGCCGTCTGAGAGGCATCTCGTTCATGGGCAGCAGCCCATGGTCCTTGGGGCGCATGTGACGCTCCAACTCCCTGTGCCCTGCGATGCAGTCTCTCCCCAGGTAGGTCGCGAGGCATTCAAAGAATCGTCGTGGTCCATATCTGGTAGATAGACGGGGCTCCTTTTCTCACGACATGATGAGAATGAAATCCGCAGCAAGGCTCTTCAAGTTGTTGACGCACGCACAGATGATGAGGGTGTTCCTTGACCAGGCTCTATGGGCTGTGCGGCGAGAGTGTCGAGCGGGGTAATTAGCACAGCCGCCGCCTCATTTCCAAGACCTGGAGTCGCGTGGCTGGCTGAATTACCCATTCTTGTCAAAGGTTTCGCCACTGGCGGATAAGGCGGTATCGTCTCAGACGGGTCTTCTGGCTCGTTCCGCTATCCTCGACTCCTCTCTCAGCGTATCTGATTACGCCAATCCGTCTCCAAACCCCCCTTTCGAAACAGGAAAAGAAGAAAAGAACCCATATCAAACAAATCACTATGGCGCTATCGGCAGTCGCTCTTTTCATTGAATGCCTCAAAGCCTACAAGCTATTCTCCGCAGCTCACTACATCAACTCTGATCTAAAAACCTTCAAAACCAAGTTCCAAATCGAGGAAACGAGACTGACGCAGTGGGGGTTCTATTGGGGCTATCGGTCCTCCCCAGGAGAGTGTACCCTGGATGCTACCATCGACAGTGCTGGCCAGAATGTCGCCTCAACGGTGAGGCTAACACTCCAGCAGATCTCAACTCTGCTAAAGAAGTACGCTGCGGTGTCGGCAAGGTATGACGGCGACAACAGCAGCAGCGGCAGTGCCTATACATATCGAGGGATGGTGTGGGCGCTCAAGGACAGGGCAGCGTTGGAATCGACCATTCAGAACCTCACGGACTTCAATAACGGTCTCCACCAGCTTCTGCCGAAGAAGAGCGAGGAGTCTCTCGCGCAGGTCGTGGCCTGCACCCTGACCAGGGACAATGACGGTAGTGACCTGGACGACATTATCGCCGCCGCCGCAAGCCTTCAATACGCCGATGCTGCAAAGTTGGCAAGGTTCAAAAAGGCCTACCAGATGCTCACGTTAGCGGAGGAGCAGCAGCATCTCCACTATCCGCCCGTGCTATCCGCTCCCCTCCTCCTCGACGCCAGCTTGTTTAAGCTCTCGACTCGATACTCCTCCACGGACCGTACATTCGCCAAGTTCGACAGCAGTCAGTATGTGATTATTGAGTGGAGAAGTTACCACGCAAGCATGCTATCTGGCAGCCAAACAGCGCAGATAACTCTGCGCAACCGGGTTTCCCACCTCGCCGAGCTCATGAGCCGCCGCACCCAACGTCCAGAAGGATTCAACATCCTAACCTGCAAAGGTTACTTCGATCAGATCTCCTCGGAGCGCTTCGGGTTCGTGTATGACCTCCCTCCAAACTCACCCTGCTCCATGCCGTACACCCTCCACCAGCTCTTCGCGGAGTCGAGCATGCCCCCGCTCGGTACGCGGTTTGGGTTGGCACTGTCGCTGTCAAGAACGCTGAACCTGCTCCACACTAGCGGCTGGCTCCATAAGTCAATCCGCTCCAACAACATTGCCATCTTCCAAGCCGCAAAGACCAATAGACCGGAGTTTGAGAGGCCCTACTTGCTTGGATTTGGATTCTCCCGCCCCGACGGATATGGCGAGGCAACGTTTGGCGAGCAGTCCGCAGTCGCATCCACGAACCAGCTATACTGTCATCCTGAGGTACAGGGCCAGCAACCAAGACGCTATGTGGCAGGGGATGACCTTTACAGTCTTGGTCTTCTGCTCTTGGAGATTGCGCTGTGGATGCCACTGGCTGAGATCGAGGGCAGGGGAGAAACGACGAGTAGCCAAGCCCCACTGAACATGACGAAAATCAAGGCGGCCGTGTCCGGTTTGCCCAGGCGGGTAGGCACAATCTATAAAGAAGTCGTTGAGAAGTGTTTGAATTTCAGTGGAGGAACACACCAAGTAATGTCAGACCAATCGGCTGCTGAGTGGAGCGCGGAGAGGTTGAGGAACCAGAATAGTTTCTACTGGGATGTAGTGAAGAAGTTGGAGGAGTGCAGAGCATAGAAGGGAAATATCTTCGTACTTACGCCATATGAGAATTAGTAGCCACTCCGCTCCATAGTACAAATGAAGTAGTCGAAGCGCTTGGTATGAGGGCCTTTTCTTACGGAAGTCCCTGGCAAGTTCACGACCACGAGGTGCTTTGGGCGTTGGAATCAGTTAGTGGCACCATGCCCACGGGTGGTTGGAGCCCAGCGTTAGTAGTAACTATCTACCACACTACGAAATTTACTCATCTCCTAGAATGTCTTACTCTGAAAGCTGCCAGCAGATATACAGATCATAGCGAAGCGCCTTCCATTTCACTTCAATTTTAGGCTCAATTCCAGAGCGACCAGCGCACCTCAGCCTTTGGAATCCTAGTCGATCGAGGAGGAACCCTCGTGAAGCAGGAAAGCCTGTGCCGGTACTCCAGGACAGTGCTAAATGGGCAATGGTCGTGGAAAGGAACCGCGGGGATGCCGGTATTGAAGGAAGTATGCTTGGGATCGGGCACGACTTCCGCTGTAGTGCCGCACCTAGTCGTGGCTGGCCGCGTTTTCGCGTTGCCGTCGCCCCTTGCCTCAAGTGGAATGGTCCCCACAATTGATTGGCCAACCAGCTCTTATTTTGTCCAGACAGGTCTTGGAAGTCTAATCCAACGACATGCGAAGCGGCCCCCTCCCCCGGCTTACAGCGTTGGGCGGTCACAACCCATCAATCCTGGGCCTCCTGCCGCTCTGGTTCAAAAGATTCCCTACCTCATTTACCGCATCCATATCAAGGCAGAAAGCACTTGAAGGGTCAGAATCTGGATGGACCTGGACCTGGACAAGCAGCGTAGATTCCCTGTCTCCTTCCGGGGTCGGCACCCATTCCCAAAAGGGAATCGGCAATTCTTGACGTGGAGTGTTCCGAAGCAAAATGCTTGTTTGAGAAAGAGCAAAGTTGTTAGGAAGGAAGGAGGCTCTTTCCGACAAGAACCATGAAGAATACGCGCGAGGCTTCCTTGGCAACATTTACTGCACATCATTGCAGCAGCGTTAGAGATGTTGGGAGCCACGCACGAAGGCGCAACCCAATCTCAGAATATGATACCCCAACTGTGCCAAAGGTGTATTTCACTAATCTTTGATTCCTCAATTTCTCTCTTCCTCTCTAGCAATCTTGCAAATAGTGCATCACATCTGTCTCGTCGCATTACTCTCTACCATGACGAAACCAACAAGAGTCTCCCAGAGCCCTCTTATCTCTGTTGTCCCTCTTGGGCGTTCTCTTTGCGCTCACATGGGACCAGCCGGTCCGAATTCAACGCCTTAGGGCATTAGGCCCCGCTTCTTTTGTCTCAAGGTGTTCTTAGCAGTTGCGGTTTCGCGACCGCGAAGAGGCCTACTGGGCGACGTGAATCGGCGGCGAGGAGGCCCTCTGGGCGAAATGCGTTGGGGCGCAGCTGTTTATTTTTCAGGCCATAATGCTGACTTCAGCTTACTTTGCCTTGGCGTTGAATCGGGAGGGCGCCCCTGGCTGGGGCGTGGAGTTTCTTGTTTCCCTCTTGCGCACGCTCCACTGGCTCCTCCTCGTTTATGACGGTGCGTTTCTTTTTGCCTGTTCAATTCGATGAACGATCCCGCGGGGAAGGGAGACGAGCTAACCTGGGCTCTCTTCGGCAAGTTAAAATGCCCTTTATTTCGAGTCCTATTGCTAATGATGTTGGTGTATCTAGGGATTTTGTGGTTCTCTGTGTGTTTCGTGGTGCTTTGGGTGTCGGTCACGGAGACGAGACCGTTCAGAGACGCCCTGGCCACAACATCACACACCCAAAGAAAGAGGGAGGAGGGGCCGAAGCGATTGCAATGCCAGTGGATTAGTGGTAATGGTATTGGTGGGGGGGTGATTCGGGCACCGGGCCCGATACCGGGGATGGTGTTGGTCTGAGAGTGGTTATTTACTCGACCCGAGGTGCCTCTGGGCCATCAAGTACACCATGAGTTCCTTGCCATTATCACGAACACCATTCTGAGTCTGTATCATACACCCTTTTGTACCTGCTGAATGTCGATGTGACTGACAGGGGCTTGCGGTCTGGAAAGAGCCCTGGTCTGAGGGCACTCCTGTTCTCCGATTCTCCAGCCTCTATCCCACATTTTTCAATCAGATCTTCTAATCTCAACCTCCTTGAGCAAGTGACCCACAAATGTAATTCACATACTCGTACCACCTCTCCTGGCCTTCCGATTCCGATTACCGTGTCCGTGACCATGACTCCTACACCGTTATTAGGCTTCTCAGACTATCCAGGGGGGCTCTGGCGTGTCTTCGTCTTTGGAAAGCCTCCACGCGAAGTAGGCTGCCAACTCAGCATCATCTTCGGGCAAAGTGCCATACGGGTTAAGGACAATGCTCAGGAGGGCGTGTCCATTCGTTTTCTTGGATGGCGGTGGGCCACGCCCACTCGACCTCGGCAATTACCCTCCTCTGCTAGCTCTTTCCAGAAACCGGGCTGGCAATTCGGCCTTTCTATTATTACTCTTCGGTATCCTTCTCATACAGTTGATCATCCTCTCTTTCTTTCATGTTCCTCGCTACCACCATCAGTGACCGAGTCATAAATGCTCCACCCGAACGTAACAAGTGCCGACTTCATCTCGGAACAACATGTATTAAACAACCACATCATGACTACCAAAGAGCATGAATATAAAACTTGGAACTAGTATGAAGACTGAACTGGTTGAAGAACTGCTGAAGCCGTGGACGGAAAAAGGAAAGGATACAAGAAGGAAATCTCCCAGTTTACCGACATCGAGTAACGTATTCCCCTTCCATGTTACAAGATGAGCTCTAGATGAGATGTACGTAGAGGCCCTATTGCGATTCCTAGAGCCACAAGTTGTTTAAGGAAAAGGGCGGTGATGAACGCCCTCCTACTCGCTCCTTCCTTCTTTTCTTTTTTTCAGATCGGCGTATTCCTCTTCCCGCTAAGAAACAACGAGGGATTCGTCGCCATGTCTGCCTTATGTTCAACCATGGATTGTAAACGCAGAAGATTTGGATATCTGGGCCCGTTGCACCTTGACTTGGTCCTTCGTACTCGTGCATTCCATACCCCGCTCTCGCCTCGCACGGGGAGAGGACGAACTGTTGCTCTTTGTGCCCTTGTCTTTATCCAGTTCAGCGCTGCGCCGCGATCCACGGTTACATGAGGATTGCTGCGTTTCACAACACACAGGTGAAAAAGGCAGCAAGGGAAGGTGGTGATCCACTCGAGAGCTCAATCCCTCTTCCATCATAGCCGTGAAAGTGATCTCTGTAACTCTGCCTCTCAAGGTTGAGCCGCGGTCACTGAACGTTCACGATACTCGATATACTATGAGAAGAATTTGTTTCTCCTTACAATTCGGATAATGAGCTCATCCAACGATGACGGCCCTGTTGGGGCAAATCTTTGCCGGCGTTGTGAGGTCCTCAGTTTCCTTGATTTAACCCAGGGTTTCGAACACACTAATAATGGCAACGCCCGGGAAGACTATTGCTCAAAGGCCCTTGACTTCAATTTCCACGACACGTTACCGGGCCTGCCGAGGCTAAATATATCTGCTGAAGGCGGCTGTGGTTTCTGCAGTCTGTTGCGGGACACAATCATATCCAAGGATACGAAAGAACCTAACATTATCGAATATTTCTTGGGGGGAAGAGACGAATGCACCATTATTATTACCCTCAAGATTTACTGGGGGACCTACGGACTCGGAGACGTCAGCAACAAACCAATCTCCTGCTCTTCAAGAATGACCATTCTATCAGTCGGCATCTGGAAGTATGACGGGATAGTTTCGGAGTCGGCCCCAGACTCAGAGTTAGATTTAGATGACAACGAATGCGTCTCCCTTGAGTTCTTCCTGGAGGCTTGCAATGGTAAAAATAGTTCTCATTCAACGGCACGGGGTGGCTTCTTGGCTAATCATCTTCAATACTATCTAGGCCACGTTGCCGAACGGCTACGAGTTTGGACTACGTGGCCCAGCCCAGATAGATTTTGCAGCCAAACCATCTCATGGGCGAAGGGGAAAATAGAATCATGCGCTCCCGGACGTTCTCGTCCTGGGATTACAGAGAGTATCGTTCCGACTCGTCTTCTCGACGTCGGAAGCGACCCAATTCGACTCGTGACCCAATTTAAGATTCATCAGGAAAGTCAACAGGAAAGTGGCAACAAGAAACCACCTGAGATTCGCTACACAGCCCTTAGTTACTGTTGGGGGGATGAACATCAGGCTTCACGTCAGCCTGTGACAACAAAGGCGAACCTTCAAGACAGGCTTAGCGCCATCCCCGAGGAAGAGCTATCGGCCGTGCTCCACGATGCAGTCACCGTCACAAGACTATTGTCGGTTCAGTACCTATGGGTCGACTCGTTGTGTATCCTACAGGGTGACAGGCACGACTGGGACCATCAATCTGCTCGAATGCACGAAATTTACCAAAATTCATACGTTACGATTGCAACGCCGGCGTCCAGCCACTGTGGTGAAGGCTTCCGCTTTTCGACATGGAGGAAGACATATATACGCTTGAAATCGCGTCAGAATATGGAAACTCTCGGGGTCTTTAGCTTACAGTACCTACAGAGGTTTAAGGCGCGACGGTGCTTGCCCCCACGTCATTCTGAAACCTATGACAGCGATGTCTACCCTTCTCAATGGGCATCACGTGGGTGGACCTTCCAAGAGGAGCTTATGTCCCCCCGACTACTCATATTTGCACGGGGTGATGTTTTCTTCGGCAGCGGTGAAGAAAGGCACCACCGATCAGGATACCTGGGGACGCACCTGGCGCATGGCCTCCAGGGCATCCTAGAGCCTGGCGCGTGGTATGCCATGTTATCTAATTATAGTAAGCGCTGGAAGGGATTCTCACGTACCTCGGACATTCTACCTGCTCTCTCTGGGCTAGCTGCGGTCGTCATTAGAGAGACAGGAATGACCAAAGAGGACTATATAGCAGGTCACTGGAGGCATATGTTATACGCCGATCTCGTCTGGAAAATAGTAAGCGTTTGCGCTCATCAAAGGCTACGCAGTCTCGAAAATTTTCTCGATTCCCTTAACGAACCAAACGCAAGCACGGATTTGACCCCATCGTGGTGCTGTGTGGGCAAGCGCAGAATAAAATTCGACCACGCAGAGATGTTCTGGGTCTCGTCAGCTCGGCCAAAGTGCAAAACTGAGGCATGGGTTACCCTCAAAGGAGAGAACCGTCTCGGTGAAGTACAAAGTGGCACAGTACGAATTACAGGGAAGCTTGCTCCTTTGGAATCGGATTTGGAGCAGCTGTACAGGCCCAGCGGTGGCATTTATCTATTGCGAGGGCCCTGGAAATTAAGATCAAAGAACGATGGCGACCCTCCCTGGATCTTTTACCTGGACTGGGATCCGTGGCAAGACTTAGTAGTAGATCGGGGAAAGCTGAAAATGCTCCTTACGGGAAGTCGGGCTCTACCTGACGTCGACCTTGCCCTTAACCGTCTGTGTTACTTCGGGATCCTCGTTCACGAGTCCACGCGGGCGCCAGGGAAGTTTTACCGTGTTGGCTGTTTTTCTACTGACCCTAGAGATCGTACTTGCCGAAACACAGACGATCAGTACTTTGACAGATATCCGATACAGACGATCGATATCATTTAGTCAAGGGTCTTTCTCTTCATTGTCACTCATCGCTATTGAGACGGTGGCGGAGGTGTCGGCGGTGGGATGGGAATCGGAACCGCATGAAACAGGAAAAATGGTATCCCAAGACTTCGAGGTGAGAGGCGTCCTTTATTCTTTCTTTCGCTTCTTCACATTTTCATGTTCACAAGTCAAGTTCATCAGTTTCAGCCGCGAGGGGAAAGGTCGGAGTGCGGCTGGTCTTTCCAGACAAATTCCCTCCCGAGTTCGCCTTCCCTCCTCAGAAGTCAGATGAGAAGTTGAGACTGAGGTTTAATGTGGATTCCACACTTGACACATGCGACATGGGGTCAAAAGCGGAAGTTGGGACCCGCACAGCTGCAACATTGATCAGTCAATGTTAAGTTTAGCATATGCACCTAATAAAGTTAGTGGGGTTGAGCCCCTGCGCCTTCTTAATTTCAGTGGGTGGGCCACTAAACCAGCTGTCCGCGGCTGCCTAATGGCCAATGCAGTCCACTATACTTCGTACAAAGGTAAATGTCAATTGATTCTTCCTCGCACCAGCCGCAGGAAAAGGAAGGGGCAGAAGACAATGATTTCATCATCACCAAATGTTTTGCTTTAGCTCTTTCCCTCAACCAATCAACTCGCACTCTGCACTTCATCATGTCATATCGTTATCAATCAATTTGATCTTCCATCTCAACCCCAATTCAGCATCACGTCCAAGCTGCATTTGACCCAGATCAATCATCCCCCTGCCCTGTGTCACACTGCGTCATCCTGTTCGGTGTCTTCTTCCCTCGCTTAGATTTCCAACCTTCCATCGCTGGCTGAACACCGACATCATGACCACCAATTGCTTCTCCTCCACCGCGCCCTTATTCCCGGCCTTCTAGTCAACCATTTAACCCACCATGTCGACCGAAAGCTCCCCCGAGGGCTCGGGGCCCTCTCCTCGCCGCCCTTCCCTCAGTTCCAATCGATCCCGTATCCCACCGCCCCAGTCCCCCCGCCCCCAAGACGCCGACAACTCTGCCGCCGAGAACGAGATCCCAGACTTTACCACCCCCATCACCGTCACGAGTTCCGATCCCACAGCTTACGCGACGGGTCTCCGTCGCCGTGCTACAACAGCTACAGCCTTCCGCCCCTATGAGAACTACGACGACAACGATTTCAACTGGCCAGGATGGCACCCCGGAAGCGAGCCAGGCGTCGACCCAGCCATGCCCCACGGCGGGCATCCGTCTATGACGGCGCTGAACACGCTGTGCGAGATTACAGTCGTGGACATGTCGCAGGATCGAGTCGAGGTGAAGAATTTCGAAAACGACGACTTTATCGAGTTTATGAAGGAGGAGGAGCCGGAGTGGTCGCAGTGTCGGTGGATTAACGTCAACGGCATTAGTTGGGATGTGATTCGGGCTGTGGGGAAGCATAAGAATCTGCACAAGCTCGCCATTGAGGATATTCTAAACAAGTTCAACCGGACGAAATGCGACTGGTAAGTTGAGCGGGAGAAGAGGGCAAACGGCAAACGGCAAAGAAGTCAGCCATCCGCCTTGAGAGAAACACGGGTCTAACGCGAGTGCATGAACAAACTAGGTATCCGAGCCACGCCTTCATGGTCATGACTCTTCAGAAGCTTGTTCGCGTTATCGACCCTGACGAATCCTCCGACTCCGACTCCGATTGGGATGATCTCGTCGATCGAAATACCTCCTCCATCTCTTCCGCCGCCTCTGTGAAATCCATGCCCGTTCGGACCTTCCAACGCGCCACACAAAAAGTGAAGCGCTTCTTCCGCCGCAACCGGCGCAACTCCCTCACCGACGCCGAAAAGGACCTTCCCCCCAACTCCACCAACGACGCATCCAACAACAACAATAGCAGCGGAGCGGATGTTAACGTGCTCTCAGCTATAGACGTCATGCCGAACCTGCTGTCTCTGCAACGGTACCGCGCGTCGAATCTAGCGCGCTCCGAGTTCATGGAACGCCACTCGTCGCTCTCGTCCCGGGGGCTTGCCGTGTCGGCCGAGCAGGTAGCTGTGTTCCTCAACTCGGACAATACCGTCATATCCTTCTTCGAGCTGTCGGCCGACGACGTCGAGAAGCCTATTCTCAAGCGCCTGTCCACACGCGGCACCATCCTCCGCCAATCCTGCGACGCGTCACTCATCGTGCAGGCCATCATTGACGCCATCATCGACCTCGCCGTGCCGCTGACGGCCGTCTACCAAGAAGTCATTGGCGACCTCGAGCTAGATGTCCTCACCACCCCAACCATCCAGCAGAGCCGAAGCCTGTACATCATCATCAGCGAGATCAACAAGATGCTCTCCTTCCTCAACCCTATCGATAACCTCGTCTCCGTGCTCCGCGACCACCGAACGAACCTCACCCAGGAACAGCTCACCACGACGACTGTCCTCCAAAATACCGGCACAGGCGTCATTGTCACGCCTTTAACCTACACATATCTCGGCGACGTACTTGATCAGTGCCTCGTCGTCAGCGAGGCCCTGCAACAGAGCAAGCAGTCGGCCGAGAACTTGATTAATCTTATTTTCAACACCATTTCGGCGGCACAGAACGAGACGATGAAGCAGTTGACCAATGCGACGATTGTGTTTTTGCCATTGACTTTTTTGACGGGGTATTACGGGATGAATTTTAATGACTTTTCCGATTTGGACAAATCAACTCGTTTCTTGTAAGTAACCAAGTAGACACCCTCACCGCCCCCATCCCGTCTCTCTTTCTCTTTCCTTATATTTTTTTTTTCTCTTTTTCTTTTTTTTTTTTTTTTTTTTTTTTTTTTCTTTTTTTTTATTTTTTTTTTTTTTTCCTTCAACCTTGTTCTGATGACTTTCTTGAAATAGCTGGTCTATAGCCATCCCCACCGTTGTTGCTACCATCGTCGTCCTCATGAGGACTCTTCTGCTCTCATGGGCCACATCTTTCGCCCAGAGGCAGCATATCAGATTGACGAGGAGGAAGAACAGGAAACGGAAGAAGGCGGACAGGAAACGTAGGCGAGAAGGGGCTCGGTAGTTGTGAGGAAACCAGTCGTTTTCACTATGCTTTGGGATTGGTCTGTATTCTTGATTTGTATTATCTCGGAGCATGTATGTAGATATGGATTGGATTTATGTGGATTAGAAGCAGGACTATGAGCGAAAATATGGACATGAGTGATACCCGCAACCTCGCCGATCATACACAAGATGCTTCTCAACGTTCCTTCCCCTTTTACCTCGCAGAATCTTGACCATCTCACTTTCCTATCTCACTTTCCCGTCTCACTTTCCCGTCTCACTTTCCCTCCTTCAACCTCTGCCTCGTCCGCGCAACCAGCACCCCGATTTGTGCCCACCTCCTTAGCAAAACTTCCCTCTGTTCCCTCAACCCAACGTCCATGCCCTCCAACTCCTCTATCCTCCCCTCAATAACCCCCAAATACCCCCTCAACACCTCCTCGCCCAAAAACGCATCCACCCTCCTCTGCGCCTCCCTACCACTCTCCCACCCATCCACAAACGCCCTCCAACCCACCCCACACGCGACCCTCAGCGCCACCTGCGTCCGATAACACCCCGCCACGCCCTCATCGAGCCTGTACCGCCCCCAGAACCTCAGATCCTCGAGGACCTTCCTTCCGCGGGCGTCGATGCGCGGTTCGAGGACTTCGTCGAGAGAGATCTCGTCCCATGAATTGTTCTGGGGCACGAAGCCGTATTCTGCGAGGAGGAAGTCGCTGCTGTGGCGCCCGTAGCAGATGTACACTTCCTCACCGACACCGTAGGGTCTATCGGCCGTGATGGTTAAGCCCGAGGACGAAAACGTCTCCTTGCACCCGGAGGAGGCATGGTTGAGCAGATCCGCCACGGGAATCATGACCATCCTATCCGAAGGGTGCAAAGATCTAGTCGACGGCGTAACATGGTAGAAAGACCTCGTATTAACCAAAAACCAATGCCACGCATAACTCTCCCTACTCAGCACGCCACCGAAAGCAGCTTCCACTATCGCCCAATCCGCCGCGAACTTTTCCCTCTGCGCGCGCACGAGATCCCTCGCCGGCCCCGGTAAATAGAGTTGCAGCTCCTCGGGGAAGAAGAAAGGCGTGGAGGCTCGGAAGTCGGAGAGAGACGGGAAGACGGCGCGCCAGGGGGCGGTGGGGTAGTCGTCGTTGGCGAAGATGAGGGCGAGGGAGGCGGCTAGGAGGCCGTGGATGCTGATGCGGGGAAGTTTGCGGGAGATTGTGGGCGGGATGGAGGTGTGTGTGTGGAAGGCTGTGAGGGGGACTTTTAGGATGACTTCTCCTGCCTTTTTAGGTCGGGACGTTAGGGAAGGGATTCCTGGATATATGAAAAAGGGGCGGCGGAGAGGGAAACGACGGGTGAGAGAAGAAGCAGAAGCGAAGGGGCCAAAAAAGGGGGGTCACTCACTTTTATGGGACGGGTCGCTAGGACTCCTATACCCTGACCTGGAATCCGTTGCGGAGATATGCCGTTGAGGACGATGCCTTTGGCCGCAGCCCATTCGAGGAGGTCCTCGGCGACAGACATGGTCGTGATAGTGAGAGGAAGCGTCTGTAGATGAGCCGGCAGCGGGATGACCTTGATTCGCAGCGTCGTTAAGGTTTTCGCGGTGAGGCAGGAAGAACCCCTTACTTGGGCGCCATTACTTAAAAGGGCTCAAGGGACAAGAATTGAGAAATATTAAGTATTAATTAAGTTAATGAGGAGATATTACACCCCGGTGAAGGGATGCTTCCGTATAAGATGTTTTTCATTTCTCTTGATGGTCGAAGCTTCCGAAATTGAGTGAGTTCTGTGACATCAGAGTATCACGTGACGTTGGGCTCCGCTCGCGATGGAGACTTTTGGGGAAGGAGCAAGCAAACCTGTTTCTTAAAGGGGAAAGAGATATCGTGTCATTGAAGTCCTTCTGGGTATGGAATGGGTTTCAATAGTAATACACTACTTCCATAGTATTCATGTGCTTGCACGCTTCTATCCGCGTGAGCTAGATCAAGCATCGAGTAAAATGCCTCTATCGATCCAGTTATCCGATCTCAATCCAGACAAAAATCCCCCAAAACGCCGTGACTGATGATCCCTCCAGTCGAGAAAGTCCCCTCCCAATTTTCCCAAATATTCCATGACGCAAAAGATAGCTGTTATAATCGTTCATCCTCCCCTTCATACCCCGTCCCTCCGCCTATCCCCCCTCCTCGGCACAGCCGGCTCCCTCGCCTCCTTCCGCCCATACAACCGCCTCTGCACCCAATACCCCACCTCCTCCTTTCCATACCTCACCATCTCCCCCAACGGCACATCGAACACTGCATCCAGCTCCTCTAGCGTCCTTCCCTTCGTCTCCGGCACGAGGAACAGCACCATGAAGAACCCGGCCACGTTCCACGCCGCATACCACGTGAACGCGCCGACGTTGGTGAAGGCCGCCTGCAGGCTGGGCCAGGTGACGGCCAGCACGAAGTTGAAAAACCACGTCGTGGCGGTGGCGATGGACATGCCGAGGGTGCGCAGGCGGAGGGGGTACGCTTCGGCTGAGTAGGTGAAGGGGACGGGGCCCGCGCCGGGGGAGTAGACCATTCCGAAGACGTAGATGCCGGCGGCTATGCAGACGATTTGGATTACTGTTGCTTGGGGGAGAAGGAAGCTGAAGCCGGTGAAGAGGAGGGCCGCCGCCATCATCTAGGAAGGTTAGCAGACAAGGAGATGAGGTCTCGGGGAAAGGGCAACAAAAATAAAAATAGAAATAAAGCAATAGGAAAAAAATGGAAAGAAGGACAAGCAGAATAAAAATTCCATATGCTTTCATATGAAATCGACTTACCGGAAACGTGGCGAGCAAAAGGTATCGCCTACCAAACGTGTCGATGGTATAAAACGCCGGCATGGCAAAGACAAAATTGATTATTCCAAACCCCAAAGACGCCGTATACGCATCCCGATGCGAAAAGTTGGCCGACAAAAAGATTTCCGACGAATAATACGCAATAACCTACCCAAGCCTGTCGTCAGCAAAGAAAGCGATAGATAACTGTCTTTGCGTGAGAAATCGCCTTACGTTGACACCGCTGAACTGCTGCATAAACATGACAATCTCCGACGCCAAAAGCGCATTCCGATTCCTCCGATGCCTAACCAGCTCCCCGATCCTGCTCGACTTGGCCCCCTCGATGTCCCGCTCGGTTTTGAGGAGAGTGTGCGCGTAAAAGAGATCTCTCGCGGCCTGCACCTTGGTCGAGCGCAGCTTCACCATGGCGTGGTAGGCCTGGTCGTGGCGGTTCTTGGTGAGGAACCAGCGGGGGGATTCGGGGCCGAGGAAGACGAGGGCGCAGGCGACGAGGGCGGGGATAGCGGCGCTGCCCATCATGAGGCGCCAGGCGAGGCCGGTGATGCCGTTGTCCGGGACGTCAAGGAAAGCGAGGTCGGCGATGTAGCCCAGCTACTTGGGGTTAGTTCTGGTTGTCATGGAGAGACGAAGGTGGTGCTTGACTGTGGATACTTACCATTATCCCGAACGCGGTCCATACTTGCCATTGCTGGTTCCGTTAGTTGGCGCGTTGGGAGGGGGAAGGAGGAGGAGACATTACCATGGTCAACGCCCCACGAATCTCCTTGGGTGCGCATTCGGCCGCAAAGATAGCTGTAACAAGAGTCAGTCAAGCGAAGAGACATACCTCCGAAGTAGCAGGACGAGCTTACGAGCTGTAGCAGATTTGGGCCCGATCCCTAGACCAAGGATGAAGCGGGAGACGAACATGGCCTGCCAACTGTTCGTAAAGGCCTGCCAAATACATGCGAAAGCAGACACTAAGTAGGGTATCGTTAGTATTCGCAGCTGAAGCCAAGGAGGTCAAGTTTGACATACCAGCGCAAGAGATGAAGATGGTACCTCGCCTCCCGAAGACCTTGTTCATAGGCTCCGTCAACCCTTCGTGCAACGTCACGTCAGTATCTCCGTCAAGACATGTCGTACATAGGAAAGTCGAATACGTACAACACCCGATGAAGGCGCAGCACAGGTATGGAGCAGCATTCGTCAGTCCGAGAAGCCAGGTATCCCGGTACGAATCTCCGCCGATGCCGAATTGGTCCTTGTATATGGACTGCGCGCCGTTTACAACAGTCTCATCTACCATCGTTAGCTATTTGAAAGGCAAATTCGATAGGCAGGAGGAGACCTTACCCATTCCCTGGACAGCGGCGCACACAGAACAAACTACTACAGCATTAGCTGGACAACGCTCCCTATCCATGCCAACAAACCATTCAACTCACTCGCAACAACGTAGTACAGCATCAGCGGCTGCCTCCACTTATGCGTCCCCTCCCTAACAAGCGCCATCTTCTCCCCCTCCTCCAACCCCTCCACCTCATCATACATGTCCCTCAAATCCGCCGCCGACGCGCCCTCGGCCTTGGCCCTATCCAACAAGCCCGCCGCTATAGCGCCCATCCTAAAATGCCGAATATCCCGCTCGTCGCGCAGCCCCAGCGCGTTCTCGGCGTAGTCGCGGCCCATGTCGGCGAGGCGGGCGTGCGTCTTGTGGGCTAGCGGGTGGGTCGTCTTGCTGCGCTGCGTGGGGAGGAGCTGCCATTCGTCATTTTCGTCGTCGGAGTCGCCGTCTATGGGGCCGATTTGGCCGAGGTGTAGGGCGGAGGCGGCATCGTCGGAGTCGGAGATGCGGAAGTCGGAGGAGGTGGAGGAAGGGGTCGGAGGCAGCTTGAGCTCGGCTTCGGAAGAGGACGTGGATGCGGCGATTAGGCCATCCGTTGGGGATGGGGAGTTGCGGCCGGAAGAGGGGGGCATTGTGCGTGTCGTCTGGATTCGGCGCGATGGCTATAACGCATCGCAAGCGTTCGGGTTGTGCCTAGATGGGCATTGATCGTTTTGGCCTCGTTGGCGTTGGTTGTCGATTTGGATTTGAGGCGCCGATTACGCATGTCGATTGGATGGCACAGCCTCGTTGATCAGATCAGAGGTTCGGGTCGTTTTAGGGGGTCCAAGCTCCCACTGAGGCCCTCGGATTGGTGGATCCTGAGGCTATCCAGGGCATTGGGACTCTTAAATTAGTGAGTGTTCCAGTGGGGGGCCCTAAAATGCAACCCTGCCAGGCCGTCAACAGCTTAGCTCAGCCCAACAATCTGGGGAAGGCGCCGGCCAGGATAGGATAGGAGCCTCATCCATCGTCATCGAGGAGTCGATCCCACATGCTTTCTCCTCTCGGCTTGGAGCATCGGGAGGGCTATCAACCACGTCTCGGGAGCTCAATTACCGCATCCCCCAGCTTCACCAGAGGTCCACAATTCGAGATATGGGTGAGAGTGCCCATTTCCAACGATAATCCGTCTCGGGGTGGCATCAGCTGGAAATATCTACCCACCTCAACATCGTAGATGGCCTGGTCCTGTCCAGTCATTCATCCCTTCCAGATATCTACCCAGGTGGTCCGCGACCGGTAAGAGGGCCATATATAGCCCATAACACCAGATCCAAGGGCCATATCCCAGAATCGGGCCGTAAGACGATCGAATTCATGATGTGCTGCTATCGCCACTCGAATCTCAGACGTATGCGGTTAAAGCACCCCGAATCGCTGCGACGGCTCCGGTCACTCCATCTTGTCTCGTGATTGCGGATGCCCCATTCTAAATATATCCTTAAATTCATTCTTCCAGCTATTATATCTATCTTTCTCCGGAAACTAGATCCAAGATAGCTTCTCCCCACGCCATCTGCTAGCCATCCGTCACCTCCCGCGGGGACACTCTCTGATAAGTTCCGGACGACGGTCTCCAGGTAAAAGTCGCCTTATTTTTGATTATCATTGTGAATTCAGACTATGAAACTGTACGGTGAATTTGGGCAATCTTGACTACTAAAAATAAGATCAGCCACTTTCCATATCACCAGCAGACGAAACTGCAGACTTGACTAGATTGGAAGCCGAGATTGTCTCCTCGGAGTATTACACTACCGAATGAGCTCGGTTCGGACGTTGGAAGACTTGCCGTTCCTTGACCCGGTGCTTCCCTCCGCTAGAAATACTCTTTCTCATACTTCTCCTAGCCCCGGGCAAGTCGTCTACGGTGACGATCTTTCTGGAAGAGCTGGCGACCTCTCCGAGCGCATGTCCATAAACTCGCCGCATTAGCCTGTCCTCCGCCGCATTTAGTACGCACCAGAGCATTCTCTCTTGCTTTGCCCCAATGCCTCTTCATTCCAGGGCTTGGATCGCGTCGTAGCCTTGGGACTGGGGGTGAATCTTTATTCCGCTAAAAGCCGTCATTGACTGGACTCACCCCAATCCAACATTCCTTATTTCACCCCCCTGCCTCAGAGGTATTGAGCAAATCGACATGTTCACCACTGCCGTTTTCTAAACTTAGAACTAGGTGACCACAGTTTCCGCGAATGATTTTCCACCTACGAGCGGGACCGAGGCGTCCCCAGGGCATCGTATGGGCATATTGGGTACAATACCGTTCGCTCCCTTTGCGACACTTCGCTTCCATCTCAATCCCCGAGCCGTCGTTGCAATACCGCTCCTGTGGCAACATCCTCCGTGCCTGGTCTGCCGCTTATAAAGCATTGCTCTCTCGCCTTCCAGGTCTTTTCTAGGTGCAAGTGCGTAATCCCCTTAAGCCATTCTCACTCGCTTTTCCAACGGGTTTATTTAAGTGAACACAGAGCTAGAACTGCGCATTCTTCATGGGCCAAGCTCACTCTATTCCTCTCGTACCACTAGCCACCTCGTTCATCAAAATGGGTGAAGCTAGTGCGAGCCGTGTCCTAACTATGGCAACTCAGATATTGCGCGTTATAGCAAGACCCGGCCGGAGATTGGACCTCGTCAATTCTTGATAATCCTCCGCTTTACATCTATTCATTTACCGGCGTCGGATGAATAAACCCGTCAACTGGGAACAATATCATCAATTGTCTTTGCCGAACCTGACTTAGGGCAAACATCCAAAATGCAGGTTGGATTCCGACATCAGCTCTGGTGCTTGTTCAGACCTGGTGTGAGCCAGCCCATCTCTTTCTTTCGGCCCGGGTTTTCCTGAGAGTTTGCGGACTACACGCTCAAAGACCATCTTACCCGAGGCATCTATACACTCGTTTACGTCGAGCTATGCAAGGCAGGTGTACCTAGTTCTCAGGACACCCAAGCGATGTAGAATGTGCGGGCTTCGCCTACCCTCTTCACCCTTTACCGGCATGGGTTATCCATTATACGAGGGGCTCATGCCGGGGGGTGACAATAAGAACGGGATGCTCAAAAGAGGAAATAGGATCTTTTCCTTCTCACTAATAGCAGGTTTATTCTGCCCCTGGCCCCTTTCTCTATCCATCAGGATGTCCAGGGCCACGCGGCATTTACAAATAGCATGGGTCTCCTAGCCACCCCCGAAGGGTACAAAATCAGGAACCGGGAACCGGGTATGCAGGATTACCTGCGCTAACAAAACACTCGGTCGAAAAACAAGGTTGCCCGAGAAGCACACAAGCATTGCGTTGGATGGGGTGGCATTCAGGACGGAATCACGTTGAAGAAATGTTCGAACCAAGAATCCCACCTCATATGCTTTTTTAGCTTGACGGATTGGTTCGGCTGAAAGTAGACTTTGAAGGCTATTGTTTCTCACCCATATACATTTTTTTCCCTTCCTCAACTTTTCCCATCCAGATTTAGTTCCTTTTCCCCTTATCTTTTTATCATCCCCCTCCTTAGTTTCCTGAGCCGAGAGATGTAATGATTGGATGGGGCTGAGATCAAGTCGAGAGACGGTCGACTTTACCCGCCGGACCGGAACCAAACAAGAACACCAACCACGACGAAATAAGGAAAGAGAAATCGCCAAAAAGTATATTTCCCATACGAACCGTGGGCCCGGCGACCGCAGGCGTGGGATAAACTGGGCCCCCCTGGTCATTCCCGACGGACTGGGCTTGTAGAATCCAATCACCCCGCCGCCGTCACCCACTTTCGTTCTTTTGTCAGGGAGTTCATCCCGGAGAGCAAAGACAAGTCTAACTTGGGGGGATGTAAAAATAACAGCGGCAGGACATTAAGTCGGAAGGGACCCACCGCAACTTAACCTTGTTCGGGTTTTCGTCGTATGCTTCACCATCCCACGACGTGATAGCGAGCGGGAAAAGGCTTGTTCATGCGCACATCCACCTAGCTTGCAGAAATGGGAGCTGGTGTTTGGGGACGGGAATTACGAAGAGAGAGAGAAGAGAGCAGGACCTGCGTGTCTTGGCTGCCGGGATTTACGGGTGGACATCGGTTGGCCATTCGTCATGACGGGATTCCATCCTGAACCGAGCTATACTCCCCTACCCCCCTTCTCTCTTCCATCTCTCTGTCTCTCTCACGAAGATGACCTCGCCTAGGGGTGTTCGCATTTTTATGGCGTACCCTCCCATTTCCGTATGTACCGTTCAATAACCGTTCAGGCAAGAAAGGGCCTGGCTGCTCCTTTTTTTGGTCTCTCATGGGCGTTGCCTGGAAGGGAAATGTTACCCACCTTTCTCCCTCGCCACGAAGTCGATATTCTCCGACGGGTGATGCGTCTCGCGAGTAATTAACACACACACACCACAACCATAAAACAGGCGAGTACGTCGTGAGAACGGAAGTAGATACTGCCCGAAAGGGAGGAGATAGACCAAAACTGCAGCCAGGCATTCGAGCTAGGAGACGCGGCCTGGATCCTCGATAACAAGGTTTGTTTCTTAGACGGGAAGAAAGGGCAATGGGCCTTTGCATCCGACGTAGGCACACTCCTAGAATACTCTTCTTTTTTTTCTTTCCCTTTCCACACACCCCCTCCCTCATCCTGTTCCCTATAATGGATGAGGTGATGTGGCAAGGGCGGGACTAATACGAGGCGATTCCGGGTCGTTGTGATCTGATCGGGGGAGGTTGGTTGGAGTAAGTGTATATAAATGAGGACACAGCCCCGGGGTTTTCTCCTTCTTTGCTCGTTGAAAAAGCTAGGTCCATCTTCAAGTCTCTTGCTGCTCTCTATCCCACCTAGTCATTCGCTTTTCCGGCTCAAGTATTTATCTGCATTCCCTTCACCGACCGAGCATAGCCCGTATAGCATCTCACATATCTGTCATGCAACTCACAACCACCCTCCTCACCCTCCTCGCCGCCGCCGGGGTGTCCGCACAGCGAAACCGCTGGAGGACGACCCAGGCGCCCTCTCCTACGCCGCCTCCGCCTCCGCCTCCCCGCGGCGCCACGCAGAGCATGTGGGGACAATGTGAGTGTAACTCTCAAAACATTTCCAGCCACCATTCCAGTAGACATCTAGCTGACTCTGTAACGAAAGGTGGTGGAAGGGACTGGGAATATGCTACGGCTTGCGTCTCGGATGCCTACTGCTACAACGACGGCGAGAAGTAAGTCTCCATGTTCCGCGACGAGAGAAACGCCAGAAAGAGAAAACGGAAATGAGGTTTCTAACTTGGTTTTTTAGTGAATGGTACTCCCAATGCGTCCCCCTCGAAAACCAGAACAACCCTCCCCTCAACGAAAACCCCGACGTCGAAACTCGCATCCTCACCACAATCTTCGACGTTCCCGGACCGACGCCCACCATCCTCACGACCTACATCACCATCTACACGTCGGTCGAGCCGGCGCCGCCGCCCGCGGTGACCATTACGGTGATTCCTGATACGCCTATCCAGCCTAAGCAGAAGCGGTGGGATGCGTGATGATGTTTTGGGTTGGTGGGGAGCGGAGTTGAGAGTGGGTTTCTTGTAACTGTAGGAGTGGGTTTGGGGTTTGATGAAAACCGGGTGTCTGGTTCCTATTTTCTTTTTACTTTCCAAATTTCTTTTTATATCTAACATGGGTATATACCAGCACAAGGTAATGCTACTAATAAAATCTATGTAATCATGATTTTCTTTGGGGATTTTCATGGGGAATGTGAATATGATGAAAGCAGTCAGTTTATCATCACCACAGGTGAGAGAAAATCAACATTAGGCGAGGAGACAAACGCTGACGGCACAAGCGACCCTCGGTCAGACCTGAAGAGACGCGACGGAGAGGCTTCCATACTAACTAACATCAAAAAGAAGGAGAGGAGCCTAAAAATGGCAAGAAAAATAAAAGAGGAGGCAGGGAAGGCAAAAATGCAAGTCCAAAAGCAGAGAGATTCTCTGTAACGGACAAAAAGAGAAATTGTCGCTCCAGGCGGGGGTCGAACCCGCAACCTTTGGATGAACTCACTTCAACTTGCGTTAAAAGTCCAACGCACTAACCAATTGTGCTACCGGAGCGAGCTGTACTTGTTGTGTGGATGTCACTGCCAAATGGCGCCTAAACAGCATTGCCATCTTAGTCAGAAAATGCGAACAGTTCCACAGCTGAATCGTTCAATTGCTCCAGGCAACCGGGACTAGAGGGGAGCAGTAGGACTCGACCCCGCGTCATTAGCTCAGGACATAAGCTTCTTGATTTAACTCCTCCACTGAGGGGGATCGTGGAGAGGAACAGGGGGAAGAATAAGAGGAAAGGAGACGAGTACTATCGAGGAGTTCTTCTTGTATGATCCAGACACAAAACGTTACTTTTTCCCGCCCCTGGATGTGCGTATTTTACATGTATTTACCAGCCTAGTTTATCTGTTTCAAGCTCTGCTGCGCTTGGCTGCATCTCACGATGATCCTTTCAAGATCGTCCCTTCCGTCCCTCCATCGCCAATGATCTCCCTTCTCAGCATCGAAACAATCCTATCATTAAACGAACCCCAACCTTTCCAAACATCAAGCGCAAACAAACAATTCAATCAATCAATTAACAATCACATATGCGTCGGTGTCATGATTGCTTGCACCTACAGGTTTCCTCTCTCGTCACGTGATGATTCTTGGGTCGCGGATGCCAAGATCCCATGCGAATGAGGCTGGTCAAAAAGCAAAGGCTGGATGGTTGGACTTAATCTCGTCGGCGGCAAATCCGCCATCATCCTACTTCGTATGTCCTGAGGAGTCCCTGCCTTGTCCTACCATTTTAAATCCAGCCCGGTATACCGGTTCCATTCCACCTCTTTGAATTTTCCCGTGAAGCTCTGCAGCTCAACGACCGCTTCACCCCAGCCGGTCTTGGCGACGCGCAATCAACCTCTTGTGTGGCGAACCTCACCCAAACCAAGCGAACAAGCACCACCGACAACACAATCTACTCTCAAAGATAAAGCTGCGCCGTCGCAGGCTTCCCCCCCAAAATACTACCTGCCAGCGATGACGACGGCGCGAGACGAGCGAAACCATCAGGAATGGTACGGCTTCGACACGGGCCCTCCACCGGGCGCCAACGCAGCCCCTCCGCCAGGTTACTACCAGAACCAGCCGCCAGCATACCAGCAGCAACCGTATCCGACCCAGAGGCCGCAATGGGTGCCAGTCACGCAGGTCCGGAGGCCGAGGCGGAAGTGGTCGCGGACGAACTCGGTTCTTCGACAGATATCCACGGTGTTACCGATCGTCATGATTATCCTCATAAGCTACCTGTATATCCGGGCGCATTATCGGATGCCGATGGATTTCCCTGCCGATAACATCATTTGGGTGCCGTTGTATACTGTTCTTCCTTTGGTAGGTTTTTAAAAGAAACGCTCTAAAAAATGTGGGGAAAGGGTGGAAGAGCTAACTCGGGAGGTTCCAGTCGTTCGCGAACCTAGTGTGGTCGGTTGTCATCATCGCCGTCGCTAGAAGAGCAGAGCACAGAGGGAAGCCCATGCCGGCGATGCTGCAGTTTGGGGTTGAGCTGGTTCTCGCGGTCGGTGCCATGGTGTGTTTTGCCGTTATGGTGTGGTATTTGCAGAAGACGTGGGACGATTATTCGCTGGTGTCTTCTACGCATTCTCTTGGATGGCTGCTCGGTTTGCAGATGTGAGTTGCCTCTTCTCTCTCTGTTTTTCCCCCTCTTTTTTTTCTCTCTCTCTCTCTCTCTCTCTCTCTCTCTCTTCCTTCTTATTCCTGCTTGCTGTTCGCTGTTCTGAGTTGTGGGCTCTGGCCCTCTCTCGAGGAATTCGGATGTTTGAAGCTGACTAGGGCACAATAGGATTGCTAGCACAGCGCTATGCGTCATTGCTGGGCTGAAGATGAAGAATGAGCGCAAAGAGAGGGCGCAGCAGGAAGAGAGTTATGTTATCCGGTAGTAAGAGGTATCGTACCTCGTCATGGGACGAGGATCTACGCCGTGTTCCCCGGTCGATCCGTGGTTACAAAGACAGGATGTAATATTTTACTAGTATAAAGTGCGATGTGTTTGTTTCACTGTTCTTCTTTTTTCCTTTCCCTTTTTCTCACGTCCAGATGAAGCTATCGTTTTCAGGGTTTGTTATCATAGTCGGGTTTTCAGTGTCCTTTTGGTTGTCATGGCCGGCCATTTTTTTATTCCTTGGTTGGTTATACGAGCTTCTCCAGAAGAATGGAAGAGAATAGAAGAATACCCCTGGGATGGAGAAATTTCTTTCAAGCGGAATTCCGCGCTTTGGACATATTTCATTGAGAGAGAGTTTAATAACACGCAAACGAATCTGGTTTCTCTTGCACCTTACAACAAGTTTTAAATCTGCTTGCCGGGTGACCACATGGGACAAGGGCGGGTACCCGCGAGTTTGGGTTTCGAGTAAGACCTTTTGGCTGCAGTGGAGATGAAGGGGCGGGGAGGGCGTTTGACTTGGCGCTTTGGTGGTAGGAGGTGTTATACTACGAAGTGTCAATGGGGAGGGTGCTAGGGGGGTTTGAGGCACTGGAACTTGGAAGGGATGGTGAGGTCATAGAGAACACGGACGGTAATGGACGAACGCATGAAAATGCGAGGCTGTGCCCTTCGTCTTGGCGATCCGAGAGTCCCGGCCGAGGGCTGGAGATCTTCTTGGGGGATCTCCTCGAGGGGAGATCATGGAGAGGATTTTTGGCATTCTTCTTCGGACGCCGCCTCTATTACCACCTTGAAGAATCCTCTGTCCTCTGTCTGCCCAGACCCGGGTTTCCTGACACTCCTGTCCTCTTTCCCAAGATTCTACGAAGTACCCTAATTGGCAATTCAGCTTTGTAATGAAGCTGTCAAAAAGGTTTTAAGCCTCATGCCTTATTCGGAGAATGGTTCGGTCTCATCACCCCTTTCGGAGAGCCCCGATTCAATGTTCCATCGAGCTGAACCATTCCCCCCTTTGCCCTTGATCGAGAGTCGGCAAGAGCTACCGAGGAGCCTGGACCCAAGAAGAAAAAGAAAGACAAAGAAAATGATAGACTGTAACTCAACATGGATCTTCTTCGTCTGAGTCGGGTTCAATTGATTATCAGGGAGTGTGCAGTAAGCGGGGACGAGACGGATGGCGTCTCAAGACGAGCCAGGGTGGGGATCTGTTCCCCCGCTATGGATCACCGCGGCTCTTTCTCCGTCTTTCTTCTCGGGGCCGGAGGAATTTGAAGAGAAGAGAAAGGCCGAGGGAAGCGAATCGTTTGGCCTAGCGTAGATCTCCATGGGTTCCGGATGAACTGATGTTTGTTCATAGCAGAAGATGGGAGAAGTTGACGGCCAATTATGCGACTCGCGATTCTGCAAAACATCTTGAGAAAGGGCATCGCGGAACCACGAGGAGACCAGAAATGCGACCGAAGCGCCACCAAATCCAACGAGCCGCTGAGATCATTGGTGAGGAAGCATCAAAGAGCTCCGTGATGAACGAGAATAGAACGCTAGTAGTGCAGCTGCAGCGCGGTTGGCGCCTTGCTCCCGCTTCACTAGGCCCTGTGGGCCACTGAATTTGTGCAGATGTGGCGTGTCGGACTGTGGCTTTTAGTGGGTGCGTTAGTGGGTGCGTTAGTGGGTTTAATGTCCTTTAGCGCCCTCTGTCAAAACCCCAGTGTGGAGGAAAGGTCCTCTTTTGCTCCTCAACGTCTCTCGTCGTAGATTGATGGAACTCCTCTTGGCCCCAAAGCGCAATCGGCAATTGCAACTAAGATTTTAAGATTTGCAGAGAGCAAATATGATTGTCTTCTCCTTTCCTTTTTTCCCTTCCTCACGGAAATCAACGGCTCGCCCAAGGAGCCCCTGTCTTGGCGTGAGTTTCATCTGATGGCACCTGCGAGCCTGTGAAACAGCGTTTGGATCCTCAGATTTGCAGCAGGGTACTGTGGGGGCATGAAGTTACTGTAGAGTGACACTTTCTAGAGTATATTTTGCTGGAATTATATGTACTAGTACCTTAGACGTCTCGAACAACCTTAAACGCCTAGGCTCGCCCTGGACAATGCAAGGCAAATGAGCTGCGATTACTAAAGCATTTTTGTCTTGACAGCAAGTGCAGCCAGACGCTCTCCATCAATGACTCTATTCGCATCAACGCATTGTCGAACCCACTTTAGGCGCCCAGGAACATGCTGAAATTTTGCGCCAGATCCAATACAGTCCTCTTCTCTGCATCTATCTCGCGACCGTCATCGTGCGATGAATTTAGGCGGAACGTGAAAAGAGCGTCTACGCTTTTTTCCCCCCTCTCTCTTCCGAAGCCCAGCCACCACCATACGTCCTGATTCCAATCAGTAATTTCTCGGTAAATCTTCCGAGCTCGGAGTGGCATTGGCCCCTCGGCCTGCAAGGTACCAGCATCCAACCCGATGCAACAGAGAAAGTGGTGTACCTCAGAGTCCCTCGTGCTCTCTTTCACACATTTTGCACAGAACATGTACATCATAGCCGCGAGAAAAAGCGAGGCCCCACGTCCACCGGAATCTTATCCTTTAAAAGTTACAGATCGCGCAAGGGTCTCCCCGCCCACTGCAACTAAAAAACGCAGGAACCAGGGGGCGTGAGCTCCAAGACGGTCTCGACCGCTTCACACCCACCACCCCCTCTTGATCAGCGAGCTGTAAGAACTAATGGACCTGGGGTGCCATTCTCCTGGTTCTCTTGGCTCTCTTCGCTATGTAAGTTGTGTCATAATGCCGGGAGGAAAAGCCAGGCCTCGCTCGTGGGTCGCACGCCCCTCTTTTTCCCTCGCCCCCTTGAGAAAGAAAGGGTTTCTGGTACCACACCACTCCGCATCGAGAAGGTGGTAGCATTTCCCCGAGCTCTGACGTCGAAGCTCTCGCTTTCCATTGCCTCCAAAGGACGGATAACCAATGACTTCACGAACCTCGTTCTCCTCCTCCTCTGTAAGAACGAGGTTGGTCCCCGCTCCCAAGGGGGGTGTCCGCTTGGCTCGCCAGGGTCCTGCCGACCATCCGTACTCTTACAGACCCATGCCCGGCCCTCCCCGTCGTATTAGTGAATCGTGTAGTCTAAAACTTTAGTCGGACGCTCTTCTGCTCTTCGTATATCAACGGACGGAACCCTCTGCAGGACGCTTCGTCTCTTCTCTCTTTTTGGACTCTTCTTTTCTATCACGAAACTATTCCTTCGTGGTTGAGTCTGGTAAAGCTTACGATGCAGTGATTTTGCATTCGTGCTTCTTTTTCTTCATTCCTTCTTTTTTTTTCTATTCGTTTCTTTTCACTCATTTACAACAAACGTACCGGTTGAACCGATTCACTTCATACGCTCCCTCAGAGACCAAAACCACTCTCCAGGGAACCTCCATTTCTTCACAAACTATCCACAGCTCTGAGAGCTCTTTCTTTTTTTACTTCTCCCTCGACACGTACCTGAAGACGAAGCCCGACACGATGAAGACGTCGACGTTGATCCTTACACTGCTCGCCTCCTCCGGGGCCGTCCAGGCGCTTGCGGTTGGCAGGCCTTCTGCTGAGAAACGGGAGGAGGTGGAGATTGTTGTGCCTGCTTTCATTGCGAGGAGGCATCGGGATGCCGGCAACTTTGGTGGCTTTAGTGGCTTTGGTGGGCGAGGCGGGTTTGGAGGCGGAAGGGGTGCGGGCGGTGCGGGTGCTGGTGCTGGTGTTGGTGCTGGCCAGGCGAATAATGCCGCGCAGGGTCAGCAAGGTCAGGAACAGACCCAGGGTGAGGCCCAGGATGCCGACCAGAATCAAGGTCAAGATGGTCAGGGACAGACTCAGGGCGAGGGTCAAGGTCAGGATCAGGGCCAGGATCGAGGAAAGGATCTAGGCCAGGGACAAGAACAAGGACAAGACCAGACCCAAGGTCAGGATCAGGCTCAAGGCCAGGATCAGACCCAGGGTCAAGATCAAACTCAGGGTCAAGATCAGACTCAGGGTCAGGATCAGACTCAGGACCAGGGTCAGGACCAAGGTCAAGGAAAAGATCTGGAACAAGATCAAACCCAAGACCAAGGCCAGGGCCAGAATCAGAACCAGACAGAAGAACAAGGCAAAGACCAAACCCAGGATGAAGGCCAAGAGAAGACTGCCGATGAGACCCAGGAGCAGGGTCAGGACGAAACCCAAGATCAAGGCCAAGAACAGGAACAAGATCCCTCACAGGATCAAGAGCAGGATCAAGATCAAGGCCAGGACCAAGCTGAAGGCCAAGATCAGGAGCAAACCCCGGAGATCATCAACGGTGGTCGAGGAAACCTGACTACCCCCGCCCCCAGCAACCGAGGCGGTACTACCGGCCAGGGAAATCGAGGCAACAGCAATGGTGGCAAGGTCACTCAGTCTAACCGAGGCAACAGGGGCGGTCAAACCCAGGGTGGTCGTGGCCAGACCGGAAACACCGGCAACACTGGTGGCAATACCGGAGCTGGTCGAAACACTGGCAACACCGGCGCTGGTCGGGGCAACACCGGCAACACTGGCAATACTGGCGGCGGACGAGGTGGTAACACTGGTAACACCGGTAACACTGGCAACACTGGCGGCGGACGAGGCGGTAACACTGGCAACACTGGTAATACCGGCGCCGGGCGAGGAAATGGCAATACCGGCAACAACGGCGGAGCCAACAACGGCGGCAACAATGGTAACAACAATGGCAATAATAATGGCAACAACAACAACGGGAACAACAACGGCGGTAACAACAATAATAACAATAACAACAACAACCGCAACTGCGTGAACCCGCAAAACATCCAAGCCAACAGCGCCCGCACCGGTCAGGAACCCGGCACCGAAGGCGTCGGCGACGGCCAAAGCCCGGCCTCGACGTAAGTTCCTTCTCCCACCTTTCTCTTCCCCATAACCCCATGCATGCATCCACTAACCTCTTCCTTTACAGCGACGACGCCAACTTCATCAACTTCTGCACCGGCCAAACCCTCACCAACGGCAACCAAATCACCTCTGGCTCCTGCAACCCTATCCCCATGGGCCAAATCCCCGCCCGCGACAACATGATCTCCACAATCATCACCTTCCCCCTCCCCGGAGACACCATCCGCGCCAACAGCGACTTCACCATCTCCTTCCAATCCAACCACCTCCAGGCCGGCTCCTTCACGAACCCCACCGTCACATACTATTCCTCCCCGCAGGAACTCGCGCGTAACGGCGACATCATCGGACACGCCCACATCACGATCCAGGATATCGGTAGTCTGAGGAGCACGACACCTCCGGATCCGAGGCAGTTTGCTTTCTTCAAGGGCGTGAATGATCCCGTTGATGCGAATGGGTTGTTGTCCGCTACTGTCCCCGGCGGTCTGCCGGCTGGTGCGTATAGGGCTTGCACGATGGTTAGTTCGTCGAACCATCAGCCTGTTTTGATGCCGGTTGCGCAGAGGGGTGCGCAGGATGATTGTGTCAAGTTTGAGGTTGTGAATGGTGGTAATGCCAATAATGGGAACAATAACAACAACAACAATGGAGGAAACAACAATAACAACGGGGGAAACAACGCCGGCAATAACGGTGGTCGTGGCCGTGGCCGTAACCGGGCTCGCCAGTAAATAAGCCACATCTGTCCCAAGCCTGACTGACAATTGAACACTTGGATGGGTGTGTCGGCCCTTGAGGCCATCGAGAGTGGTCCGCGGGGATTATTCGTTGTTTGTACATTATCCTTTTCTCTTCGACGACGCTTTATTTCACGAATTCTTTTTTTTCCTTTTCAAACATAGCATGATGCGGTATGTAGTCAATACCAGTTCAAGCCCACACCCAATCTTCAACATGACACTTGGTGAGATCAGGCCGTGATTATCGTACATGTTTTTAAAGTACCGACTATAAATGCTCCCCAAAAGAGGTGCCAAATACGTACACAGAATGGTAAAATACGCGATCATGGACTTCAAGGACCCAACTTCATGCCATCCTCCCCATCCTCCCCGCCCTCGATAGGTCCAACCACAATAATAACAGGCTTGTCAGGAGCGGCCTCTCCTCCTTCCTCGGGCTCATCGGGGACAACATCATCACCACCGTCTGGGACGTCAGGAGCAACATCGTCGCCATCAGCGGGTACATCGGGCTTGACCTCACCACCCTCCTCAGGCTCCTCTGGGACGACTTCGCCGGGCTCTTCCTCTACGGGCTCAGCTTCACACTCTTCATCCTCATCCTCGACTGGGGGTTCGGGGGCGGGTTCTGCGGGAGCGGGTTCCTCGGGCTCAGCTTCACATTCGTCGTCATCGGCGGCGGGAGGTTCTTCAGGCTTGGGCTCTTCCTCAACTGGTTCCTCGGGCTCAGGTGCTGGCTCTTCAACAGGCTCTTCCGGCTCGGGTTCGGGTTCCTCAACTGGTTCCTCGGGTTCAGGTGCAGGCTCTTCCACTGGTTCCTCAGGCTCAGGTTCAGGCTCCTCCACTGGCTCCTCGGGAACAACCTCAACAGGCTCCTCGCCGTTGTTCTCCTTGGGGACGGGGGCGAAGCTAGCACAAGCGACGCGAGTGCCGTTATTGTTGTGGATGACGATGGACTTGTCACCGAAGAAAGCGTCGCTAGCTGGGTTTAGAGAGGTGAAGAGATCATGGAAGCTACGCTCATTAGTTAGAAGGGAAATGTAAGAAAAGGAGCAGAAAAGAAACGAAAAGAGTGGGAGAAAGCTCACCTGTACGAATCGCTCGTACCCTCAATCGTACCGTGCTTCCCAGAAAGATCGCCAACCTCGCAAGTCTCGGGCCAATCGCCATCGCAGGGGGGTTCCTGCGTCCGACCGAAAGGATCAAGGTGGCTACCGGTGCCGGCGCAGTCACCGTCCTCGGGGACAGGGAACTCGTGAAGGTGGTAATCTGCGCATTCCAGTTAGCAGACCTTCCTTTTTTTTTTTTTTTACCTCCATAAGAAAAAGGGAGAAACATACTGTAAGGGCCATCAGTTTCGGAAAGGCCAGAAACGTCAATATGGAAGGTCACGCCGATTCCGAAGGCATCCGAACCGGCAAGAACACGGCCAGTGATGGTGCCCTCGAAGTTGGCAATGTACCGGGCATCGACGGGGCTGTCTGTGACGATGGCGGCGTTGTGTTCTGTACTTGTCTGGGCGAGAGCGCCGACGGCCGCGAGAATGACGGCGACCTCGAAGGAGTGCATCTTTACCCTTTTTTGTTTCTCTATAATTACCTCTAGTACTTTAGAAGGAAAGAGGAAAGGAATAGAGGAGTGCGCCTAAAGAATGACGGGGAAGCTCTTCGTGGCGACAAGAGCGGAAACAGTCTGAGATACGATGAACCGAGAGGGGAGGAGATATATACACACGATCTCGCCCAGGGAACTCGGAAAGGAGGATACGATTAGGGCCACTCTATTCTCCATTCGTTCTTCCGCCCTCCATTCTTAATCTCGGGACGGGCATCCTCCTCTGGCCGCGGTGCAGCTGTGCAGATGCACCACCCACTAGGTTCCCGAGCAAAGAGAGTTCACGAGGGAAGAATCTGTTCCTCGATGCCCCCCTTTCAATATACTGTAAGTGCCAAGTTATTACGCCGCATCTTGGCTTTCTGTAATCAAATCAAATCTACAAGTGGGCGGTGTATGTCGTCTTACATCCGCCGAGTGCTCGGGACCCTCGGCGTCTGTCCTTCCACCCAATCTCTTAAGCTTTTCTTCTCTACCTTTTCCCTCATCCCTCGTATCTCCACAAACGCCGGAACGAAAGGACTCCATAACTTAGTTTCGTCTCCATATTGTCTAAGAGGGGGGCGAATCAATAGATTTTAACCCCTGTTCACGGGTCTGGTTAAATTCCCTTGCAATATCCACGGTTTATATGATTCGGTGTCCGGTTCCGCGGCCGAAAAAGTGGGCTTTCCTGATCCGGTAGAATCGGGAGATCCAAAGAGTGGAAAATGCGGAGATGGATTGGTTTTTAACCTTGTTTCTTTTTCTTTGCTTTTCTATTCGATATGGGCGGAAGACGGAAATGCGTGATGGCATCAACGCCAAGGCCGAGCGGATGGCGGTGATGTGTTGGTTCGAACTTTGGGGGATTTCAATTCTGGCCATTAATTGACAAGAAATTCTAATATGCAGCTCAAGAGGGCAATCGCGAAGAGAATCAGGCCTTTGAGATGGAGTGGCTGTGGTGCTTCTCAAGACTCCAGCAACCACCGCTGGAAATCCGCAGCACACCCGACGCCAAGGAATACCAAAACGCACTGCATCCAATCGGCAGTGTAACACGAGCGTATCACCAAACCATGCTTAGCAGACAGGAGCTCGACGTTGCTTTGATATCACCCATTCAAAATCCCAATCGATGAGGGAGGGGGACATGCTGTCGTTTACCGAGTGCCCTGCCACGTTCATATTAAAGATCCGGTCGAATGACGTGAAACACCCTCTCATGTCGACTGAGTTGGTCATGTCAGGTCTCACCGATTGCGTGCTCTCGCTTTTGTAGCTCCAATGTTCCGCGAAACGAAACGAAAGCTGGCACACATCGCAGCCATGAGCCCACCACGTCTGCTCGCTAGAGTTTCTCGTCGAGGAGCACGCCAATCCATCTGTGGCCCCAAGGTGAGCGTTCGCAGGGCGGCGGGCGGCGGCACGAAGATGAGCCATCTTGGCATCGTATCTATGGATATTAATTGTACCTGCATCCTGGCAAATGTGGTGGTGCGCTTTCAGCCCCTCGAGCGAGCCACTCTGCCTAACGAGGAGCGAAGCCCACTACGGAATGCCGCTTTCGCATGGATGTTAAACTACTGATTTGGCTGTATATTGAGGTAGCATCTCAGACACTTGTCCGAATATGCCGAATTTATTATGTTTTTGAGGGGGGAAAGCTGGAGATCATCCCGAGAGACCCCAGTCTGATTGGGGATATTTCAAACATATGGGTATGGATTCGAACGGTTGTATGTTTCTAAGAGTCTTCATGAGTATTTGGCTGCATGAGGATAACTTCCGGGAGAGATGTGCTACATACGGGACATTGCGTCCCGGAGGCGCGGCCGAAAGCATGATGAAAGATGAGAGAGCGCGGCCGGCTTGATGTCCACCCTCATTTTCAGCTCGAGCCAGGCTCCACTCGTAGATTTAAACGGACTTCAAGGATCAGTCGATCGCAATCTCGGTCGACTGATTTTCGAGGAGGGAAGCACATTATGACCCGTCCGTAACCGAGAGCGTGATCCTTGGCCGATCCGTCTTCTCACCAACCTTTTCCGCTCTTCAACCCGGTTCCACCGATGAGATTGACATCATCAGTGTCCCCGTTGTATCTCTCGCTTTGCGTGTGTGTGTTTCTCTCGCCAGGTCCCTCTTCTCCCGAATACCTCAGCCCTCCCATCCTGCTCACCTACTACCCTCTCGCTTCTCCATCCCTCCTCACACGAAAGCCCTCCAACATAATCGCCCTCATCTCCTCCGAAACAAACACCAACTCTCTCCCACCAACAAGTCCTACCCTAACCTCCTCCTCCCCAACCCATAAAAACGCCTGATGCTCCCTCTCATCCAACACTACATCCTCCCACCTTTCCACCCCAACAACAAACGACATCCTACACCAAAGCCAATCCGCCTTGGCAGGGTTCGTATCCCCGAAAACCTGGCCCGCACGCGCATCGTACCGTTCTCCCGAGACAGTCACCTCGCTCACCGCTTCAGCCCCAATCTCGCCAACGGCTCTAGGCCCCACTACACATTCCGCGGAAACCATTCGTAGCCCCGCCTCCTCGAAGAGTTCCCGCGCCGCGGCCTCGAGAAGACTCTCGTGAGGGTCGACGCTGCCGCCGGGGATTTCCCAGAGGTGGGCGCCGACGTCAGTGGGGCTGCGTTGGAGGATGAGGAGTTGGCCGGAGGGGTTGAAGACGAGGGTGCTGGCGATGAAGTTGGTGATGGGGCGGGGGTAGAAGGGGTGGTTTTTGGATCGGAGGATAGGGAGTGGATCGAGGAAGGGAGAGAGGGAGGACGGGACGGTGAAGAGGCGAGGCGGTGAAGCCATTGGGATGTTGTTGTCTCTGTTCCTCGGTATGTTTGTGTGTTTGTGTATGTTTGTGTGACTTGGTTGTTTGTGGCGTTCGCGGGAGAAGTAAGTGTTTGCTATCTCCCCCAGTGAGAGTCCAAGGTGAGTGAGCTCTACTGCATCCGCCGTTCACTCCTCGTTCTCTCCGTCTTGTTTCGAACCCTTTTATCCCCCCATTATCTGGGTGCCTGGAAAAGAACGCAGATGCCTAGATGTCGACCGCCCACCTGCGCCTCGCGGGACAGGCAAACAGGAAGAGGAAGAATAATCCCAATCGACACCATTCAGAGTTGTATCAAGAATTTATTCGGGTCGGGAAGTGAGCGTCCGTGGTAGGCAGCCGTATTTCTTGCCGAGCGCCCTGTAAGACCGGACGGTTCTGCTCCGAGCCTGCATGGACAAAACAGAGATCCATAGGCTTTTCACTGAACCTCCGCGGGAGAAACGAGGACATACTTGGCATATTTTTCTCCCCTCCCCCTTCAACCGCGCAGGTTGTTGTTCACATCGTTTCGAGTGATCAGTTGTTGAACATTGCTCACCTGCCGTGATGGTCCAAGTCTGTAACTCCATGCTCAATATGCTCCATCCACACCCAGTTATCACCAAACATTAGCAGATGACTCCAATGTAAAAGGTTATGTCAGCTCCATATTCTCTGTCTATCTTATGCGCTCCTTCTCACACGGCAATGTCTGAGACAGCCCACCAAACGGATGCCAAATCCCACGTTAACGGCAACCATCGCTCGACAAGCAAGAATCAGGGTTGGTTGGGAAAGTCACCACTCTCGGCCTCTTACAGACCAAGAACCAGGGTAAACAGACACGTCGCCCAAATTTGAATCCCCTCGGAAGGTCCACAGCCCAGCCGCCTTTGCTGCTGTCTGTTTACTCACCGCCCTCGCCGTGGACAACTGTCGCAGTTCTCTCAACGCCCCTTCGTCTGCTACTTTCTGTTACACAGGCAAGCAAGAGTTTAATTCTCACCCCATCACCAATATCGATGGTGCCAGGGCTGACATAAGTCCAGGGCGACGCCTCTCACAAACATTCCCATAAAAAGGAACACCTCTGCCCGCCATCGCTCGACCGAAAACTTACTCCCTTATCATACCACAGCTTGGGGTGCCCTAGTACACGGCTGACAGCTTTTAGCTGGAACAGGTTTGTCTACCCTCTCCGAAAAGGCGCAACACTCGAGGGGGCCTACTAACAACTCTTAGGAGGCGGGCGGGTTGGGCACCGTCGGACTCCAAGCCGCCCTGGCTCAAGGTTCGAAGACCTGCAGGTGCACAGCCTCCAATACTTACAGCCAACGCGACCGGCTTAGACGAGCACGGTAGACCACCCAGATGACGAGCCATGACGATTTTCGGAAACATCTCACAGGCGATCTCGGTGCTCTTACTTTCGTTTGTTTTCCAGCACGATCCATCATGCGCGAAAAGTCTAACGGCCAAGTGCCTCTTTGTCAGTGCAACGTCACTGACTTTTCTGCCGAGCCAGAAATCGGCGTGCCAACTACCGGTTCAAGAAACGGCCTCTGTTCTAGCCATCTTGGATGAAGTTCGGCATTTTAGTTCCCGATTAAGCCGGTGTTTGGAGGTGTTTGATCAGGAAGAACGACAAGGCGACGATATCGAGAACCAGGACAGCTTGAGTAGGACACTAAGACCGGGGAGGACCCCAGTGGTGGACCATGACGATGTGAGAAGCATCATCTCTCTGTTGACTTCGCGTTCTTGGGTTTTTCGTCTGTAATTGTCGTTTTCCACCAGAAGAAGGGAGCAGAGAATGGCATACTCCAAAGTCCCGAGGACAGCCCAGTCGTTGTAAAACCACTGGCTATTCTACCTGGCCAGAGCTCGGCACAACAATGGTCGAAGCGGCGTCAACGGAGTCTCATGTCCTGAAGCTTGCAGGACCGAAGGCGGAACGTAACTCCTGCTCTCCGAGGCTCCAAAATAAAGTTCAAAGCACTGGATTGGTATGTATCTTTTCGCCCCTGGCTGTTCATACAAAAAAGAGCCGTCCGTATACTAATTCCGAGCAATGTGCTAGCCAGAACTCCAGGTTACCATGTGTGTCCACAATGACGTCGCCCAGTGACCCGGTAGTAG